AGAAAGAGTAAAATTTCGTCGACATCTGGCATTATAAAACTTTAAAGGTTTAACAAATTAAATATATGAATGATTTATGGCAATAAAACACTAAAATTAAAATCTTTATGATGGTTCTACCATGGTTCTACCCTACGTAAATCAACTGATTAATATTCTAATAAAATTTTTACGAATCTATTTTTTATAATATCAATAGACACGTGGATTATAAAAAGATGTATTTTAAGAACTAGACTTTTATTACCATTTTTCGTATTAAATTTTTTATGTATACGCATTTACATTTCTGTAGGAGACGCTAGATGTATTAGAAATAAATATATAATATAAAGTCTCTTTTTATGAGATGGATACGTTCCATAGCCTTCTAAAATTACATAAAACCAAGACAAAAACAAAAAAGATTGCAGAAATTAAAAGAAATATGCTGCATGATAAAGTACTTAGAATATTTGAAAAAATTACTACTAAAGCATAAAAAAAACTTTTTATGATAAATTAATAGGTATATAGTGTTACATTTAGCTGCAACTGCTGCAACTTATACTACAGGGAAAGGTCTACGGAAAGAGGGGACCAGGAAGAAGAAGAATATCTTGGCTCCAGAATTTACAAAAATGGTTTTCCTTGACCACTTCAGGACTATTTCGAGCTGCGGTCAATAAGTTAGAATTGCCATGCTAGTAGCCAACATCCATAACGGATAGGCACCACAAGAAGAAGAGTTACATTTAGATTATTAAACCTTATCGCTCTCTGATAATGGTTTGCATCGTTTTGAAAGTGGCTCAAAATCATCTTCATCGTCAGAAGAAACGTCGTCTTTGCAATAGATATTTGCGGTAAAGGCGATGTATTTTCACAAACTTAATTCTCGTTCTGTGTAGCTCTTACTGTATGCTAGTAATTTTTTTATACAGATATCCTGACATGCAGCTCTACAGCTCACGTTGTAATTTAGCAAATGCAGGCTCGTTCAAATTTGGGGATCATTAATAAAAAAATTCATCATCATCAGTGGTGCTACAGCTCTAGTTGAGCCTTGACCTTCCCCAGTCTATTTCGCCAGTCGTTTCTGTTCATCGCCAACCGTTGCCAATTTGCCGCGCCGATTTTCCTTGCGTCCTCGTCCACACCGTCCCTCTATCTCAGTCGTGGTCTGCCGCTACTCCTATTCTCTCCTTTACTGCAAAGTTGAAGACCTTCTCGAATTAATTTGGCAGTGAAGGGGTTGGTTTTTCTTCCTCATCATTATTATCTTCTAGACTCACGACGTCATCTAAACTTTGATCAATTATATCATGGTCACTTAATGCATCATCCACAAGGAATTCATCTATGTCATCGTAGCTGAAGGTATTAAAACCATCTCCGCCATTTCATCTGCCAACTTAATTATTTCATCTGATAGTGTCGATATTTGAATGATTGCATTGCTTGTTACATATGCTGGCCAAACTTTTTTCCAACAGGCATTTTAATTTCTTGGTTTTTGAGCGAAAGCAGATGCAACATGAATCAAACAAATCAAAAATAGAAAATTGTTTCAACACATCTTTCACTGTTAAGGGCTCATTTTCTAGTTTACTCACAATGTATATGGAATAAAATGAGATTAATGTAAATGGCGCAATAAAGACAACGAAGGAACAAAGACGCTCATTTATAAGGATGGATGTTCTTAGCTATTTAAATATATAAAACTTTGTACTAGGTCCTAGTAAATGCCCAATTGTTTTTCTTTTCGAGAACTTTATAAAAAAAATATTTTCTAGATATGGACTTTTGGGATCCAGCGGTTGTGGTAAAACAACCTTATTAAGATGTATAATTGGAAGAAGTAATGTAAATAAAGGCGAGATATACGTACTAGGAGAAAAACAGGATGGTAGTGCAGTTTTAGCAGAAAAAGTGGGGTACATGCCACAGGTAAGTTAATTGTAAGTTGCATATATACATAAAGCTTCTTTTCGATAGCAACTTAGGTGAACTACAAATTTAAGCTTACTGGAAGCTATTGGACGATGTTAGGAATAACGATTCATTCCAACAATATATTCTATACCTAGTTTACCTTTAAAAACTGCATCTTTTGCATTCTTTACCTGTAACGAAAATATTTTGCCTACCTTAGTGTAAGATTATGGGAGTAAAGATAGGGCAAGCAAAATAAACGCTACTTGTGCGAACGGCACTCAGGTTTTATTAGGAGAGCTGGGGTCGTGGATAAGTAAATGGCCAGGGGTCGGATCGGGCAACTACAGAAAAAAGAAACAAAAGGGGTACTAACATAATCTCTTGAGAGAAACAAAATAAAAATAATCAGGAAACACCCTAGTAATTTAATATAGGGCGCCACTTTGAGGTGCCTAATTATATCTATTACAACCACTAGTTGTAACTGGGGAACTAATTATTAAACATAAAAAACATATCTAGGTGACATTTTTGTAACGATAACTTGGGATACTATTCAAAAAAAGGGATTAATTTAAAAAAAATAGACAAAATGTTAAGAAAACAAAATTTAACATTTATTGGTGTCTTACAACAAACAGTTATAAAAATAATGGCACCAATTTACATATAGATTCATAGTTACAGAGAACAAGAATAACAAAAAAAATCTTACATGTGTCCTAGCCGTTTACAAACTTTGTTGCTACAAAACTTACAAAATTGCATAGGTTAACCTTCTTTAAAAATAAAACAAACTAAAATCAAAAATAATAAATCGAGCTGTCATGAGTTAACAGTAAATTAAAAAAAAAACTGAATACATAAATTGACAGCTAAAGTCAAACCCTAAAATTTTATAATTTATTAATTATTATAAGTCCTCAAATTATAAACGAAAGCAAAAGATAAATTAAAAAAATATCTACTTTACTTTAAATATTTACACAAAAGTTACCTAGACTGCACTGGGTTTTACACTAGAATTCTGGAACTATAACTGGAACTAAACAAACTGCTTCAGAAACAAAGCAGGAACAGCGAGATTGAAGAAGCACTTCAACTGGGAACAAACTGGAACATCAGAATTGCTGCAGGCGACACAAATCTCTTAAATACTTTTTTAACCTCCTCTGTAACTAGACATACTTCACAATTTACTATTCACTGCTACATATTTCCATAAAAAGGGGCCAAAAACAGAAAACTACAAATTCGACGGATGAATTTGGATCCATACCTGAGCCTACAGCGACCCAAGTAAGAATGACATTATCTTAAAAATTCGTTCACATAACTTGAAAAAACAAACACTTGACAGGAATTAAAACGCAAATTTTCTCCAACGCAGTACATCGGGCGGCTTAAATCAAAGAAATATCGACAAGAAAATTCGCAGCTGCCAATTAAATAAACAACTCGAAAATGGTTTACATTAACATCCAGCAATGCAAATAAAATTATTGAAAACACTTTTGGGTATTTTAACTTGAAAGATACGAACTAAGAAACATAAAAAATTCTTCGTTTTTCAAACATATATGAAGAGATTTCAGTATAGTACATATACGAGGGGATTTCGATATACACCAAAGAATTAATGAAATGGCAAATGCTACATACCTAAAAAAAGACGTTGAAATGAAAGTAGACGATTGCATTGCTTTTTAATTCAACCTCCACTATTGCTCTACACGTGTTTCAAAGTATTCAACTCCCATCAGCAACAATTGTGGTAGTTTGAACTGAAATATAATGCTCTCAGCTATTTGGTCGTTACAGAAACAAATGTAGGGCAAAATGGAGCTTAGTTTGAGAAGCAATTCAATCGCCTACTTTGATTACAACGTTTTTTCTCTACGTAAAGACTGCAAATATGTTGTTTTTCAAGGGTAAACTGTAGATGTATTGTCGGAATAAAAGGTTATTTCTATCATCATCCAATATCTTCCACTGAGTTTTGATTTGCAGTTCAACTAATTCGTTATCGAAGAGAAGTCTACTAACTTCTCGTTGCTTCATATAGGGGTCGCTACTATCGTACTCAGGCATGTGGTGGTACTCTAACTGTCAAATATTTGAGAGCTTTTCATTCCAGTTTAAGCCATCACAATTGCTCCTGATGAGAGGTGAATACTTCGAAACATATGTAGAGCAATGGTGATCTACATGTGTAAGTATTCAAGCGCCACCATTGCTGTACACGTGTTACATGAAAATCTTACAAAATCTATATTTTTAGGATATATCGTTAGTTGGAGAATTAAGCGCAAGGGATTCTATATATTTCTTTGGAAGAATCTATAATTTAAAAGATGATATAATAAAAAGTCGTTGCGATGAACTGGTTAAACTGTTAGATCTACCTACGGATAATAGGTAATGTTACTAATTAATTTTTTACAGATTTATAAGTACTTTGGCTATGTAAAAAATGTAAATATATAGAAATTGATCACTTTGGATTTAGAATCAATATGGGAACCAGAGAAGTTCCCTTTTCACTCCGAGTATAATGTCAAAACTACCAACGTTGCTAGGAATATTGCAATTATTGGATGATCTTAGGAATAACCTTTTATTCCTAACATCGTTAAATAGCTTCCAATAAGCTCCTGAATTCTTGTTGGTTTCTAAAATGGTTTAAACTTACTCAAAAAAAAAAATTATTGAATAATTTGATAAGAAACTGTTAAATAAGAAATTGGTTAAAGGAAAAAGACTAAAAAGGTTTTGCCTTTATAATATTTAAATTTTATATCCCATAAAGATATATTCTCTGTACAAACTAACAAACTCTAAAGTCAAATCTTTGGTTTTGTCTTTCACTGTTATTCTTTTTCTTCTCATGGCGCAGTCTCCTTTCGGAGCTTGGCGATGAGTGATCGAACGGTCTCCTCAGGTCTTTCAGCCACGAGTTCTGGGGTCGTTCTACTGATCTTTTGCCCTGTACTTTTCCTTCCAGTATAACTTGAAGTAATTCATATCTTTCGCCTCTCAACACATGACCCAAGTATTGCATTTTCCTTTCTTTATTATTCTTAGTAATTTATATTGTTTACACAAGCGATACAAGTACATCAACATTAGTAACTCTTGTAATGTAAACATAGCAAGAAAATAAAGAATAGGAAAAATAAGGGCTAAGTAGCATAGAGAAGATAATAATTATTCAAAATAATTATATATTCCAAATTAAATAAAGAATAAATTCGATACAGTAACGTATACATGTTAAGCTATACAAAGAAAAACAATTTGACCCAGTTAGTTGCATGACTTAAATCCCTATCCCGAAACTTCTCTAACTTCTCGTAAATCCACGAAGGCGAGCCAGTCATTCCAGACCAGTGGGACCAGTAGCCTTGCAGCCGCTCGCAGGGATAAGCATCCTTAAGGTCCATATCGAGGATGTTCCAGTGGTGACAGCGTTGTACAGTGGTGAAGATTTTCTCACCCTCTAGTTCCAGATCTTTACAATAGGAGACAAACCTCCCCCTAGTTGTACACTCTTTGTATCCATGGAATTCTCAACATTCGTCTGTATATATACATCTAACTGTTATTACGAATAAAAAATTAACTTTTTTCACTAAAATAACATGTTTGTTTTATCACAGCACTCTGTTTGATCACTAGACTGAAGCCGTCTTAACTTCAACCTGACGTATAGTCAATTTCTTTCTATTTCTATTAGTATTATAATGATCAATTTTAATTACAGGTGTGTAAGAGATTGCAGCGGAGGAGAACAGAGAAGGGTATCCTTTGCTGTAACGTTAGTTCATAAACCTGAGTTACTAATATTAGATGAACCCACTGTTGGTACAGATTCCATTCTGAGAAATAGGTATGCAGGTCAATTTTAAAATTATTAATAAACTACGAAATTATATTTTTAAGGCCTAAGTATTCTTTTGTGATATTTCAGAATATGGAAGTATTTAACGAAAATAACTGAGGAGGATAAAACGACTGTGATAATAACAACTCATTATATCGAAGAAACTAGACAAGCCAATCAGGTAATAGTTTACTGTTTGAATAATTCTTTCTATCTATCAAATCTGACAAGAATATCCATCTTTATATACAGGCCTCCCACTAATTTTTACAGAGTTCTCTATCTTGAGTCATTTTTCATCCATCTCTTGGTCTTGTTGGTCTTCCTCTTCAACATTCATGATTTCAAGGTCTCCAATGTATAATTATTTTGTTTCATCAATCATCCGTCTGTCTTAGGGTATGCTAGCTCCAGAAGTTTACTATGAACCAAGCTGTTTCTTTGGCTATCTCACAGCCTAATGTTTAGCATATATCGTTCCATAGACCTATGTTTTGTCGCTATCTTTTTTTATAATATTCTTAATAAATATACATGTTTGAGAGTTGTATGTAAGAACAGATAGTACACAATGATCATAAACTCTCATTTTTAGGTACTGGGGGTATTTTTTGTTTTGTTCTTCAATATATAAAAGAGTTTACCTATGCTGCATAAGCAAATCTATTCCTTTATTATCTTCCCTATATCTCGTTCTGTGCGCATTGAAACTGTTGTGAAAGAGTATAGGAGACAACTGAATGAAGAAATAGAGAGCCTAAAAGCGCAGGAAAATGTGGAGAAAATATGGACAAAATATAGAGATATAATAACTGAGAAGGCATCAAAAATATTGGTGAAAAACAAACCAGTTAGACAAAATGAATGGTTTGACGAGGAGTGCCAAGAAGCAACAGATAACAAAGATAAAGCATACCAAGCTAGATTGCACAGGAAGAGCAAAGGAGGAATACCAGACCTTAAGAAAGGAAGAAAAGATTAAAAGAAAAAAAGCAATTTGAAGAAAATCGGTTAGAAAACATAGAATGGCTAAATGCGACTCGAAAGTTTTATCGAAACGTAAACAAAATGAGTAAATAGTTAAAGCCTAGAATAGTGAGCTGTAAGGATAAAGGAAGAAAAATCCTAAGTGATACGGCCTCAATCTTATACCAAAGTAGCAAATCAAAATGCTTAGAATATATTCAACCCAAATGAAGGACCTTCTTCTTGTAGTTCCTTCTCCTATCGGAGATTGGCTATTGTCACAGCTATCCATACCTTATTGACGGCTGCTCTAAAAACATCTACTGAGCTGTAACTATACCACTCTCTTAGGTTTCTCAGCCAGGAAATTTTTTGTCTTCCTATGGATCTTTTACCCTTGATTTTACATTGAGCCTTAATATCTTATATTTCGCACCTCTGGTAATGTGGCCTAAAGATTCCAACTTTCTTATTTTGATGCTTTATGACTTCGCAATCCTTTTGTAGCCTTCTTAATACTTCTGCATTTTTAACTCGTTGGGTCCATAGTATTTTCAAAATTTTTCTATGACACCATATCTCAAATGATTTCAACTTCTTTATATTATCTACTTTTAGTCTCCAGCTTTCCATTCCATACAACAAAGTCGAGAACACGTAGCATCTTAAGGCTCTTATCCTCAGATCCAGAGGAAGGTCTCGATTGACAAACATTGTTTTCATTTTTATAAATGCTTGTCTTGCAATTTCAATGTGTGTATTTCTCTACTTTGGTCATTGTTTTCATTTACCCAGGTTCCCGGATATTTGTAGTTATTCACTCTTTCTACTTGTTTTCCCTTGATATCTGACCTTCCTACTGTAGGTTGCTTAGAAATAATCATGAACTTGGTTTTCTTAACGTTCATTTGTAGTCCATGTTTGATACTGACTTGATGTAATTTATTTACTAAGCGCTGCAGTGCTTCTAGACTGTCTGCAAAAATAGCGGTGTCGTCTGCGAACCTTGCGAAATGTTGTTTAAGATTTTTCCGTTTATTGATATACCCTGTTGTTCCTCTGATATTGCTTCCTTAAAAATAGTTTCGCTGTATAGATTGAATAACAATGGGGACAGCACGCAACCCTGTCTAACACCTCTTTTAATTTCTATTGCTTCTGTATCGACATTTTCGATTCTAACCTTTGCTTTTTGATTCCAGTACAGATTGACAATAACCCGTATATCTCGACTATCCACATTCTTTTCTTTTAACAGTTTTACGAGTTTCTGATGTCGTACTCTATCAAAAGCCTTTTGATAATCTATAAAGCAGACATAGAGATCCTGGTTCATATCTAGTGGTCTTTGCGCGAGAACGTTAAAAGCGAACAGAGCCTCTCTCGTTCCTAGTCCTCCTCTGAATCCAAACTGGGTGTCATCTATATCTTCTTCTATTTTTTTGTGTAGTCTTCCATGTATTATTTTGAGAAATATCTTAAGTGTGTGGCTTATTAAGGAAATTGTTTTGTACTGGGAGCATTCTGTCGCATGTACTGACTGTCACATGTACTATATGCAGTGTTTCTTCGTCAATGCATTTAATTAGCTTAATGGGTATCTGATCTGGGCCTAATCATTTTGCGGTCTTTGCATTTATAATTGCCTGTTCTAATGCGCACATTATTATTTTCGGTCCTGTTTGTTCCTGTTATTCTTCTTGTATCATTCTATCATCGTCGAATAGTTTCATTATGTATTCTTGCCAAAATGACAGACAATATATCACTAAAGAGGTTGCCTAAGCCATGTTTGTTGTTTGTTTGTGTTTAAATGACTACGGACACTAAATCCATTCGCCAATCTTACAATTTGAGGTGTAGTGCGCGCGCGCGCGCGCGTGTGTGTGTGTGTGTGTGTGTGTGTGTGTGTGTGTGTGTGTGTGTGTGTAGAGTAATTGTCTTGATACTTAGCAAAGTCGACGTCATTGTCTTTGCTAAGAGACGCTAATTGTATCCGAACGTCTGCGGTCCCTCCGGTGTGTACCGATCACACAAGGATAGAAATTATTTTCATTTATTAATTTTTTTAATAAACGAAAATTTCCACCCAGGTGGGATTCGAAATCACGACCTTTAGGTTTAAAGGCAGGCGCTCTTACCACTGAGCCACAGAGGGGGTTTGCCTAAGCCATGAAAAAGCTTAAAAATAATAAAGCACCAGGAACTAGCCTAACAAAAGTTAGGGATACTAAAGATCAGAAGATGGCAATGCGTTGCCAAAAGCTCAACATAATAGCGACTAATCTTAGAGCAGACCAGAATCCACAGATAATTGTCGAGCCAGAGATGATGATGATATCTTATCCTGATTTTGCTTGTCCACTTTTGTAATATTCCTTAAAGCTACATTATGTGTTTAATGAATATTATTCATTTATTTGTTTTCAGTTTGTTTATTCCATTGTAATATTGAATATCTTCGTTTTGATTAGTTACAGTTTTACTTTTATCACAGTTCATCTTTTATCATATTTTTTCTATCGGTTATTCAAAGTTTCGATGATTCTTTGTAATTCTTGTGCACGATGTCATCATCATATCGCAAATGGTTTATTTATTGATCGTTTATATTGATAACACAGATATTTTTTAGTCTAGTTTTTCAAATACATCCTCGAGCGCATGGTTAAATTGTTTTGGTGACATGATGTCTCCCTGTCTGATTCCTCGGTTTATTTTAATTATCTCAGTTTGTTTCTGTGTCTATTAGATATTAGGTTTATAGATTTATAATCAATTCCTCCGTTCTGTGAGACATTTTTTTATTGCTCAATACTCTATTATATCGAATGTATTCTCAAAATCCATGAATGCAACATACTGAATTCCTTTTTAAATCCAGCTTAATTCCGGGAGCAAGCATTTAAATAATCATCTATAGTAAAATTCATTAAGCGGTGCAGGAAAATATAAACATTAAATCGTGTCCGAACCGGTATGAACCGCCGATAACATCGCCAGACGAAATAAAGATGGACATTCCGGTTAGTTTTTAAATATTTTTGAAGAACTGTTACTTGCATTTATGCATAAAATATTCATTAATTTTATAAATCGGAGTATTTTTTCACTTACTTTGTATTCGGTGATAACATTAATTTATTTACTATGCAATAAACACGAATATTTGAGAAAAGAAAAAAAATAATAAAGTGTCATAATTATACTGTTACTTATCGGAACGAGTAGACTCATTTGGAACATCTTTAACAATTATCTGTTAAATTTATCGTTGTTTATATGCCCTGCACCGCTTAATGGAATAAGATATAGTACCAAAATCAAGTTTCGGGGCAGAGAATTTTAAGAAATCGTTTTTTTTTTATTTAAATGTTACTACAATCAATACACTTTTTTTTTATTGTTTTAGATTGCTCTAATGAGAAAGGGGAAGTTATTAACTGAAGAAAATCCGGAAACGCTCTTAGAAAGATACGGCTGTGAACTACTGGAAGACGTCTTTATTATTTTAAGTTCTAGACAAGAAGAGACAGAAGAAACTTCTGGAGCAGATAATTTAGCTTTTCAGTCATCTCACGCAAGCATAAATGAATCTGCTGAACGATCAAATGAAGTACCGGAAGTAATTAATGTAAGTAATGGGCTATTTAGTAAGTAAAATAATCTGAGGATTAAAACCTGGTAAAACTAATTTTTAATAATATGATGTATATCTAATAGCTCAAAGAAATAATTTTGTGTAATAATTTTTGTGATGTATTGTGTGTAAGTATATGTATATCTCGATTCTACACCTCAGCAGAATATTATATGAAATCCTGTGGAAGCCGTAGCTCAGTGTTGATATTATTGGCTTAATACGAGGGTTGTCTTTTTAGTTTTGCATACAGCCATAAAGAAAATAGACTTAACCCTTAACTGGTGAACATGCGTCTCACAGACTCCGCACGTTTATTAACGCGTCTGCGCTTCTCACCACAAATACGTAGCAACCTGTAATTCGGTGTACCTTCCTAGCTTTTAGAGTATATTCGAACGTGTTAATGAGAGGTACCTCGCTCGTCCCGTTTTCGAAATATTTAAGTCGCGGAGTCTACTAGACGCAAGGTCATCATTAGTGTTATTTTAATATGGATAGTTCTCGTAAAGCTGTAAGCGTATTAGACGATGATTTCGAAGAAGTGTGCACAAAATGGTATAATGAGGTGAACAGTGACATTAGTGATGATGATGTGGAAGAAGGAAATTATATAGAAAGTGATCATTTTACGGATAGTGAACAAGAACTAAGTGAAAATGAACAGCAACAAGACTCAGAAATGATATCTAGCGAAGATGAAGAAGAGTGTGCCAATTCCAGCAATTATTACTATGGAAAGAATAGGCATAAGTGGAGTAAAAAGGAGCCAACTAGAAACGTCCGTACGCCTGCTCACAATATTGTTCTACTCCCATCATTCCGTTCAAAAGTAGAAAAGTCAACGAGTTCCGTTTATTATTTTAATACGGTTGGGAAAAATTTGTGTGTAGACGAAATGCTGGTAGGCTTCAGAGGCAGATGTCGCTTTAAAATGTATATTCCCAGCAAACCCTGTAAATATGGGATAAAAATCTTATGTATGACTGATGCAAGTCACAAGATGCTCACTAATGAAGAAAGAAGAATGAGCATACCTACTCAAGCAGTTATTCTTCTTCTTCTCGTGCCACTCCTAGCGGAGATTGGAAATCATCATGGCCACTGCGACTTTGTTAGCAGCGCGCCTGAAAAGTTCAATCGAACTACACCCGAACCATTCACGTAGATTACGAAGCCACGATATTTTTCTTCTTCCCACACTTCTTTTGCCCTTAATTTTTTTTTTTTTTTTTTTTTTTTTTAACAAGCAGTTATAAGATTAGTCAAACATATACTAATAGAAATGTAACGCGACAACTGGTTTAGTTCAGTTGATTTAGTACATCATCTACAACAACATAAACTCACTTACGTTGGCACAATGCGAAGAAATAAAAAAGAAATTTCTCCACAGTTCCTTCCGCGACCAAATCGTAATGAAGGCGACACTTTGTATGGATTTACCAAAGACCTAACACTTTTATCCCGTACAACTAAGAAAAATAAAGCTGCATCCGTGACATTACAATATTGTTTTATTATTAAAAACTGTTTTATTGCATTTTTGAGGTGCCAGTTTTGCAAAAACAGCTTTTTTTGGCCAGGAGTCTGTCAGACTCATGGTCACCATTTATGTAATTAAAAGTAGGGTCACCAGTTAAGGATTAAAGTACTTAATTGCTTTTAAAAATGTGTCCCACCAAGATCGAAACACTTTTGCATACGTTCAAACCAATTGGTAAAACAGTTATTCCAGTCTTTAGTTGACACCTACAAAATCGCTGCTTTCAATTGGAGTTGACACCTACAAAACGTATTTAATTCTTGATCTTTGAGAACGAGAAGCAGTCGTTGGAACTTTAGGTGCATGGTTTAACAATTCGATGTTTTGGAGCTGCAGAAGCTCTATTGTCCTTTGGGCAGTGTGAGCACTTGCATGGTCCTGTTGTAGGATGATTCGCCGTTATGTGTTGCTTTGTCGGAATTTCGCGATAACTTCTGGTAAACAGACGGTTATATACCAATCAGAAGTAACCTTCCTTCGATCTTCTAAAAGCAATTGTTGCTACATGACTAGATTTTGACACAAAAGTTGCGATCATTTTCGTTGATACACTTCGAGTCCAGAATATTTGTGGTTTTTCCTCATCGTGAAACACCGACACATCGAATTGGCGTTTATTTTCCGGTTCGTAGTAGTAAATCCAAGAATTATCGCCACTAACAATACCATAAAAGTTTTTAAGCTTTCTTTATCAAACTGTTCCAATGTTTTTCGACATCCATTGACGCAAACCGCCTTTTGCTCTTCTGTGAGCAAATAAGGGATCCTACGAGAAATCAACTTCGTAACATTCAGTTCTTCATATAGGATCTTTTGGATCAAGGTCTTTGAAATGCCCAAAGATGTCTCTATCACCCGGTATGATACAGGGCGGTCATTCTTAATTAGCTGACGAAAGGCATTAATGTTTTGGGTGGACCTGGCTTGCATTCGTTGCTGACACTGGAGCGACTACGTTGAAATTCGCAATGTCAGCGAAAAAAAGTTGACTCTTGTGAAGATTCATTCCCAAAGACAAAAACACTTTCAGCGAGACGTTGCTTTTGGGATAATCCTATCGGAAAATTGTAAAAAATTATTGCTCAAAAACATGGTACAAAGAATAACAGGTATGATACTCCCGAGCGTGAAATTTGGAAGAGTTCCCTCCTCTTCCGTGGCCTTTCCTTTTAATTTTGCGCCCTGAATTTTACTATTTGGTACTCTTTTTGGGAATTTTCCGGTCTTCATTTTTACTATATGACCAGTCCATCGAAGTCTCTGAAATTTGACGAATTCTGAGATTGGAGCCTGTTTGAACAGTTTGTAGAGTTCATGTAGAGTTTGTAGAGCGAAACACATGAGCTAATGAAAAGTAAGCTTTGTTTCCCTTTACTATTTTTCTTCTTAAACACCAAAACATTGTCCATTCAAAAGCCACTATCACTTATAAAATCGCATAAAGAATTCTAAATATTCCTAATAATAATTTTTTCACACTAAAAAGCATACAAATCAACTTAAAATCAAAATCTACAACAAGCTTACCAAAAAAGCCAAAAGCTAAACAATTAATATCATTCCCATTATGAACAGATATGACGGCTCCTCTCAATGTGACATGTGCCATGTGTCACAATGTGTCAAGAGTAGGGGATCTGCTGACAGTGGCCTGAGCAATATCATACCTGTTGTTCTTTGTATCATGGCTTAAAAATGTTCTCGGCTAAGATCCATTTTTTGACGGACTTGCTAATTTCAGAAATTCACTGTCTACACGACATGCTGTATCGCAATGAAAATCTCGATTCATGTCAATAAAAGATTGAGGTTACGTTTGTGTCGAAAGATTTTATTGGTGGCGCCCTCTAAGCGGCTATATGCAAATCTAAAAAGACAAACCTCAAAAGCTTCGGTCCCCACTGCATATTCGCCGATTCCACTACGTATAGAATGGGCAACTAAATAGGCCCATGGGATGGGTGATAAATATAGGAAGAGGATATTATAATTTGGCGCCAAATACAATTGGTTTGTTTTACAGTAAATCGTTTCTAGACTTCTAATGGGCATTTGCTTAAAATCTTTTAGTTATACAGTTTTTTACGTAGAATTCAATAGTGTGGCTTGGATTTTTCCAAATATGATATTTTTTGATAAATGGAGCAATTTAAAGGAAATACCATAATCATTGTTTAACAAACTGTCTGATACTAACTCGAGTTGATACTAACTTTTGTTACTAACTGGCGAAAGAATAAAATTTAATTTAAATATTCTTTTTATTTAGGACCAATCGGAGGTTCGTATTTATTTTCCTGTGCCCATAGCACACTACCACCTAGCATTGAAACTTCTGTGTTGACGAGTAAAACAATAATTGGCGCATCACCTAGTGACCGGGCGCCTAACTGTAAATACATGGCGCGAAATTCAAAATTTTTGTAATATTACCTAGGATTGTGAACTCATTTTAAAGTAAAGGAAAATCGATATAATCTTAAAATAACAAGAAAAATCCTTATCCTATACGATAATAAATATTTTTCGTATACTTTTTGGGTTTTCTTGTTATGTTGAGACTATATTTATTTTACATTACATTAAAATGCCAAAGTGGTCCAAAAATTAAAGAATAAAATATAGAATAAAATCTTTATTTATAAAAATATTACAAGAAATGTTATATGTGTTACAAGAAATATTAATAATATAAGCCAAGTGTACTATACTTTAGTTTTCTTAATGTTGTGGCAAGAACTGGTCAGTATTTAAATAATTGTTTTGTCTTAGTATGTCAAGTTTTATGTAAATAGAAGCCTAATTCTGCAAAAGGCCTTTTACTACAATTTTATTCTCATAATTCGCAAAGAATTCAAATATTGGTATATAACATTCAAGATTTTTTTAGAAAGCAATGAATCTAAAGATAAATCCCTAGAAGACAAAGATAAGTACATGCTTGTAATAAATTTAGTCTATAATTACATAAGCGAAGCAATCAATGGGGAAAACCAATTGCTTTTTTCACACATACTCTCACAGATTCAGAATGAAAACATGCAAATGCATTGAAGTATTAAAAAAATGCAGACATTATCTGGTAGGAAAGCAATACAAACCAATCACAGATTAAATCACTATTTTGTTTATATAGAATGCTGGCATATATAAAATCTGACAAGGAGAACTAGCTTTATTTCACCAGAATTTATTGATTATCTCCACTCTAAAGGAATATTTCAAGTAAAACAACACCATATAACCATGAAGGAAATGGTTAAGTTGAAAGATACAATGAGTTATATAGAAATTGGTGAATCTAGCATTGAAAACCAGATATTTAGACTTCACTAAATGAAAAACTGCTTTACCAGGAGCTCTGTACTATATAAGAAGTTTACTATTGAATTGTTATATTATTGAATCACGATAATGATGAAGATGAAGTCCAAATAACACATTAGAGAATTCCACTACTAAATCAATGCCAGATGTGACAGAAAATTTACCTGTTCAAAAACCTGATGATAATTTGAACCAAGATTGGAAAATTCAGATTTTCAATCTAGCTGTAAATCAGCTGGAGCTAAAAATAAACCAAGATAGTTGCAATATTTTGTTCACAAATAGGGAAGGGTAAATGTAGTATAATTTAGTGTTCCAAATCTTGTGACAAGAACTTGTCAGTAATTAAATAATTTTTTTGGAATTCTAATGTCAAATTAAAGCCTAATAAGCAACAGACAGCTGTCAGACATTCTGAGTTCTTTGTAGTACTTACATCCTAATCTAATAACACACACTACCAGTGGTCAGTGAGAACTCTTACTGTCTGGCGTTCTACTCACAGAAAAACAGAACTCAAGAACTCTGCTAAGTTGGAAACAGAAAAATTAAATGATGTAGTTCTAGAAAGAACTTTATATACATTTATATGATAATATTTTAGTCATATTTAAACCTATAAATCCAACAGTTAGCTCTAAGATTCTAAGATCCAGCACTATAGAGATGGAAAAATAACATTAAAAATAAAAAAATATGTAAAGTATTACCTAGTTACAATAATAATATGAAGTATTTTACAAAGTTACGTTTCCAAACTCTATCTTACCAGTAACTCTTTTCTACTAATATTTATATATTTATTGAGAGACATATTAAATACATTTAGATTTAGGTTGTTCTTTTGATTAAAAGTACATAGATGAGACAAACCATGGTAATATATGGTACTCTAAGACCAATCTCACTCACAAGAGAGAGACAGATCCCTCCTCGCACTTAACGGCAAGCTCATGGACCTCTCCATATGATAGTGTAGTCATGGTCTGCTAATCTAAATCTAATCAAACTTTGAAACAGGCACACCTGTAGAAATTATGTCGAACCCTCTCTAAGGCGATGATTTTTTAAGATAGTTGTTGAACCACCACCTACAAAATAATTCAAATAGTAAGCAAGTAAGTCTGATTTTATAATTAGGTTAAATTTATAATTAACTAATTTTATAAGTAACATACATACATATATTGGCATAATAGTTCTTACCTGGTGCTGGTAAAAACAAACTCAGAAGGGCTGTTCTCGTAATACCGGTATGTCCAACATTAATTATATCATCCTCTTTAAAATGACTAGCGCATACACGAAAATTGTTATAAATAGTTTCTGTTGCAGCATTCTCTAATTAGGGCGTTTAACAGCATTCACCCATTTATCAAACATATCCATATTATAATCTCCTAGACTTGAAAAACGGTATTGCTTGCCAGTGGTAGTGTTTATATATTTTATCTAGGGTAGTGTGCTTGCCTAGTATCCATGCAATCTGGAATACATCTTTTTTGTTCAGTTCTTCGTCACTATATTGTTATTCCATGTAATGTGTTCGATTCCATAATAAAAAATCGTCTAAAATTTGCCTTTTTGCACTACTTATATAAAAAAATTTAAACTATAAAATAAATTATAAAAAATAAAACAAATAAAAATATGGCGCCGTATTTGTCTAAATTCAACTTTTGATTTGACCACACACAGCACACTTCCTACGCGTAGAAACGAGACTAGCAGCGCCACCAAACGAATGGGCGCCTAAATCCGAATGTGATTTGACATTGCCTATCCCTGTTACCAATCTATAAATTTTATCTATGCCTGTGCCCGTTGTGGAATCGGTGAATATGCGTCCCGGCTAATTAAACGATGGTTGTCATGTAAAGGTGTGCTTGTGCAACCTAAAAACTCCACAAGACTTAAGCCAGAAAATTACACAAACTTTACTTTCTAGAAGAAACTAAAACTCATAAAGGTTTATCGAGCTAATAATGATAATGAGTATCACTATTATAAGGATATTCAGTACTGTAAGAGTAAATAATAATGTAAAGTTGGTACTTACTTTGTATCTGGTTTTTAGGAGGCGCCTCAACAAACGAGAACTAAAAGAAAAAAACAATCCGTTTTTGAAATGATCAGATTCAAGTCATTGTTGTTTAAAAATTATAAAAAGCTCACGTCAAATTTAATGTAAGTATATCTGTATAATAAATCTGTATTATTACTTTAATTTGTATTGTTTAGCGTCTAAAAGATATAGTGATCCTGGGCTATTTTGTCGGCAATATCCGAGCGCTACTCGGAGATTGCGGACAGAAGCGAAAACTTTTTTAGCTACGCCTAGAAAAAAGTAGTATCTGTAACTTTGGTGATGAGTTTTTAATAAAACTGTAAGAAAACCTGTTGATTCTAAATTCAAGAATGTCCATTTTTACCAATGGGAAAGTATATACCAAATTTAAAAACTTTTTTCCTTCCAAAAAAAACATAAGGTATTACAAGTGGAAGAAAAAGACTCAAAACTCTAATAACTTGTCCTTTGAATAACACATATATCAAGTTTTAATATCACATACGCCTTCTAAGCCATAAGACTATGTAGAAGAAGAATACCTATTGACTCCAATTTCAATGTATTTTGTCATTACGTCAATAGGAAACTATTTACCACATTTTAAGATCCTGCAACTTTTCCTTTAAGAATTATCGAACAGACAGACACAGACAAACGAACAAATTGACAACAAGATGACTGCAATAAGGACCTGTCATATCTGTAATAATTTAATAAAAACAATGTATGAAAAATAGAACAGGTCAATAAATTAATAGGTACATATTTCATTTTTACCAAGTTTCGTGTGCACTCACTGCACATTGACAAACAATCTTGTTTTATTAAAGTTTTATAATTTTCAGATCTACATTATTTCTCTTGTTGTTTCCCGCACTTCAGGTTTTGTTTTTTCTCACAGCAGTTGGCAGAGAAACAAAAGAAAATCCATTCGGTATAGTCAACAACGAAAGATCCCAAGAGTTCTGTAAAACATTTCCCAGAAACGAGTCAGCTGTGCCTTACGATAAATTCAGTTGTCATATTAATAGTGTCAGTTGCTTGTTTGAGGACTATTTGGATATACCATTACTACACATCGTAAGTACATATACCTACTCATATATATTTAGAGGGTGTCCAGAAACTCTCCTGACAAACGAAGACCGCAGATTCCTCAGATAATTTTAAGACAATTTAACCTAGTCCGAAAATACTTCCTAAGGGAGTAAGATCTCTTTTCAGATAGCGTCTTGTAATTCGTTTTTTTAATACCTCCAGAACGCTTTTATTTTGAAAAGTAAAAACTGGTAAGATTATTTATCCTTGAGGGTTGAATCGATTCCATCAATATTGCGAATTTCTAGTACCGATCATAGGCGTCCGTTTAGGGTCAGGTCAGCCGCTATTTTAACGCATTTTTTTGTCTTTAACTTGAGTTAGGTTGGGGCAAAAGATCGCTGAAGCGGCGGTTACCATACTGCCGGCAGTCTTTTAGCGTCATCGCGCGTGTTTAAGCTGTTAGGCCGTTTTTCAATTTCGATGGCTTCACGAACAATGTATTATGTGGCCTGTCCGAAGATGATGTTTGGCTAGGACTAAAGTAGTATCGAAATGTTTTACAGATATAGAATGTTCGTAAATACGGTTATTGATAAAATGCGTTAGACTTTCACAGCTATCGTCTAACTTGTTAGGCTGTTTATTCGGGCTGTTAGGCCGTTATGCGAACAAGCAGCCTAACAAGTTAATGCGGCTATTAATTCGTCGGCTTGTCTGTCCTATGTATGTACGTGGGCAACTGGAAAAAGGTATCTCGTAGACACCATGATATTTATTGGGGATTTGGTCTTTTCGGATCTGACGAGATTGGACGAACTTGGAGTGAGTAGTGAAAATGGTTTTGATATTCAGAGGATTAGGAATTCTATTGATCTTATCAGTGACACCTTTGATAAAAGGTAGAATAATTTTAGGTTGATCAGGCGGCGACAAAATGATGAATTAAAGTATCAAATAAAAAATCACCTTCAACCTTTGGTGTTTACTATATTTATTTGTAGACGTGGTATAATTCAAAATATGAAGCGATGGATGCTTTGGAATCAGGAAAAATAAGAGGCTTTCTACATATGCATCAGAATTTGTCAGCTCTAATTGAAGCTAGAGTTAATTTAGGACTTGATAAGTACGATTTGCCAGATGAAGAAATGCAGGTGTATATGGATATGACATGTAAGTAAAATAGTTTTCTAGAAAAATAGTTTTCTTGTAGTGTTGTAAACATGTGAAGAGAGGTTTTGTTCTTTTTGTAATTATCTGTCTCTCTCCAATGACGTTACAGCCCAAATCTAGTCGTAATCTCCTCCAAACTATGTCTCCAACCTTGACGGTCCCGCGCTGATCTTCTATAGGCTGCCACTCTGCTGCCAATTCATTCTCCCACCTTTTCCGTAGCATTCGTTTGGTCTAACGCCCTGCATTTTAGTATCTAGGGCTCTTTTAGGGCAATCCATGATCTACCCATCGAAAACTCTGAAGTTTCGAATTCTGAGATCAATTCCTCTTTGAACAGTTCGTAGAGTTCATGGTTGTACCTGGATCTCCAGGTAAATATCGAACAGCCCAAAGATACGTACCAGATGCGATAACTAAGAAGAAAAACGAAAGCTGGGAAAGAAACTGCTCCAGAATAAACACTTACTTAGGGGGTAGCAGAAGCACCAAAAGCTGGAAAATATTTTGATCTCTTCGACAAGCATAGACCTATTGGTCTAGATAAATAGGATGAATACTTCGCAAATCTACTGGCGGAAGAAAGGGCAGAATGTTTAAAACACCTCAAATACAATTAGAGGTGCAAGTACATACAATAGCATCCCCAATTAGGATTGACGACAAAGAATTAGCACGAGTATGCCAAGCATTAACGAATAGAAAATCACCAGGCCCTGGCAATATCCCACCTGAGCTAATCAAGTACGGTACAAGCAAATTATATAAGCAGCAAGCCAGCTTTTACCAAAAATGTAGTAACGGAGAGAGTATACCGAAGGAGTGGAGGACATCGTTTATCACGACAATACATAAGAAGGGAAGTAAAAATGTATGTGACATTATCGAGGAATTGCAGTCCTTAGTACCATCTGGAAAGTTTACGGGAAACTCATCAAAAAGAGAGTGGAAAATAGATTCTGTTACCCAACTAATTGAAAAAAAATAGTACGAAATCCACCAGTACATCTCCTCTCGGACTTAAAAAAGCTTATGATAGTGTGCCACAACAAAAACTCTGGGAAGCTCTCAAGAAAAGAAATATTAGTGTTACCTTAATCAAGGCTGTTTAAGACCTCTACAAGAACAACACAAGTAAAATAAAGAAAGGTCAGGAGGTATCCAAGGGTTTCACTAGCAGCAAATGACTCAAACAAGGATGCTGCGTGTCCCTACTTTGTTTAATATATACTCGGAGCAAGCGATAAAGAAGTGAAAAAGAAAATGCAGAAGTATAAGAATTCTTCTAAATGACGCAATACTGTACACATTGAGTTTTGCAGACGACCAGATAGTGATGGCCCAAGACTATGAAGATCTCGAATATATGAGTGCACGAGATGCAAAACTCGCTTAAGGAATGTAAAGTCAATTTGAGAAAAGTGCAAAAAAACGTTTTAGTTTGCCTTTAGAACATATACACCTCCAATAGTTTTTAACATATTTTAAAAAAATAGTGCAGATTTTTTAAATAAATAAAGAAAAAGAATGCATTTAGCGAGTTTTGCACCAAAAAATGTTACATCAATAGTTTGGGACAAATTCTATTCACAAATTAATTAAAAAGTTATTTACATATTACATTAAATTGGTAAATTATTATCGCAAGGTTTTAAACCACTGCAGCCAGCTTCAAGATCGTTTACAGAAGTCTGGTTTTCCATCCTTCAAGGGTTAACAAGATTTTCTTTAAAGAAAACCAAATCAGGATTTTCTTCCCAGGCGTTTCCATAATGTTTTTTGAGAAGAGAAATTATTGTCGATTTATCGCCTTTGAGTTTGCAGCCAATAGGAAGTTGGGTAGGATTGATACGTGTCAATTTTATTCCTCTCTTAACAACAGACTTGGCTTCACCAACGTCAACACAATAATTGGGCTCACCTCATATTAGTGCATTGGTTTTCCCTTTAGTAAGTACAAACCTTTTAGCCTTATTAAACTGAAAGTGCCATGAGGATGGTGCTTTGGTGTTTACTTGTGCTTCATTCTTCCAGTCATACGCCTGTAAATCTAAACCCAATTTTCTAATTGTCGACTTATTTGCTATAATATCTTCGTAGTCAGAAGTTTTTAAAATAATGAATTTCTTATTTACCTCTCTTTCAATCATTCCGAAAAACCTATCAGATGGTATAAAAGAATATTACTACTACGGGGAATATTATGTTAATGGTATTTATGTTTGTGGGAGCTTTCGTCATCAACCAAACAGAAAGCATTGCCATCATTATAATATTCTTCTTTTGCCCCCCACATCCATCAGCAAATAAACGAATTGTATCGATTTCATTGGGAAAGTTAAACTTATTAAGTACATCCCAAACAGCTGAAGCTATCGAATTAGAAGTTTTGGAAAAATCCACCTCCGTCCAAACATAAGAATAAATATTTTCTGGAACCAACTGTGCTGCTGATGATCCGTAAATTACCGTAAAGCTGTAATAGTTAATTTGTTGACTAAAATAACTAGCTTAACCCGGAAGCTTAGGCAAAGGCAAATTTTTCTGACAATCAAACGAAAAATCTGCTGTTTTTTCTAGCGGCTGCTTTAATAAGGCAAAAAATGCCTTTGCTTGTATCCGTAAATGTATCCGTTGCTCGGTGATAATAATTTGCTTTTCTGAACTAGAAATATTTTTGTTTTTTAACTTTTCCTTAGATCTTAAGCAGGTTGAGCATAAATTAGTTTTTGGGGTTCCAAATCCAATGTTGTAATTAGAATTTATGTATGTCCTAAAAAATGCCAGTTTAACATGTAGGTGGTTATCGCGAACTTCAGATTCGTATATTTTCCATAATTTTGTAAAATTAAGTTCACATGGTAAATAAACACGAGTACTGATTTTACTTCTACAGTAATTTCTCTCTATGCATTGGAGAGATTCAATAAAATGTTTTATTGCTAACTTTTTATCATCGTTTTTATTAAGGATGCGATCACCTCCTCTTGTTTCTCGTGGTATATTCCCTTTTAAAACAAAGTTTTTCATGACTCTCTCAATCCGATCTCTACTAAGGGATGTAACTTTTAAGAATTCCGTCTTACAAACACGCATTTTTTTAGCAGAAGTGGTTACATAATACAAAATGGATATTTTTTCCTTTTCTACTTTTGATCTTTTGCACTTCTGGCCTTCACAAGTTGCAATTATAAAACTATCTTGTCTACATTTTTCCTTAGAAGCAGACAGTTTTCTATGAAAATCTTGAATTTCGTTCATTGTTAGAGTGGCACAATAGTAAGGCGTTTCCTGGCTGACCGTTATGTCCACAGGTCGGGTACTCCGGTAAATGTGTCGGAGTGTCCCTAAAATAACACAGTTTAAAAAAATATTCTAACAAATTGATATCGTTTTTATTACCTTAATCTTTTGAGCTTTTGTCTTTTACTTTCCGTCGTAATTTTCGTTCTACACATGTTCTTTGGAGTAGGTTGTATTGCAGAACTAACACTATTATTGGCTGCAGAAATTTCACTGTCTATTTGCATTTTAATAATTTTAAAAACGGGAAACTTCAAGTTAAACCAACAATTCAGAATACCGCTTAAACCACACCAGGAAACAAACAACACGCATGATACCCTTCCCTAACCACGTGAGTAAAATCCGATGCTGTGATTGATCGCCGTACAAATAGAGAATTTTGCATCGCACGCATCAATGCATAAAGCGAGTTTTGCATCAAGTCATGATTTTTGGGACGGATTTTCGTGTGTTAAAAAGCTAGTTGGGCTCCAAATACTTGTGTAAAATAATAATTAAATATTGTACGAACAAGATGGCGTGCTTAACTACTTTTTTCAATTTCTGTCGATTAGCGAGTTTTGCATCTCGTGCACTCATATGACCCGTAAACTTATCGAAGAATATGAACTTTGGGGGCTAGAAGTAAACATCAAGAAAACTGAATACTTTGGCAATGCAAATAGCCAACGATGGCAAATAAGACGAAGTTACATAGAAATAACCAGAGAAGACGAGCTATTAGGCAATTAAACAGTGTACTGTGAGACAAAACAATCTCCAAAGAAAACACACAAAATCTGTAACATTATAAAAAGCAGTGTTACATATAGAAGTGAGGTATGGCCACTGAAAGGAAAAAACTTAAAAGCATTAGAAGCAACAGAAATGGACTTCTGGAGAAAAGCGGCTGCAAAATCAAGATTAGACAGAGTTAGAAACAAAAGAATACCAATTATGGGTGTTGAGCACAATATAACAGAGGACATCAGATTAAATCAACTAAGATGGTATGGACACATCCAAAGAATGGATGAACACGGAATACCAAAGAAAGTATTGAACTGGACACCGCATAGAAGAAGAAAGCAAGGTAGACCGAGATTAAGTTGAAGAGAAGAAATCGATAAAGACGTTTCCTTACGGATTTTATTTCTTTTTGTGTGTAATTTGGCGGTTCTAAGAATTTTCATCCCCCATATAGATATACACTTACTATTTTTTTTTAATTAGTACACACTATTTTAGCTCTTCTGGTAGGCGGAATTATTAAAGATAGAATCTTTGACAAGTATAACTTATTTCACGAAAAAATCTACGATGACTGCAAGTATTTATCGAAATCAGTACAAATACCTTTAAGGGTAGAAGAAAGCTTTTACGGTAATAAAGATGAAGAATATGTAATTTTCATCACTCCTGGAATCATAACTACGTAAGTTTATTATTATTAACAATAATTATATTATCCCAGAACTTTTTTACACATTTAGAATTTTATCTCATTATTAGGTTTTTCTCATATGTTTTTAAGTACCTTAAATAAATAAGTATGTCAACGAAAATAAATACTATTTGTAAATATTTTGTTAATTTCACTAAAATTTGTACAAACCCCACCTCCGAGTGACATGTGTGTTTCAATGGAACAGTGGGACCCACATGTCCGAAGATTAAACCGGTCACACTCCTTAATATAGATCTGATCCCAAAATCTATAGCCAACCACTCCTCCCTATCGCAAGACATAACGAATGAGGAGGCTTTTGTACTGAGCATTACTTTGAATGCCCTGGGTAATGGGACATTCTCTGTTTTACTTTGTGTGGTTAGGTCATCTAATTTTAGGGGTAGCTAGACGAGCTTTTCGATTGATTGAATTTATTATCTGACTTAACTTTTTGTGTACTCGGTTACTCAGCTGCCAAATCAGCAAAATAAATTTTGTTTTCCTTGATTTTTTTTATTTTTTTTAATCTTCCTTTATGTGGAACTCTTGTTATAAATGAATCTTGACTTTTAAAAAAAAAATACTTATTATTATTATTATTATTACTGAAATATATATTATTTTATTCTTGTATTAGATTGTTTCATTTGCTCCAACTCCGTCACTTTGAATGTGAGAAAACCTCACTCGCTTTGCGTGGCTGCGTAGTATGAGTTCTTGACCAAAACTAACGGCCTCCGCACAAACTCGACTAATCTTCCTTTCAAAGCGATCCCTGCGCGTGTGTGGAGAAATGTCGATTTAAAAATCGATCTCGGGCGGGTCATAAGAAATTTCGTGAGGGATTTTACTCATACAATTTTTAACTTGTATAATATTGGATTAATCAGTAGCGTAAACGCTACACGCTGAGTGCCCGAAAGGTCTGGCGAGCTCACGCTTATAATACTTAACGTCGATGCTCAGGTTGCGCGACTGTTGGTCCTTTGATCTGCCTGAGAGGCGTCTTTATGTTTGTGCCTACGAATTCACTTGAGCTCATTGCATCGTTGGCATAACTGCTGTAACTGATTTTATTAAATCTAAAGGGGAATTTATCATGAATTTAACTTTTTCCTGTGCTTGATAAATTCCAGATAACAATTGAGAATCAGTGTTATTTTTGTTCGCTAATAAACTAAATACTGACTTCTAGAAACTCATAATTTGTACAATTAACATCAATGTAATAGAACTATTGTTTAAGATTACTGAAAACAAAGATATAATCGCAACTCAGCAATAAGTGCATCGCAATAGTAGGATATGTGCGTAAGATAACTTAGTGTTGCATTAATATTGATAACCAAAATGGGTAAAAGACAAAATATAATGGTATGATATGTATGTTGTCTTAAGTGTTGCATTATAAAATTTGGGCTAAAAGGAACTAAGCTACACAAGGATATGGAACATTATGAAAAAAGTATATCACTTTTTATTTATCCTAGTGTTAATATTGTTCTGAAGCTATTTTCTTGTGGCATTTTAAATTAATTACTATTTAACTGGGAATAAGCCACAATTAAAGATAAAAATACGTTTATTGACGTTTCAATTTCCACTTCGGAAATTGTTCTCAAAATACAAACAGTAAATTAAACAAATTTTGTTTTTTTGTTACATAGTGAAAAATTCTTCTAATAATTTAATTTTATCTGACTCATTTATATTGACAATTCAGACATACATTATGCATTTTAAAGTAGACGACTTTAAAATGATATTGCCAATATTGTTGAGTTGCGCTCCTGGGACGACTTTACTTATAAGATAGTTCATTCGATTACATGAAATCAACTTTAACTTGAGAATATCCGTCAGAAAAAAATCATAGCATGTAATTGGTCTTTAAAAAGACAGACACATGACATGATGACAGTAAAATTCTCCTGTTAGTGATTCCATAGTAAATTATGAGGGAAAAACCAGGAAAAAAACCTCATAATACTATCCCGATATGGTAAGTATTTGTTCGTGCATTTAGTTTACCTTCAATAAACACCAAAATTCTGAAACACCGTTATTTAAAAAACATAAATTATGTATCCTCTACATGTTACTGACTTACTAATACTGGTATTTTCTTATTAATAACTTCCTCTTTCAATATTGGTAACCAGATCCTACTACATTCTACCGAGGAATTTGCGACACACTTGGCCTCATTTAGCATAATTAGAGCCGCTTCTTTGATTTTTTTTTACCATCCGTTTCTTTTAGGACTACATTTGAATTATTCCATTGAACCCTATGTTCATTATCCCATGCGTGTTTACATATTTGAGATCTATCAAATTCTCTATTGTTAATATAAGATTGATGTTCACTTATTCTAACATTTAATGGCCTTGATGATTCACCTAAATAAAACTGATCGCATTCACAAGGTATTTTATAAATGCAATTCTTTGTCCTTTCTTCTTCATTGTTAGGTTTCGTTTTGGACAAAATAGATCTCAACGTGTTTGTTGTTTTGAATGTTGTTGAAATGTTGAATTTATTTCCTATCCTTTTAAGTTTTTCTGATAATCCTTTTATGTACGGTATTGTTATTTTCCTCGTATTATTCTTTGTGTATGCTGTAGGATCTCGTTCTAAGTTGTTCTGTTCTATTCGATCGATTGTTGAAAATTCCTTATTTACAAACGATAAAGGATATTCATTTTTTAATAAAACAGATGTTAACAAATGTTTCTCCCCCAAGATCGGGGTAGGAAATAAATTCAACATTTCAACAACATTCAAAACAACAAACACGTTGAGATATATTTTGTCCAAAACCAAACCTAACAATGAACAAGAAAGGACAAAGAATTGCATTTATAAAATACCTTGTGAATGCGATCAGTTTTATTTAGGTGAAACATCAAGGCCATTAAATGTTAGAATAAGTGAACATCAATCTTATATTAACAATAGAGAATTTGATAGATCTCAAATATGTAAACACGCATGGGATAATGAACATAGGGTTCAATGGAGTCAATTCAAATGTAGTCCTAAAAGAAACGGATGGTAAAAAAGAAAAATCAAAGAAGCGGCTCTAATTATGCTAAATGATGCCAATTGTGTCGCAAATTCCTCGGTAGAATGTAGTAGGATCTGGTTACCAATATTGAAAGAGGAAGTTATTAATAAGAAAATACCAGTATTAGTAAGTCAGTAACATATAGAGGATACATAATTTATGTTTTTTAAATAACGAAACATATAAAATCAGAATTTTGGTGTTTATTGAAGGTAAACTAAATGCACGAATAAATACTTACCATGTCGGGATAGTATTATGAGGTTTTTTTTCCTGGATTTTCCCTCATAATTTACTATGGAATCACTAACAGGAGAATTTTACTGTCATCATGTCATGCGTTTGTCTTTTTAAAGACGAATTACATGCTACGATTTTTTTTCTGACGGATATTCTCAAGTTAAAGTTGATTTCATGTAATCGAATGAACTATCTTATAAGTAAAGTCGTCCCAGGAGCGCAACTCAACAATATTGGCAATATCATTTTAAAGTCGTCTACTTTAAAATGCATAATGTATGTCTGAATTGTCAATATAAATGAGTGGAAATTGAAACGTCAATAAACGTATTTTTATCTTTAATTGTGGCTTAGTCCCAGTTAAATAGTAATTAATCCTAGTGTTACACTCAACAGAAGGGTTTATTTCGAATTATTTGACATGAATTTCACAAAAGTCATTTATTTTCCATATCCTACTGTTGCTTTGAGGTGACAATATAGGAAAGTTTTCCGAAGGATAGCCAAGCCAACCGTATTTTTCTCTTTATTTCTTCGGTCTGATTTTTTTTTATTTAATTTAACTAGTTGTCCCAAATATACATATTCTTTTACTTGTTCTATAGTTGTTTGTGCAATTGTAATTATTAATTATTCTGGTTGGTTGGTTTGTTTTTGTTGATTCCCTATTTAATTTATCCATCATATTTTGTAATTATTACTATGTATAGAAACCGAAAATCTAGAAAAGTTTAAATCTTCTTCAGCTATGGATGCTCTAATAAATAAGTTTGCCCAACAAAAGTCGATAACAGTTCATTTTTAACTTGTTTCGGTAACATAATATTTTTCTCGCAGGACCATTTGTATTTGTAAATATATTTGTATACTTTAATATCTTTAATAAATATTTTGTTCAATACAGGCGTTTTTGCTTTTTTTGTTGACCATTTTTTTATCACTATCCTATAGCAGTCATGAAAAAAGGCTCCCGACTAGCTACGCTACTGAACAAAAGCAACGTACTTCTACATACTATTGCCTCACCCCGTATTTTTTTTTGGAAGCTAATTGACCATTGATTGAATTGAATTGAACATTTTTTGTTTTATATTGTTTCAGGATGATATATTTTATGGGAGTTTTAATGACCTGCGTGATAATCGTGGACGAAAAATGTGAAGGTATTTGGGACCGATCCATCGTTGCCGGTGTGACAGCTCTAGAGTTAAGTTTGTCACATCTTCTGTATCAAACCGCATTTATGATTATTTTATCGTTGGACTTCTTATTGTTTGTATTTGTAATTTTTGGACAACCGTATATTGGATCTTTGTGGCTAATATTTGCCCTTTTATACCTACAAGGTTTAGCTGGAATAATGTTGGGTACGTATCTAATTCCGTTATGCTTTTAACTATTTTAGCTAGTCATAAAATTGGAAGTAAAATTAGGTTTGTCTTTAGTTCTGAAGGTCAACATGGAAAAACACAGTACCTATATACAGGAAGTGAGAAAGCTGGAGACGACACAACAAAGAAACAGACATGGCGTAGCGATAATAGTAAAAAGGGAAATAGCTAAAGCAGTAATAGGATTTAAGCCCATATCAGACAGAGTTCTTCCACTGAAGAAGAAATAGAAAATTTCTATCAGACTCTAAAAGACTCTAAAACTGACCAAAAAACATGAAATAACTATTATTATGGGCGATTTCAATGCCAAAATAGGACAAGGTACAGTCGGGAGTCGTGGGGTCATATGGCCTTAATGTCGCCGAAAGATGCGCTGGCCAGCAAAATAGGCGGAGCTTAAGAGCGTAGGCGCAAAATTTCGGGCCAATGCTTTTTAAATGCATTCATTTTTTTCGAATCCTGAGAAAACTAATGAATATTTTTGAAAAATTTAAACGCAGAATGAAAGAATACATTATTACCGAGGGCCGCGCCGTGGGGTTATTAACAACTATATATGACATGTGAAATATGCCTTTTTAGGCATATTTCAAATGTCATATATTTGTTGCCAAAACTGAAAATCGAAATTTCATGTTATAGGTCTTGAAGATTAGTTTCTAACAATGGAAATTCCGTACATTCCGTAGTGACCAGTCAATGAAAGAAATATATTTTATTGGCCTTTTGAGAATCGTGAACAAATGTTAGAAATCGCGCAACGTTTATTTATTTAACAGCTTTATAAAAACTGACTTCGTTTGACAAAATGCAAAAATTGCATACAAAAGCAGCATTCTTCACCTTTAACTCTTTGAGTTTTATTAATCTCTAATTAAATTTTATTAATTTACCGAAAGGGTATCGCAAAGAATTCTATTCATTAATATTTAACACCAAATATTTATTGTCCATATTGTAAATGTTGTACTTATTTTAAAATAGTTTTATTCTTTTTCAGGATTTGCAATATCAGTCTTAAGCAACAATCATATAACAGCGAACTTAATAGTTACGGGAATCTTCAATCCACTTGTATTAGTTAGCGGTAAGTTAAAGTAAATGAAAGATTTACACCCTGATTTCTAACTTCTACTAAACTTTCGTTCGCTATCCTAGTTGTTTTAGGACCTAGTTCTTCCACGAAGGTAAACCAACAACAGGAATACAGCCTGTTTTTCCTTTATATCCAACAAAGTTTTCTGTTCAGTTTTGTGAGTTTTTAAAAGTTTGTAATATAAAAAAAGTATAGCACGAAATAAAAAAAAATACTCTCACTATCTCAGCACCGGGGTTATGTGACAAACATCTACAGGAGAATTCCAGCCTAGGGAATCTCCTTTAGGATGCTAAGCTTACGATAGTTTTTAATAAACAATAATTAAGTTATACTCGAGATAATCGAGCTGTAAAAATATTCCAGAGATGGAAACCCCAAGGAAACAGAACAAGAGGGAGGCCCCGTAAAAGATGGATAGACGATGTAGAGAGGGATCTTAGAACCATGAACATCAGGCAGTGGCGAAGGAAAATATCCGACAGGGCAGAATGGAAGAACTGTGTTAAACAGGCCAAGACTCAGAAAGGGTTGTAGCGCCATTATAAAGAGAAAAAGAAGAATTAAATTATACTAGAAGCTGTTGAATTCTTCTAAAGATGTTCTGTGGAATTTGACAGAAACGCTTTTCAGATCAATACCTTTTTTTTAAAAAATCTTAAAATAGTTTCGAAACACAATTCAGACAGAAATCCTTAGCGAATTGTGCTTCTAGTACTCACACAGAGTAAATCCGAATAAAATGAGAAAAGGCATCAAATATTTGATTTCACGCAAACAAATCCTATGTATCTCTTGATACGTATTTTGATACGTATCTTGATATGTCAGAAGAGCTATTCATAGTGGTGCTCAACGTGAAAAATCAATATTTTCTGCCTTTTAAGAAGTAACAATAACAATGGCTTCAATAATTCATTAATGGCGTCCGTATTGAAGCCATGTTATTGTTGCTTCTTAAAAGGCAGAAAATATTGATTTTTTACGTTGAGAACCCCTATGAATAGCTCTTCTGACGAGACCTATTAGGTCGAAATACGTATCAAGAGATACATAGGATTTGTTTGCGTGAAATCAAATATTTGCTGCCTTTTCTCACCTTTTTTTTATTTAAAAAAACCAATAATGGTCGACGCATTTATGACAGTCCGAAATAGCTATCTTAGATATTAGATTTTTGTATACTTGTCCGGAGCATTTCACTTCTTAAACGATTCGCTTCTTAAATCGGCCTTCTTAACACACAGTGCCAAGTCAGGACTATGAAATTAGTTCAACGGAGTTAAGATGTTTATTGTTAGCTACCAGAATCATGCCTTTTGGTAAGGACTGTGTACCTGGGATTATGAACGCCCTAAATCTAAACAATCAGTGTCAGTGCGCTTGAAAACACTTTAAGTGAAGTGAAAATTGCTAACACCCAGAATATTATTGAGTTAGAGAACATTGGTATGATAAGTGTGGAGATGAAAAGTTTAAAAACAATCTATGATGATCTAAAAAAAGATCTTAGGATTATTAAAGAATCTATCACTGGTAACAAATCAGTATTCAGTAAGTAGTGCTGGAAATGTTAACATTCAAAATTGTGCAGATGTCAAAGGTACCGAGGCAGTTTTTGGAGAGATACAGGACAGGACCCGAAGAGGGTCTGTAATACCTGATAATGTACCTGAAAACTATTCCAGTGAATCTGTCATCCGTGCTAAACACGATAGAAATGAGGTCCAAGGAATTCTCAATAAAATAGGTCTAAAGAAAAACACCTTTAAAAGCTTTTCGTTTGGTCGACTAACAGATAATCCAAGACCTCTAAAAGTCGTATTTAATGATTCAGCAATAGTTATCACATGTTTAAAACATCGTAGATTTTCAGAGTAAGAAATTGAAGGTCGTTTATCAGGAGTTAGAATTCAGAAAAACACAGGGTGAGAATGCCTAGAAGATAATGTACTTTAATGGGGTACATAAAATCATTGTAAGTAAATCCAATAATTCAAAAAACGATCATTGAGCTTATATTTTCAGAATGTTGACGGTATGTGGACTAAACTTGCTGTGAGTCTCTCTAGTTATAATGTTATTATTATTATTCAAACATGGCTTACATCTAGAATCTTGGATGCTGAATTGGGATTGAGTGACTTTAATGTTTAGGTATAGACATGACAGGGACACTCAAACTAGTTCAAAGACAAAAAAGTTAGTAATTGGTGCTGTGTACTTTCCTTCGCGGTCATCTGGGTCAGTGTATGAGGAGCATTCCACCTGTATGTTGGACTTAGCGGATATATTCAGTGATTGTGAATTCTGTATTTGTAGTGACTACAACCTACCATTACAATGCATTAGAAACAATTTGAAATTTGCCAATAGTTGTGAAAAACCAACAATTTTTTTAAACTATTGATTTGTCCCTCTTAGATTTTAAAGTTCAGCAATCTTGGTTTCAGGTATCTTTTGGCCCACCGAAGCATTACACAAATATATATACTCTGTCGTAGAATGGTTACCATTAGCAATTCCAATATCAGCATTACGAAATGTCATCAGGAAAGGATGGACACTTACAAACTTACATACCCTTCACGCAATAGGACTATTGTGTTTCTGGATTCTATTTCTCTTAGTGGTGAATATCTACTTGACGAAAAGGAAAAGATGAGACAAGAAATAAGGAATGGTAGAAGGTTGATAAGCTAATAGTTAATAAATAAATATTTTCAATTTTTGTTACTGGTGTTTCTTTTACTTTTCTTGTATTCCACACACATAAGTTTTGTTTTTCTTCTCTGCCTTTTCACCCTGTGACTTGTGAACGCTTATTCTAGAACAAAAGACGCTTTTGATTGCTATCACAGGAATTTGTTCGCTTTTGACCTATTCTGTACCATTGGGTGGTATAGTTGGCATCTTCTGATACTCTCTATATTTTATTTCACCCTTCTGCTAGTTCTGAAATTCTTAATGTTTTCTTTATATATATATATATATATATATATATTATATATATATATATATATATATATATATATATATATATACAGTGTAGGAAAATTTTTATGGTCGGTATGCTAAAATTTAACAGGATATCTAACGCAGATATAAAATCATATTTTCAGCGAATAGACAAAGATAACAATCTTATTTCCCCTTGGTCTCCCCTCCTCAAATATTTTTAACACCTATTGGCCATTAGTGAGACGAATAGTTCCGATCAGAGATATTTTACATATTCTCTGGTTCCGATCCTAATATACCTAAAAAACTAGAGGTGGGTCCTCCCGTTTTTTAAATTTTTATCGGAACCGTTTTTCGTAAACTGTAACTAGTTGATTCAAATTAGCGAGTACACAAACATATTGGCTATTATCGTTTATGTGTATAAGTATTGAAGTGAAAGAACCTAACGAAGGATATATTTATTATAACTTGAAAAATAAATTAAACAATACAAATAGTACTTACATTTACATTACACGTTATTATTAAATCGCGAACCGTCTAAATTGACATTTAAAAACAAGTTTTTCTACTTTTCTTGTTAACTGTGTTCTTCTTTTATTTAAAATTAAACCAGATTTTAAACATGTGTTCACAAGGAAAAGATTTTGTTACAATTCTACAATATTTTATGAATATAGTGGCTAAGTTAGGATATACATGGCGATGGTTTTTCCACCACGGTAATGGACAGTTCCAATCTCCGTTCGAAATTTATTGTGGGTAATATATTATTAGACAAATACATGTCTACTTCTTGTATATCTCTCGATACAGTTGTATGTTTAGATGAGTCATGTCCAATTAATTCATCAAAAATACACAATGGACTTAAGTCATCTTTATCAGTTTCTTTTTCTTGACTAAACTTATTGATTTACTAAACTTATGCAAAGACTCGTTTCATCCCTTTTTGTATAGGTGAAGAACCAGATTTTAAAAAGTTTGCAGGGTGGATTCCTGGATATAAACCGCCAACAAGAAAAACTGTTAGATTCATTACTTCAGGAATGTTATGTCAAAACTGATTTGATAATAGATAAAAAAAAGTCCTTTTTTCGACAATTCTGCAAAAAACATTAAACTCTGTTGACTGCCGCTCTAAAAAGGTCTGCACTACTTCATTCAAACCATTCCCTTAAGTTCTTAAGCCAGGATATTCTTCGTCTTCCCACATTTCGCTTTTCTCGGATTTTGCCCTGCATAATAAGTTGTAATAATGCGTATTTTTGCCCTCTCATCACATGTCCCAAGTACTCAAGTTTTCGTCTTTTAATAGTTAATATTATTTCTGCCTCATTTCCTATCCTTCTAGTTACTTCAATGTTTGACATTTTTTGAATCCATGATATTCGTAGGATTCTTCTGTAACACCAAAATTCAAAGGCGGCCAACTTATTCAGATGAACTTGTTTTAGTGTCCAAGCTTTCAGACCATAAAGAAGAGTAGAGAACACGTAACATCGAAGCATTCTCTGGCGTAGTTCTAACCTTATATCCCGACAACAAAGAAACTTTTTAAGTTTAATAAATGATGTACGTGCTATTTCAATACGTGTCTTAATTTCTTTTATTTGGTCTACATCTGATGTTATCCATGTTCCTGTATTTATAGTTATTAACACTCTTAATTGCAGTATCTTCAATAGTCAATTGGATATTTGTGCAGATTTAGTCATGATCATGCATTTAGTTTTCTTTAAATTTATCTTCAGTCCGTACTCATGACAGCGTTCATTAAGGCGTTGCATTAGGTTCTGTAAATCATTGTTGTTATCCGTAATTATTACTGTATCGTCTGCAAAACGTAAGTTATTCAAAACTTCTTCATAGATAGATATACCTTCTATTGAGTCAGAGATCGCTTCTTAAAATACCGATCACTGTAGACATTGAAAAGTAGTGGGGACAGCACGCAACCCTGGCGGACTCCTCTCTGTATTTTGATATTTTCGGTGTACTGGCGTGTATTTCCGTTCCACATCGGTATTAAATAATACAGACTTAGACTTAGACCAAATCTAAATAAAAAACACTGGATTATTTGTTCTCAGCTTTCCCAAATTTTACGGCCGTTTAAAGAAATAACAAGTACAATGAGTGGCCAAAAATACTTGAAGGGTAGTTCAGTGATTGTTATGGTACGCCATATGTTTTGGCCATTATGTTTGTTTATGTAGGTACTCTCTTACTTGAAACTACTTTTAAACAATCATAGTTAGTTGTTTACAAAAATTTAAATTTTTAAATTCATTCATTTTTTTTTGGAATCCTGAGAAAACTAACAAATATTTTTGAAAAATTTAAATGCAGAATAAAAGATTACATTATTACCGAGGGCCGAAAGTCCCTTAGAATAAACAAAAAGTTTTTTGAATGAGATATTTGAAATTAAAAATCACACTAATTTTTTTTTTCGCCCTTATAACTTATTAAAATAAACATTATAGAAGTTTTCAGGGACTTTTGGCCCTCGGTAATAATGTATTGGTTCATTCTGCGTTTAAATTTTTCAAGAATATTTATTAGTTTTATCAGGATTCGAAAAAAATGAATGCATTTAAAAAATATTAATCGCTCTTACGCTCTTAACGATAAAATTACCACGACCCACCTCTACTACCCGTTACTCGGTATTCTGACCAGACGGACGACGTTGCCAAATAAATTATTGTGTGTGAATATTTTTTAATGTGGTGTTATTGTATGCAGTTTATTATTTCATATTGGGAATAAGGCACAATGTGACTTTAAAATAAGCTTATTTTGATGTTTAGATTTTTAATTCGGAAATCGTACTTAAAATACGAAACATTAATAAATTTTATTTAGGTATATAAAACGATTTCCAAAGTGGAAATCAAAATCTTATATTACACTTATTGTAAAGTAAACTTGTGGCATATTCCCAATAAAAAAAAAGAGTAAGCTGCCATTTAAATCAATTTCGCCCAAATTGGATTATCTTAGAACATTGTTCAAATGCAAAAAAAAAACAACAGGTGAAATAAATCCAATAAGTTTGGCAACGTTGAATTTCCCCTTTTTTAATATTTCCATTCGGCGATATAAAGGGCGTACCTAATATACCTCTCTCTTTTTAAACAGCTGTTTCTCACTCCATCTCACGTAAGGTCCATACCGACCATAAAATTTTTCCTACACTGTATATATATACCTCTACATGTTTTTTGTGGCCTACTTGTCTTTTTCTTGACACACTGTTTATGTCTTAACTGCCCTTTTTTGATGCCTGAGATATTAAGCGTCAGAAATACGTTAAATAAAAGTGAAAGCGTAGGAAAATTGGACATGGCTGGCATATCTAACTTGTGAGGTAAGTGAGCACAATGTAGTTTTTCCTGAACTTCTTTTATCATTGTATTTTATGGAATCGCATCCATTTTTTTTACTCATTGCATGACTCCGGCAAGTGCTGGGTGGATTAAGTAGCTCAGTAAATGTCGGTGCTGATGCCAAGCAAGTTCGGATAAAGGAGGAGGGTTAAGGCGATGGGCTAGCAACTCATCCCTTGTCAAAATAAATACATGCTAAAAATTTCGATCAAAGCCTCGAAATACAAAGGATGGATCAAAACAAAAACGACTAATGCAACGGAAAAGAAAAATGATATTGGTTACATGGAATGTACAAGGACTTATAACCAAAAAAGCAGAAGTATTCAAAGAATTAGCGGAAAACAAAATAAATATATTTTCTCACCGAGACCAAGAAAAAGGAAATGAAGGGATAGGGGAATATATATATATATATATATATATATATATATATATATATATATATATATATATATATATATATATATACATATATATATATATATATATATATATATATATATATATATATATATATATATTTACAGTGGAATGAGTAAAGTTAACAGAACTAAGATAGGAGTCTCTACTGCCATTCGAAAAAATCTTAAAAACAATATTAAATCGTGGACTGAAGTCAATGAACAACTGCTAATACTGGAAATGAAAAAGAATGGGCACAACATCGTAATTGTCAGAGTGTATGCCCCAAATGAAGATGCAGATCCAGAAAGTAAAGACGATTTCTACAACAAGATGAATGAAATACTCTCTGAAATTAAAGAAAACTGTGAAATCTTTATACTAGAAGATTGAAACAGCAGAGTAGGGAGAGAAGAAAATAACAGAGTCGTAGGAAGATATGGGGAACAAATAACCAATAACAATGGAATGCGCTTTAGAGATTTTTGTGAAACAATGTCTCTCAAAATTATGAATGGATCTTTTCAACATAAACATTCAAAAAATTTACATGGATATAACCTACTATTCGCAGCTGAAAACAACTGACGTAAGTGTATACCGTGGATCAGAATGTGGACCCGACCATCGTTTACTTATTGCCAACGTGATAGTTAACTATCGCAAAACCAATAACACTCAGATACAGAATATAGAAAATTAAATCGAGATGTAAAAAGACAAGTTTTTTTTTAACCTATTCTCTATCCTTCCATTGTTGGATATAGGTCTCCCCCAGTTCTCTTCATCTTTCCACCTCATCTGTAAAATGGAAAAGGAAAAAAAAGAGAAGTAGTGAAAAGTAAAAATGAGATGTGGGATCGAAGATGTGCAGAGGTGGATAGGTATATGGGTGGAACAAGAGTTGGGCAAGCGTGGAATGTGAAAGTCTCTCCGGAGGGAAGGAAAGGAAAAATCTAACCAACAGTTAATAGATCTGAAGCAGTGGAAACACTATTATGCCTTACTGACAGAGGATAGATGTAAATTCCAAGGAATCGAGATGAAAGAAATATCCGAACATACACAAATAATTGAGATAACAATCGGAGAGTTAAGCGATGCCTTCAAAAGATCGAAAAACGGTAAAGCAGCAGGACCTGGAGACATCCCAATTGAGTTGGTAAAGTATGGACCAAAAATATTACATGAGATGTTGGTGTAGATATTTAACAAATACTTAAAAGGACAAAATATCCCTGATGAATGGAATGATGGATACATCAACTCAATATTAAAGAAAGCGATAGACACAAATGCTCTAATTATAGGGGAATAACTGTTCAGCTAAATAAATCAGCTCAGTGGGGAGGTTGTACGGTCGAATAATAAAAGAAAGAATAGAATCAGAATACAAAAACATTAGAACAAAATGGATTGCGTACAAGAAAATCGTGCACTGATGGTATATTCTTTCTGCAGCAGATAATCGAAAAACGGAAGGCAGGGAATCTATCTACCCACCTATTGTTTGTAGATTTAGAGAAGCCATACGATAAGGTACCTTTGAAAAAACTGTTTAAAACATTGACAAAAGTAGGTGCCAGAAGAGAGTATGTGGATGCCATTGCAAATATATACAAAAATGTAAGAAGTGTCCTTAAAGAAGGAAACTTTATATCTGAATCATTTCCAATCACAAAGAGAAGTGGAGAAAACAAGTATCAGGAATGGGAATAGACATTGGAGTTGGTAAATGTCTAACAACTTTATTTTTCGCAGATGACCAGGTAGTCGTAGCGCATGATGAGAACGACATGGACTACATGTTTAGAAAACTAAAGAATATGAAAAATGGAGCCTCAATATGAATATATCAAAGACAAAGTATCTTAAAATAGGAGATGATGAAGAAGATCCAGAGTTGAAATTAGAAAGACAAAAACATGCAATGAATATAAATATCTCGGATCTATAATATCTAAAGAAGGCACTACCAAAAGAGACATCGAAAACAGAACATAGCAGGGAAAAAACGGTCAACATTTTAACTAAATATATTAGACAAGAAACGAAATTGACAAACTATCGAACCTTGGTAGAGCCTATTATGACTTATGGTGCAAAATTTTGGCAGATCAAGAAAAAAGATCGAAAAGGAATAGAAATAGTAGAAATGGATTTTTAAGGAGAGCCTCTTTCAAGGAGAAGATATTAGAAGGAGAACAAATACTGTATATTCCAGTGTAGACAGTGAAACGAGACAATAGTGTGGTATGGTCACATGAAGCGAATGAATGAAGATAGATGGCCAAAGAAAGCTTTAAATTACATACCACAACAAAGAAGAAGAGGAAGGTCTTCAGTTGCCTGGGAAGAAAATGTACGGCACATAATGAGAAATAGAGCCACCAAAGAAGACGAATGGATGGACAGAAAACGATGGCGGTCTAAATGCGAGAAGCGGCAGGAACTTCGCTTATATATTTACTCATTACATGTCTTTTTCCAGTTGTTTCATTTTATACCACGTCGTTCTTTGGGCACTTAATTTATTATTACTTATTTCACATTTTATTTTATAGTTTTTCACTGACACCTAATCCTATATTCCCATATCTTTCCCCAATACAGCATCTTTTTATACACCTTTGGTCTATTGATACATTTTCCCCCAAAATCAAACTCAGATGTCCATAATGACAATAATATCCTACACAATAATTTTTTTCTTTATTTTTTATAAATAAACTTTTTTTTCTTACAAAAAATGTTAGAAATACTGTAAATATAAAAAATATATTTATACAACTAGTGGTAAATCTATTATTGAATATCTACAATATTCAAGCAATACAGGTTTCTATAATGTCAAGATTGTTTTTTTCTTCTTCCAAATACCGGTCGAGGTTTATAAAGATCGTCGCTACTGTACCTCTGAGTATCTGCAACAAAAAAATCACATAGTTAAATGGTGCTCTAAGGACCTAGAGTAGCCGATAATATAGCACAATGCTGCAGCAAAAACACTATTAAACTTTAATTGAGATATGCCAATAACACAGTGCACCGATTATTGGCGTGGCTGGCGAGCAAAAATGTATCTGCAGGTACGTGCTGATTAGTATAAGACAAAGAAAGAATTCGGGTGTATGACTATGAGCTAATTCCTGTTTTTTTTTAAGTTGTGCAGCCCTATTAACGCATATCCGGCCACCATACATTTTGCAATGTGTTTGATCGGCTACACTTTTCCAGTAGAAGTTACGTTGTGTTTGAATCCAGGTTTTTTCCGGTCGTGGATAGTGCTTGTTAGTAAGCCTAAAGCCGAAGATTTTTTTTAGTAGTCATACATATTTTTTATAATATACTAAAGAATTCATTGCTAGTTTTATTGCTAAATATATTTTAAATATGATTTATTTAATAAAACTTATACGAATCGCTTATTTCAGAAAAAACTAAGCCTCATTTTGACGATTTTGAGTTTATAACACCAACGTATATTTCTGTGGGTTACACACAATATAATGCAGGTTGTTTCTACACTCAATTGTCAGCTGTCATTTTGCAGATCGACGTTTACCATAACCTATAAAATTCATAGTGTTTCTATTGTTTGTTCTTATTGCTGCTTACAAAAAGTTGTCTGTATATTGGAAGAAAAACGTTCATATTTTAATATTATTATGAACAACGATCAACCCACCACCAGTGCTGAAAACGCTAAGCTAAGGAGAGTCTGCTACTAAAAGGAGTACGGGAATTAGGAAATCGGATGAATATCAGCGTAATGTTATCAGATACTGAAAGAATCTAGTATTGATGACAAAGATTAAGCCCAATTAAAAATTTATACTTACAGTAAAGGGCAACTGTATGAGTAGACAACGAAAACTCACAAAAATTTACGATAAAACGGGGAGTACATCATGGCTGCATTTTGTCAGCGACGTTATTCAGTACTTACTCGGAAATGCTGTTCAGGGAAGCTATTGATGGTTTAAGAGAAGGTATAAAAATCAATGGTGAAATCATAAACAATTCAAGATATGCGAACGAACGGTTGTGATTGCTGATTATGCAGAGGATCTGCAAATATTAATAGACCGTGCAGTGGAAGTTTGTGACAGATACGGCATGAAATTAAACTGTAAGAAGACCACAATTATTGTAGTAAGTAAAAACGACGTAATACAGCACCAATTCACAGCTAATAATGAACCCTTGAAAATAGTCGACAAAATTACATATAGAAAAGGCGAGAACTGTCTTCATTCGCCTCAGGAAGATTTTATTTAATATGCACCTAAACATTGATATGAGAACACGAGTCTTGAGATGCTATATATTTTCTACCTGGACCTTGACGGAGGTAACATACAAACGATTAGAAGTCTTCGAAATGTGGTGCTACCGCCGCATTCTCAGAATTTCCTATATCCATCATGTTACAAACAACACCGTCATCCAACGTATGAATAAAGATCTGGAAATTCTGACATACTTAGGGCATGAGAAGTATCAACTAATTCAACTAATTTTACAAGACAAGATAGAAGGCAAAAGATTTCAAGGGTGCAGAAGAACATCGCGGTTGAAGAACATCAGACAGTGGGAAGGAATGACTACCATACATATATTTAGAGCAGCTGTCAACAAAGTTGTATGGACCAATGTGATTGCCAGCATCCACAGAGGATAGGCACCAAAAGAAGAAGATGTGGAGTGATTACTACAGATAAAAGGAGAAAAAATATAAAAGGGAACATTATCGATGCTGGAACTAGGGAACTTATCCGTAGCCACATAACTACATTTCCAATCAAAGAGCCTCATTATTCTGGTAAGGAATTTAAGTACTTAGATACGAAACTTAATATAAAAATAATGCACGAATTATTTATTAAAAAGTATCTTCAGAGTACAGTAAAATACAGTAACTACAATAAATTTTTTCATGAAAATTTTAACCTACATTTTGGTAGGATAAAAATTGACACATGCAATATCTGTGAGGAGCTTCTTTTTTCCTGAAATTTCTGTACAACACCTATTTTATCTGTCGCAGCTTACCGTTAATGGTGGGTGGAAGAACCGTTCAAATCATTTTACGAAAATATTATTCAAACATCAGCAACTAAGAAAAAATCCAAGGAAGTCTCAAAATAAACTGTATAATATTAAAATTGTTTAGTAATACTTTTGTTTTGAAACCTGACGTTTTATTACTGAAACAACCTAAATCCATTTTAAATATGTTTATTTAAAGAGTTTAGTAACGGTTTATAATGCTATTGTTTTTGATAAATTCTTACATTAGATGTAATCTATTAACTTTAAACTTGTTCAGATAAACTCTCAAAACGTTTTGTTCATCTCCTGCAAACTGTCCGAATGTGACTTGGGTTGTTTCTGAAATAAGCGATTCATATATAGATATAATAAACGCACCTTCCACCCCCGCCGTTTCATTACTCCCTACTACTATATTAGTTTGATAGATCACGCAAGTATGACAGACAAAGATAGGTAGACCACTCAAAGTGAATATTGTTTCACCTGTATTCACAGAGCCGCCCGTACCTTACCTAGTCTATTCTTTTTATCTATAGATTCATAACAAAGTGCCAGGCTGTGATCGATGTTAGAGATAGTGCAAACACTCCTGACCACGGCGCAGTAGACGAAATTTGGTTTAGTCCTTACTTCCATGCGAAGCGTACTGTACTATACAACGTAAATGGTAGAACTTTTCAGTTTGATTAGCATAATTCCACATACAATAGAGCCTTTCTGCCTTTACGCGAATTTTGACTTGGCCTTCATGTAGCTCCATGGTCAGAAGTGTTTGCACTATATCTAACATCATTCTGATTGAAGCGGTACAAAAACGAATAATATATGTAGTATTTCTTAGCTGTCGCATACTATACCATTAATTGTGCATAATTTTCATATCAAAATCGATGCAGATCTATTTGTAATAGCACATTATTCGCAATACAGACGGAGTACCTATGATTATCGAAGATAGAAGATCATCACGATTCTGCGATATACGATAAACTGCTCAAACATTGACAAAATTAACACAATTCTTGTATATTCCACACAAAAAGCAAAATAAATCAGTAACAACACGAAACAAAGAAAAACATAAATGTCCACCACCCTGGTCAAGCAACAACCAAATGTCTAGCTAAAATCATCGTCATACTTACATTCTCGCATAATCCTTTTTTGTTTTATAGGAATAACCAGATCTTCGTCTTTCCTTTCGTTAGATTTGTCACTTTCTGCTGGACTCAGCGGAAGAGAAAAGTGTTCCGCAGGAGTGATATCTTAAAAAAAGTACATTTTTGTCAATCGACTGATATTCTGTGCACAACAACATGCAGCAGCAAGTGTTTCAAAATCAGCTCTTGAGATCAAATTTGAACACAGTAGGCATTTTTAGAAGATGAGTTAGTTAATTAATAATAGGTATTATAATGTTTTCAATAGTTTTACACTATGATGTAAATGTTTTCTGATAATGAGTTGTGGGACAAGGTCATACTGTGGAAAATCACTGTACAGAATGCCAGGTTTTTTAAATTTTTTCCTAATAAAAATCACGCGCAGCTTGATATACTTTGCAGCGTGTTTTAGATTAAGAAATAAACCACAATATTAATCTGACAACAATATTGTTAATAAGCTATTACGATTCCACTACTGTAAACAGACCAGCCAATATTTTTACACGTCAAGTATACCCTCATATTGAGTATAAAAATCGTTCAACAAGAATTATTCACTTTTTTTAAGAAATAATTTGTTTGCAGAATTATTGTACACCACTGAACAAAAAACTAAGACACTCAAACTGTAGAACTTCTAGAACTTCTGAACACTTAAAAATTTTATACCATGTAAATAAAATAATTTATTCAGCTTTCGATGAGTACGAAAAAACCTAAACACTCCCTAACATTATTCAGTTTCCTCAACTCTTTCACGATGAACCTTTAAAACAGAATTTTAGAAATACATTAACGTCTTGGTGGTGAAAAAAACAACATTTACAACTGTCAATAAGTTCAAAAGTTGTCAACATCGGTCACCATGTTTCTGTAAGTTCTAGGAAGTAACCACGAACCGTAATTGACAGAAATCGTTTGGAAAATTGTTAATCACTTTACACTAAGTTTTAAGTTTCATGTAAGGTTTTTGTCCAACAGTGTACTGTAATTCTAAAATTAATTACCTACTCTATATAATTCTAATATTAATTTCTCTTCGATATTTTAATTGGTTTTGTAGTTGGTACAAACAATTTCGTCATTTACGTTAACCTAAAAAGTAATAAGAAAGGCGGACAATTTTGGGTAAAATTTTTATGACAATATACCAAAATCTTATACATCAAACTATAGTAGAAGCCACAGTTAGAATTCAGTGCAGATAAGATAGCAAATGTATTTCTTACGGGAGAACGGCCGACCACGTTGCCGGTTTGAATCGAGCGGCACATCAGGACCGGATTTAAGAATCATAGCACTGGAATATACGAGCACACAACAATTGCATACGGTTGTATAAAAGACTATCATTATTGTTTCAACTAAAGCATGATTCAATCATCGATGTATAAATCTGAGAGTTACATTGTCGAACTAAACAATAACATAAAGAAAAATACTATAAAAAAGTAAAATATATCAAAAACTCATTCTTCTTCTTCTGGTAGCACTACAACCCGGGGTGGGTCTTGGCTGACTGCACAACCTGCTTCCATCTCGAACGGTCGTCCATGATGTTTAAGTCAGTGGGTAGCCCCGTTGTTCTCAAATCTGACCATATATTATCTCTCCATCGCATTCGTGGACGTCCTAAGGGCCTTCTCCCTGTCGGGAGTTCTTCCTAGATTAACTTGGTAAGGCGGTTATTAGGGAGCCTATGAACATGGCCAGCCCATCTTAGACGTTGGGATTTAATCTCTTGGACTACGTCGCTAGCACTATACATTTGTTTGACCTCGGCATTTGTTCTCATTCGGTATTGGTTAGTATTCGGATAGTGATAGGGACCGAAGATCTTTTTGAGGATTTTTCTCTCAAAGCATCTGAGTTTACTTTCCATTGCTTTTGTTAGGGTCCACGTCTCACACCCATACATGAGCACCGGTCTAATTACTGTTTTATATATCCTGATTTTTGATGTTCGTGTTAGGCTCTTGGATTTAATAGTATTGTGGAGGCTATACATACATCTGTTTGCTGCCTGAAGTCTCCCTTTTATCTCTTCCGTGATATCGTTATCTGTGGTGATAGTCGCTCCGAGATATTTAAAACTCTCCACTCTTTCAAAGTTATAGGGGTCTATTGTTACATTTGGTCCTATTCTATCTCGTCTCTTTTACCTGTTAATGCACATATATTTGGTTTTCTCTTCATTGACCCTTAGACCGATATTTTTTGCCTCTCTCTCTAATTTATTGAAGGTTTCTTTTACATTGGTGACGGTATTTCCTACAATGTCAATGTCATCCGCGTATGCTAGTAGTAATTTTGGTCCATTTACTGTCAGTAGTTCTGTTCTAATTTGTGCGGTTCTTACTACTTTTTCCAGGATTATATTAAAAAGAAGAGGTGACAGCGCGTCTCCTTGTTTCAGTACACTGTTTATTTCAAACGACTCTAAGAGCTTGTTACCTATCCGCACTCTAGATCTACAGCCATTTACACAAACTTGAACGAGCTGGATAAGTTTTTTTGGAACTGAAAGTTCTGCCATTGCATTCCACATCTGATCGGAAATCTATGAAGAGATTATGAATGGTTCTATTGAATTGCCATCCTTTTTCAAGCAGCTGTCTGAGAGTAAAAATCTGATCTATAGTCGATCTATTTTTTCTGAATCCGGCTTGGTATTTCCCTATGAAATTTTCTACAAAAGGTGTTAGTCTACTTAATAGGATGTTCGATAAGATTTTGTACGCCGTATTAAGTAGGGAGATGCCTCTATAGTTAGAGCACTTGGTTTTGTCTCCCTTTTTATGGATAGGAATTATTACACTTTCGTGTCATTTTGTTGATATTTTCTCTTCGTTCCATATAAGTGTTATTAGTTTGTGTAATTGTCTATATAAAGTTTCTCCTCCATACTTAAGAAATTCGGCTGGTATATTGTCAGAGCCTAGAGCTTTTGCGTTCTTCAATTTGTTAATTGCTTGCAATGTTTCTTCTATTTTTGGGTACTCTACCGGTAGGTCCACCCCAAGGTATATATCCTCTCCATGTTCTTCATCTTGGTGTATATTAAGTAAATTTTTAAAATATTCTTGCCGTATTTGGAGTAGTTCTTTGAGAAAAAACTCATTGTCAATAGTTTATCTGTATTTATCAATATTCAATAGCTTCTATTGTAAACACCTTCTTTGGGAAATAAAGATCATTATAAAGTCATTAGGAGAAGCGAATCAGTTTTAATCCCCATTGTCCAAAACTCAGTCGCTCATGGCGCCGTTGCCAGTATCTGTCGTGAATTTCAAACAGGGTAAGACTCTTAATGTGCAAGTAAAACGAGTGGTGTTACTACTATCATCTGAACTTAAAAAATGGTGACCGCTTGACTATTATCGTGGAAAAAGTTTCAAAAATGTGCGGTGTGAGTGTTGGCAAAATTTATGACATCCGCGAAAAGGCCCAGAAAGGCGAACTGAAACCGGTATAAAAAAAAAGGGAAAAAAAACAGTTTCCAGTCCAATTCACGAGAGATTACCTACGATGAGCGAGTTAAATCTCGAATAAGGAAAATTGTCCATGATTTATTTTGGAAAACATACCACCAACCGTCGACAGCATAATGAATATAGTGAAGGATGATGAGGACCTACAGCTTTTTCAAAAACCACATTACGTAGGCTACTAAATGACATGGGTTTTTAATATGGTAAAAGCGGTCGAGGTTCGATAATGATGGAAAGAAAACATATCATATCCTGGAGACATAAGTACCTCAGACAAAATAAATACATTGAGGAAGAAGGATAATGTAAATCACAACGATCAAGAATCCACGAGATGCCATAAAAGGTTCTCTACTGGACTGAAAGCTCAAATCCAAAGAGATCCTCGGTTTGTTTTTCTTCAAGCTGGAAGCGAAACAGGTTTTGTGCCATACGTACGTTCAGTACATTTCAGTTATGATCTTGTGTATTTTATGTATAATATATTTATCGTGTCGTATAGTCACCTACAGAAGAATAAAAAAAGAGATCAAATTAGCTAAAGAAAAATGGATGAGAGAAAGGTGCGACGAAATTGAGGATGTAATATCTAAACACGACTTTAATGTGCACAAAAACCAATAGAAATGAGTAACATATTTAAAAAACGAGTTCCCTCTGTACTCGTTGACAATAATAACAAAATCAGAAAAGAATGGCAGCTGTATATATCAGAGTTGTTTGAAGATGACAGGAATAATATTGCCGAATTCTATCAAAACTGTACTGACGGCCCAGAAATTATGATTATGAATTATGCGAGAAAATGCTCAGAATATTGATTAATTAGCCTAATGAACCACTCTTAAAATTTTCCTCAGAATACTTCACAACAGAATTAAACACAAATGCGAAGAAGGTCTTGAAGATACCCAATTTGGTTTTAGAAATGCTATGGGAATCAGGGAGGCACTTTTTGCGCTTAACATCCTATTACAAAAATGCTGTGACCAAAGAAAACATGTATTTGCATGTTTCGTGGACTTCGAAAAGGCATTCGATAAAGTACAGCATGTAAAATTAATGCAAATACTGAAAAATATCGGAATAGATGACAAAGATATTCGTGCCATTAAAAATTTGTACTGGAATCAATCAACTGCTATCGTAAAAATTGGAGATAACTACAACGATGAAATCTCTATACAACGAGGAGTCAGACAAGGTTGCATTTTGTCGCCAACATTGTTCAATGTTTAATCGGACCAGTTGTTTTTAACAATGAGTAAAGATTTTTGAAATGAAGCGCGTACGGTCCTGATTTCTCAGTCTATGGTCAAACTACCACACACCTACCACGGTGCCGGCATAAGCGACAACACTGCGCACTGTAAGACCAACATTATATTCTTCTAACTGTGGTTTCTACTATGGAAGTTTAATACTGATGCCCACGTGCATCAAATTTAATTTATACAGATGATCTTCAGATAAAAAATAAGTTTTGCTGGATTCAGAAACCAATATTAGTTTATTAGATTTGGTTAGGGTTAGTTCTGAATGTATACGGCATTTAAGAATAATCAACTTGGATTTCTTTGTATAAAACTGATATTAAGTATATACCATTTCAAATACTAGTGGATCTGACAGTAGTCTAGCCTAGAAGGAAGAAAACGCAATTTTGTTTTTTTTTTTCTCATTTATTTTTCAACCTAGTCCCCCAATAAATTTGATAAGACGCTATCTCAACTTTTTTTACCGCTTCTCAAAGTTTCTAAGAATTAAGTTTCCTCTATGACGTCATTCGTCTTAAAACGGCATTTTCTGAACCATTTTTATTAACTTAACGAATAAGAAATAATCACACCAGCCTAAATCTGTCAAATATGGTGGATGTTCGATCAACTATAACTTAAATTGATGCAATTTTGCCCGTGCAATGACCGTCTTCTGTGAGACGTTGCCGATTTTCTCCACTAGTCTGACTGCTCTTTGGTCTCCAAAGCATAGACATGGACCCATGTTTCATCAATAGTTTTCGTAATACATTTTTGGTTGAGAGTAAGCAAACGTATCACTTATTGAGTTCATAGCTAATTTCGCATCCAAATTTTCAAATATGATCTTATGTACACACATAAGTCATATGTCTGGAGGCTACAAACAATAACTATATCTGCTACCACCTTATCCATTTTTGTTGTACGATATGACATGATCATATTTTCATCATCATCACTTTGTTAATAATTTCTGATGTAGTGAGAATTTCTAAGACACCTGAAAATTCATCGTTAAACACTAATAAATTCAGTTTCCAAACTGAACTCGCCAGAAAGAATATCCAATTGGGCTTTGATTTCTGTTTTGTTTCAAGTGAAGGTACTAACTTACCAGGCAACATAATTGTTGTTTTTAGTTAAAATGTTTACAGACAGCATGCATTTAAGGATATTTATGTCAAGAATAGGTTAATTTGTTCACTACTAACGCCATCTATCGAAGGCTAGATTAATGCCGATCTACTGCTGTACTTTTAAACTATATAACATTTTACCAAAACTGGAAATTTAAAATCAAGACATTTCGAAAATGCCGTATTGTTACACCTATAACAACTAGTACCTGAACTATTGGACATTCTTTTTTTACCAGCCATCGGAGTGACTGTTAGGGAACTAGCTGAGCCTCTCCTTTTTTTCACTTAAAATAAAAAACAGTGAGATGAAAATGGTTTTTGTGTAGGTGATCGAAAAAAAAAAAAAATATATGTTACAATAAATGCATATCAACGACAAATGATGGCGATTCAGTAGTAGATAATTTTGATATCAATTACAAACTACTTCGATTCCTCATGCAACCAGAAACATAAGTAATGTATATCCCAAAGGTACAAGCTCTTGTATACCACAAGGTTAAATCATTGTTTTGCTTTGTTATTCACTTCAACATGCTTTGACAGTTTTGTTTGAGTTATTATAGGCTATGAAACTTATAGACACAATCAATGCACTTATATCATTTATTAAAACATTTAGTAGAACCTTTATTTTACAAAAACCGTTACATGTCATTAATTATAATAGTCCTAAAATGACACAAACATTTACGAGCATTCAGAAACATATACTAAATTCCACTTAATGCAATAAAATGGAGAAAACACCATCTTAAAAACAATAAATTAAGGTTCACAGAAAGACCACGGTTAGAAAAAGCTTGTTCATTTTTATAGCGTTTTCATCTGCTCTATTAATATCGAAACTCGTCACTGCACTATATTAAAAACTCTAAAAAAATTGAGTACAGTATTCTCTAGTTCTACAATAGGCGCCACACTTTGGCAGAGCTGAAGACACGTCTCGCTGACAAGTGGAATTAAATTAAATTAGTATAAAATCGAAATAAAAAAAAATAATTAAACAGGTCATTTAGTTGTAAGAAAAATAGTAAACAAAAAAATAAGAAATAAACAAAATAATCATTTAAAGATAATAAATAAAAATGTAACATTTAAATATAACGTAACAATGTCTTTTAGTAGTTTCAGAGGCAAAAATAAACATCTGATTAAAATCTTCCAGTCTACTAATGCTGAACCTCTTGGATGCGCTATATTTTTGTTAAAAACGACAAAACACACCTACATCCAACACCAGTCCCAATTTAAAATAACTTTCGCGAGTTTCAATTAATTTAAAGGCTATAGCGAGACAAGATGGTAAAATGTGCACTCTGCTGGATTCTTATTTGGGATATGGTACTCGAAAGTACATATTTAGAAACCACTTAAGTCAAATTTTTAGTTCCATGGGTGGCCTCAGAGGCAAAAAATGTGATTTTTCGAAAAAAAAAACAACCATTCTAAGCAATCCTTTGCTTCAAAAAATCCGAAAAAATTCACGAACATACATTTTCCAACCTAAAAACACAGATTTTTTGGATCAAAATTGAGATCAGAAAAAATTTTAAAAATTTTTCAAAGAATTTTTAGGTTATGTAGGTAATTTTTGGCAAACGTCTAAATAATGATTTTTTGTGTATATTTTGCCATTCTTTTAAATAGCGGGGTTAAATTTACCATTTTTTCTGGAACATACAAGAAAAAAACCATTTTTTGTGTTTTACCCCATGTTTTTAGCACATAAACTCATCTGCCTGTCAATGAATAACGATTTTTGATATATTTTTTTTTGTTATTTCTAATAGTGCAATTAAGTTGGCAATTTTCATACCAGAACATGCTCAAAATATGACAGACCCTCTTTTTTATATATATATTTTGCCCATTGTTTTAGGACGTAACCTCAACTGCATTTGAATAAAGAACGATTTTTCATCTACCTTTTCCATTTTTTCTATTGGGGGCCATGTTGGCCATTTTCAGACTAAAGCAAACTCTAAATTCCAAAAAACTGTCTTCTTAGGTAATTTTTTTTTTAATTTTAAGCACATAACCTTATTTAAATGATTTAAATGTGACAAATAACGATTTTTGCACCCCTCCCCCCTACCCCGAGTGATGATTATCATTTATGGAATAAATTATTAAAATAATTATATTTAATTATATAATAGACCTTACGTATAAAAAAAGGAAAAAATAGATGAAAAATCGTTCTTCATTCACATTCAGTTGAGGTTATGTGCTAAAAGCATGAGAAAAATATCAAAAGAAAAAAGACAATTTGTCGATTTTTGAGCATGTTCTGATCTAAATAGAGCAAACCTGAATTTCGAGGATAATGGTTACTTGATATAATGGACTATATCATTAATAAATAATCAAATACACTTGCATCTACTTTATTTTGATTTGACACGTATGACCTAATATGTACATCAAATGCTACTAGGTAACTATTGTTTTTGTACAAAACATGTTCTGAGGTCGAAGTGCTTTTTCTTAATCATTTTTCAGTCAGAGAGCAGCGATGCCATATCGCACTAGCACTCTTAATTGTAGGCGATTCGTTGCCACGTTTTTAAACTTTCCAAGACCAATTTTGTAAATATAAATATAATTGTTCAGATAATCCAGAGAGAAAATGGCAAATCTAACCTCGCCCTTAAAAACGAAAAATAATATTTAGAAATTTGCCAAAAATAAAATTACCCGCATAACCTACAAATTCTTTAAAAAATTCAAATATTTTTCATAGCTCACTTTTGATCCAAAAAATCTGAGTGTTTTGGGCATAAAAATTTATGCTCATGGATTTTTTCAGATTTTTAAAGCAAAGGATCGTTCAGGAAATTTTTTGTTTTTCTAAAAAAACACATTTTTCGATAAAAGGCCCTTGGGTGTACCTAGGGAGCTAAAAATTTAACTAAAGGTGTTATGTACTTTCAAGTGCCCAATCCCAAATAAGAATCAGACTTTACCGTCTTATCCCGCTATAGCGTTTGTCCATATTAATTTCTCAACGATTTAATTAACTACAGTGGAACTTGGATATTACGGCCTTGCAAGTTACGTCATGTCAGGTGTAACGTCAATTTTTAATAGGTGCGGCCAAAAACTATCCAATAACATTATTAAAAACCCGGTTTTATCGGCTAAAAATAAAGTTAGCTTCGTTTATAGCATCATAAAATTTTACAGTAAGTTGGAGTCGTAAGAAGTTAGAAGAAGGAAATAGCTTTTGAAAAGGATGATTTTTTATATGGACAATGGGGAACCAGCGAACATTACCATCCTTGATGCAGTTCACTTTTTAGACAATGCGTGAAGTGCGATTACGTCAGTGACAATTTGTAAGTGCTTTCGTCAAGCTAAATTGACTGTAGTTTCTCCCAATGTTCAGGATGTTGACGAGGATGACTAAATGCCTTTGTCAGGGTGAATACAAAAATTTGTTAACCAGAGAGAGTTTGGAACTACCTTGATCAGGTAGAAACACTTCAAGTTTTAAGTGATAAAGAAATTGGGGAACAAGTGCAAAATATGGTGATGGATGAAGAAGACGACGTTGATTGTTGCTCAGCAGCTCTTATTGCAATAAGCAATGAGAGCTGCTGAGAACATATCCAGGTTTTACCAGTTCAGGGAGGCATTTACAACTACCAAAGAAGCAGCTCAGATTGTTAAGGACACTACAGAAAAACTTTATTTTTCGGAAAGTATTGTGCAGAAGAAAATAACTGACTTTTTCAGCATTAGGAAAATTTTTCATAAAAAATGTAAGTTTCATATACATGACATGTTTTATTTCTTAATTTTTTATCCTAAATGCAGCTGTAACAATAAATAATGCTGTAATAAAATTATGCCTCTACCTATTTTATAACGTCACTCTGATGTAGCGTCATTTTTTACTGGACCCTTCAATGACGCTATTGGGACCGTGCAAGTTCGGAACAGCGACAACTGGTGTCGTAAATCAGCAAAATTTACTGCGCTTTCATATTAGATCGAGGTTACCGGATAACTGTCAAGGACGTAGGCCCAAAAAAGAATAAGAAAAAAAAGTAAGATTGAGGTTATGTCGGTATGTTATTAAAAGGTAAACGTTGTATGTAGTGTAAATACAAATATTAAATTACATCATTACTGTTAATATGGATGCAATAATAAAAACTGGATTTGAGAAAGTAAATCACCAAATAACTTTTCAACCAAGCACTGACTCAAATGGAAAAGCTTTAGTAGTGGCAAATGTCAAAAAAGAATGGAAGAATTATGTGGAAGAATTAAGAAAAATAAATTACCATAAAGAATGCTAATGCATAAATGCATAAATTAGCAGGTTAAGCCCATGATATCATCATATTGGTTTGAACAATTAATTCTTTCCCTGTAAACTTTTGGACAGCGAATATATCTTAATGCATCTTCAGAAAAACTTGGACTTGATGCATTTTTGTAAACTTCAAAAAAATAAAATTTAAACATTAAACTTGATTTTTGGGTTAAAATGAACTCTGAGTATTATGAAACTAAAATTTACACTTAAAAGTGAACTTTTATTTATTATTTATTTTAAACTGACTTTAAAATCGGGCGCAAGAATAATGCATAATTGAGGTTATGTTACTTATGCTTTTTTATGATATAAATCCACTTTTCTCTCTTTGTAATTTATGCTTCGAAGTTGGAAACGAATAAAACTTAAATTGACAATTTTTTGTTGTATTTTTACAATTTATAACACAGCATGTCCTAAAGCCCATTTTCTTCAGTGACAGAAGGTGTAAATAAACAAAGGAATATGAAATATGACAATTGACAATATGAATTTATGAAATCTATTAAATTTGCAGTAAAAAATGCAAGATTTCTCCGCTACTCGCGCACGATCGTTTCTCGTATCACATCCAAGTACTTGCATGTCGCTAATAACCTAGTTCCACTGTATTTGGCAACTTTAAGGCAAATTTGCGAGATATTAATGATACCCAGATGTTACGAAACATAAAAATAAGAAATATTTACACAAAAATGGATTTGGATCTATTAAACAAAAAGCTTACCTGTTTCCATGTAGGGCGTCTTATTATTATTCTTAATATCAACGTGTTCCTCAAACTTTCTCTTTAGGCCTCTCTTCGACGGCCACACGTTGTTACTTAAATTTTCAGTGCACTGTTCAATATCAATCTCCATCCGAGAGATCAACATTTTTAGACCACTTAAGTAGTTTTCTTCGTCACAACTGGGTTCCTTCAAGAAATAACAGTTGTCATCACTGAAAGCTGCTAATAGTTGCGTGTTGTTCACGTTGGCATTTAAAATTTCTCGGGTATAGGTCTTTTCAGAGCTGCTGGGTGGGGAATCTTGACCGTTCTTATTAGAATTTGAGCTGTTGTTGAATAAATTTGGCACCTGTTCTTCTTTACTGCTTATTTTGTTAAGATTGTGCAATTGACTTTGTTGTACAGACTCCTCCAATAAATTGCTGGCATTTTGGTTCTTAGAAATCTCTTCCTCTGTTTTCTTCACTAAATCGCGGTTTACATCGATGAAATTTTTTGGAATTATGTCTATGGAACTGTATCCGTGAAATTCAAAGTCTTCATCTGAGTCATACGAGTTGTAATCAACTTCAGACATAACTTGTGCCAATTTGGCTTCCAAAGCCTCCCAGTTTTCCTTGCTTATGTCTCTACTTTCTATTTTACTTAACAAGTTAATACTTTTATCCACACATACAGTCTCTACTTTATTAACACACTTATTATCGACCGGTGCTTGTATAATTGCGTCATCGACAGCTCTAGAAGTGTTTATGTTTTCTTTTTCTTCGCTAATATCAACAGTTTTTGTTTCTTCCTTATTAACGGAAGCTGCAGTTTGACTGGTATCATCCTGATTCGATTCTCCGTTTACGACACCATTTTGAACTGGCACTATTCTAGCCAAACTCAATTGATTTTGTCTCTCCAACATAGCAAGTTGCTTCCTAATCTTCATTATCTTTCGGGCCTCTTCAAAGTTCATAGCAAATTTCGGTTTTATGTATTTCACTCTCGGCATTTCATGCAATATTTTCAAAGGTTCTGGTGCTTCGACGGGTTCATTCGACTCTTTTTGAACGGTTTCTGTTTGATCAGAATTGCCAGAATCTCCAGAACCACTAGTGAAGCTAGAGCTAGAGTAATCTTGGGAATTGTTACCAGATCTGGAGGTAGTACTCTCAGAATATGAGTTAAAGACATTTTTGCTTGACTGTCCATCATTTGAGTCCCTATCTGTCGAACGCCTGTCAGATTTCTTGATTTTAAAACTGTAGTGATCATCTTTTGATTTAGTTTTGGACTCCTGTTTGTCTTTCTTATTGCTAGTAGTTCCTTCATCTTTTTTGCCTTTTTCGGATGAGCTTTTGGATTTGGAATCACTAGGGCTGGATTTTTCCTTATGCGAACTGGACCTGGACTCTTTTTTAGGCGTAGAAGGTTTCTTGTCTTTGCTAGAAGTGTGTTTAGAACTACTGCTAGAGCTTCTACTCTTCTCTTTGTCCTTATTGTCTTCTTTAGTTTTGTCTTTAATTTCTTTATTGGATTCCTTGTTGTCATCTTTCTTTTCTTTGGATTCTTTCTTAGAACTAGACCTATCACTTGAAGACTTTTCCTTTGTCGAACTTTTTTCTTTTTCTTTATCGGATTTTTCTTTACTTTTATAGGACTTTTCCTTGTATTTATCTTTATCTTTAGAACTTTTATCTTTATCAGATCTATCTTTATCTTTGCTCGATTTGTCTTTGTCTGATTTGTGTCTATCTTTTTCAGACTTGTACTTGTCTGTTTTGCTTTTAGACTTTTCATCCTTGCTTTTGTCAGCTTTTTCCTTGTCTGATCTCTCCTTTTCAGCTTTGTTTGCGTTTTCTTTTTCTATTTTACTTTTATCGGACCTACTCTTGTCTTTATCTGACTTCTCTTTGTCAGTTTTACTTTTATCCTTCTCAGATTTTTCTTTGTATTTGGAAGATTTACTCTTATCTTTATCAATCTTCTCTTTATCTGCTTTGTCTTTACTTTTATCTTTATCCTTATGTGAGCTACTGCTTCTTGAGTCTTTTCTATCTTTATCCTTTGAAGACGAATAATGCTTGGAAGACGATTTGTCTTTTTCTCTACTCGAACTACTACTGCTCTTCCTGTATTTGTCATCTTTTCTATCGTCCTTTTTGTCATCTTTTTTATCGTCTCTCCTATCATCTTTTTTATCTTTAGACGATTTTTCGCTAGTTTTGGATTTTCTCTCTTCAGTTTTCTCCGGTTTTTTCTCAGTTTTTTCGTCATGCTGGTTTTTATCGTCTTGACTCACAATATCAAATTTATTGTCTAATTTTTCCAGTTTGATAGTTTCTTTATCGATCGGTTCGTATTCCGGAGACACATTTTCGTCGTCTTCGACCAATACTTCGGCTTTTTCTGTTTTTAAAATTGTATTTGAGTCTTCAGAAATATCCATTTTGCTGGTTTCTTCCGAGGTTATGATGGAAAGATGACTCTCTGAGCTATTCTGAGAAATTTGGGAGTCTTGATTGGATATCTCCATGTGAAAAACTCGATTATCACTGCCAAGGTTGGATTCATGACTTTCAAGACCTATAAATAAACAATGTTTTTACACATGAATGGATTGAAAAAAAAAACGGTATAAAAAAGAGTGTACATTTAATTCAAATATAAGGGTCAAAAGAGTTGAATATTGTTTAGTTATTGAGTACCTCAACATCAGAAATCGCCAACTAATTTAATTTAATTTTATCTTTCAACAACATTCAAAACAACAAACACATTGAAATCGATTTTATGTAAAACTAAACTTAACAATGAACGAAAAAGAACAAAGAATTGTATTTATAAAATACCTTGTGAATGCCATCATTTTTATTTAGGTGAAATATTAATACCATTAAATGTTAGAATAAGTGAACATCAATCTTATATTAAAAATAGAGAATTTGATAGATCTCAAATATGTAAACACGCATGGAAAAATGAACATAGGGTTGAATGGAGCGATTCAAGTATAGTCCTAAAAGAAACAGATGGTAAAAAGGGGAAAATCAAAAAAGCCGCTCTAATTATGACCAACTGTGTCACAAATTCCTCGTCAGAATGTAGTAGGATCTATTAGTAAGTCAATAACATTAGAGGAAACATCATTTATGTTTTTAAATAACGAAACATTTAAAATCAGAGTTTGGGGTTTATTGAGAGTAAACTAAACTACTTAAATGTATGATACTACTATGAGATTAGGCTTTGAAACACAGAGAGTGGACCCGGTGGAGAGTAAAGTAATTTGGAGTGATAAAACCAGAATCTCGAACTTTGGAAATGATGGAGTGAAGTTTGTTTGTCACTCACCTTTTTTTCCAGTATATTACAGTCACTATTAAACACCCTGTGAGTTTCAGGGTATGGGCTTGGATGAGCACTAGCAGAGTTAGATGTTTGGCATTAATAGAAGCCAATAATAATACAAAAAAATATCAAGAAGAAATATTGCAAGCCAAACCACGTCTATCAGAGATTTGTTTGAAGGGATTGCTCAAAAATGCAACTTCTAGCAGGATGGAACACCCAGTGATACAGCCAAAACTTCCATAAAATGGTTGAAAATAACACTACTGTACTGCTTTGGCCTGGAGATAGTCCAAATCTAAATCAAATAGAAAAATTATGGTCAAGGCTGAAAATGTTAGTATCTCACTGAAACCCAAGTAACAAGAGAGAACTGATAGAAGCCATTATTCAAAACTAGTTTAAAGTTATTACACCAGAAGATTTAGCTCATCTCATGAACTCCCAACTGAATTATCCCACCAAATACTAATTTTCTTCATAATAATCATTGTGTCTTTTTTTTTAATATACCTGCATTAATTTCTGTTGTTTGATTTAATTTTAAATTTTTAGAGGGTTTACCCTTTTAAAATAGATATTAAATAAAGTAGAAGCATAACAGTCTAATAATTGCCTCAGAGGAGCATAATTTTTGTAAAATTTCTAGAATTTTGACCACTAGTGTTTATAAAACATTTTCTCTATGAATTTATTAGATTCTAATTCAATGCAATCTTAACAACACAATTTATACCAAGATATTTGTGAATCTAAAGAATTTATATGTTAGTCACAGATATATAAAAGTTTTTGTACTAATGTTTTCAGTGTTCTTGTTCTTGTATAATATAAATCCTCCTTTCTATGTCATAATTATAGTAGTTCAAATAATCAATCTCAATAAATAAAAGACAAATTGCATATTCACCTGAAAACCCTGACAAATGGGAATCTCTAGTATTTTCATCAATATTCATCTTCTCAGAACCATTCTCTTTACTATCAAGAGGGTGTGGTTCAAAAGGAGGGGGTTCATCATCTTCCATTTTACTACATGTTTCTACTACATTTATCAAAACATCACCATCTGCTTTCTTCAAATCCATTTTTTCACTTTGCACTGACCCAGGAGAAACAGCTTCAAGATCTGTTGGTAGTGGGTCTGGAGCAGGGACCTCAGGTTCCCTCTTCATATTTTTGTTTGGGTTTTCTAAACCTAAGAACTTATAAACTACTTCTTCTACTTTTGGCAAAAAGACTGAGTTTATTTTGGGATTCACTACTTGATCCACTATTCTCTCTACTCCAGTTTCTAAAAAGCCTGATCTAAAAATGATAAGTAAGTTGATAGACAAAGTATTGGGAACTTGTGTCTCTATTATGTTTTTGATAATGATAAAAGAAAAGATTATAAACAGTTGTAGAAGGTTTCAATAAAGTAGGGTCAAATAAACAAATTTTGTTAGGTCATGTTAATAAATTTTTACGTAGTAAACGTAAAGTACTAAAAACTTACGTAAAGTACTAAATAATTTTTTTTTATGTTTTTGCCCAATATAGATCATTTATTGTACCCACAACTTGAAGCAAATCATCCCAGGTTAATTGAAATTGTTTAGATTTCTGAAAAGCCCTGATTTATTCACAATCCAGTTAATTTTTTATTGTAACAAGAGGGAATCAAGAAAGGGTTTACAATTTTTAACTTAGCAGCATGCTGATTAGCATGTATATGAGCTTCAGTAAAAACATGACACAACCAGCACATAGTATAAATGGCTTCTACGGCATGCTGATTAGCATGTATATGGTCTTCAGTAAAAACATGACACAACCAGCACATATTAGTATAAACAGCATTCAAATTGAAAAAGTATCAAGTTACAAATAGTTGGGGACTTCATTAAACGAAACTGGAGACCAAAACAATGAAATAAAAAGATGTATCGAAATTGCCAGGGCCACCTTTATAAAGACGAGGAAATTCTTTTGCAACAGAGACATAAGCATCCCTCTATGATTAAGAATGCTAAGGGACTACATATTTAACACACTATTATAAATATGTTGTAGAGGCCTGGACTCTCAAATAGAACAACATACAAAATATTGAAAGTTTTATAGATGTGGCGCTACCGTCGAATGCTGAAGATACGTTGGGTTTAAAGAGTCACAAACTTTGAAGCAATACGAAGGATAGGAAAATACCCAGAAATTTTGTCAATGATTAAAACGAAGAAAAGTCGAATATTTGAGTCACCTGATGAAAGGACAAATACGCATTACTTCAAAATATGCAAGAAAAAATAGAAGAAAAATGGAATCCAGGCCATAGAAGAATGTCATTATTGTGTAATTTGAGAGAGTGGTCTGGCTGTACCACTAATGAACTCTTTAGGTCAGCTGTAAACAAGGTCAGGATAGCCTTGATGATTTCCAATCTCCAATAGGAGTGGCACAAGAAGAAGAATGCTGACTAGAAGAAATATTACATAAGTACTAAAAGGGGATTGTATAACTAAGAACTTCAAAGATTGTGTAAAATAATAATCAAAGAATAAGCTAGCATGCAGTTAGTGTTAATGATTCAGCATATTCTGATGTAAACTCTGTTAGTCTGATTATAAGATAAATTGAAGTGTGGTCTATGTTACAAATTATCGAAAAATTGAGTTTTGGTTTGAATAACAGACTATAAAGTGTGCAGATTTTACTAAATATTATAGTTTATTGATATACCAATAGATGCGAGAATGAGACAAGAGCTATGTGACATCTACTTCAAGTGTAGATAGCTAATGTATAGAACCAAATTGTTCTGTTTTGTGGTACAGTGTGAATGGTTCTCATTTGTTTATATTGTAGTGTGTGGTAGTCAATGGTCCTCAACAAACTGCAGTATCTAGATCTCAAAGAAGAAAACCAGAAGCATTAGTCTCTATGAAACCTCATTAATAGGATGAATGTGAAGTCTCAAGTGACAAAAGGAAGCACAATAGATCTGTCAAAGGTAGCAATGTGCTAAATCCAGAGCCACCCTAGTTTGTTATCTGTAATATGTCAACATATTTATAAATTTGTCATTTTTATTACTATTGTATATTTTTATTGTACATTATAAAGAGAAAAGAAAAATCTGGGTTGGGGGAAAAGAAAAGAATGCTCAAATTTATGACCTGATCCTGAGTTCTAAAGAAACTATAAATAATGTAGATTGAACTCAAAAAAATAAGAAAGTAAAAAACAGGTAGTATTAATAGATCCACACAAAAGATGAGTGAAAATTGACCACACAAATAACACAAAACAAAAGACAACAAATCTAGAAGAAGTTACATGACAAAAATACTTGCAATATTTTATACATTATAAAACTCATTGATTTAGACAAAACCTTGTTATTGATTTTATATATTCATGGTCCCAATATCCTATACTGCTTTTTGAAACTTTATTTATTTATGACCTATATGATTTCCTGCTTTAGTTTATAAACATAAATGTCTGAGAATCTGATTATTCTAATAATTGAAGTTACCAGATATCTGGATCCATTCATGGATAGCTCCATTCATTTCATTATATAAAATTTACCAAGTAGGCTAATTTTAAGAATAGAAAATATAGCAAAGGCAGCTACTACATTTTACACAATGTCACAAAATATACTTGGAAGTTAGTATTAAAGAATTACCCCTAAACTATAGTGACATACCCAAACTGACACTAATACACATCCAGGCACACTCCAAATAATCAATAACAGACAGTGTCCCAAGGTTACAAGCAAATAGCAGTTTGACATTTGTTTATCCAATTTTACAAAAACTGAGAGAATTTTGGGTAGTATGAAATTATTGGGTACTGGAAATACAAAAATGCATACAAAGTATGGTGTAAATACAAAAGTATGATAAAAATTATAAAAAAAACACACCAAATCACTGGAAAATCTAGTTAAAGGAAATACGTTGAATCTTGTATTCAACAATTTATAGCAGTATTAACAAATATAAAAAAAATAAGAAGCTTTTTTTAATGTGACACTGTTGAAAAAAACACTTACTCTTGGAGGTTTTTGCGTAGTTGTTCTCGAAGTTGATTCTTGTTAAGTTCAACACTCCAAGTCTGTTCTTTTAAAAATGTAGAAACACTTCCTTCTACCCTTTGCCTCAGGTTCTGGTAAGCTGGCTTGGTATCTACATCTGAGATGCATTCTTTGCGGAATTGATCGAATATACCCTGAGATTTGAGTTCTGACACCAACTGCTCAACTAATCTGCTATCTCCGGGCATGAAATTATTGCACATTACTTCCATTATTTAATTTTTTAGAAAATTTTATTATTTTAGTTTTGTATCAACTTTAAAAACATTGGCTCCTATTTTCAACTATTTTGCACATTGACTTTTGAAGTTGACAAATGTCAATTTCTTGTCTCTATTTTTACACAAAGGGTTAAACCGGTGTGAAGTTTGCAACGGTTAATAAATAAAATTTTTAGCCACCATAGACGGAGGTATCTAAATATTTGAACGGTTTATAATTAAAACTTTATATTAAAACTTTAGAATTGCATAATTTGAAAAAATACCATGGGAATAAAGTACAGTTTAAAGTCTCTTTGTTTTAACCATTTTTAGAAAATAAAAATATTTTTTCCTTAATTAAAATGCTAATCCTATAAACAATAGTACTGATTTTTATTTAAATACATATACTACTAATCATAAAATATAAAAGTCACCTTTTCTTCTTATTTGTCAAAATATTAATGTCATTTTTTATCGTCAGTTGAAAGCATTTATTAGACATTTCGAAATTTCAAAATTAACAAGTATATTATTGCAAGATTATTTTCTTTATATTCATAAGAATCACATGAACAAATTAACACAAACTATCACTTTTACAGTATAACAACTATGTCTTGAACATATATTGGTTTTAGTAAATGAAAAACAGAAGTTGTTACTTATAATTGTAAAAATGCAACCAATATCTGGAAAGAAGCAGAATTTTTTGTTGGACACACAAGAAAAGAAATATATTAATCATTCTATACATTCAAATAAAGAAAATCATTATCCTGTGCTAAACCGTGCTGATTTTTTAAGAGAAATAGATGAAAAACAACAGCACATTTACAAAATTATATACAAAGCTTACCAAGAAATTGATAATTATAAGACACATTTCCTACAAGAAGTTCCAAATCAACAACAAATAAAAGAAAAAGAAAATACATCCTTAACATCAAATAAAATTCTAAAGAAACAAACTGATAATAAAGTAGTAAGAATTGAAAATTTGAATCTCCCAAAACAGTTGTTTCAACCTAACAAGAACAAACAAAATGATAACTTGGAAATGACTGAAAATGGCAAAAATTACAGTCACAGTATCAACCAGAAGTCTTCAAATCACAGCTTTGATGCCGTTATATCTACCATTGAAATTAATAAACAAGTGGTTGAGAAATTTGATTCGATATTAAGTGATATAAGAAAGAGTAGGGAAACAAATAAAATATCGAAGACCTTTAACTGGACAGATGATATCGAAGACATAGAAAGAGAACAAGAAAATTATAAAACTATATTGGGATTTAAAGAGTTTATGGAAGAAATTTTGTCTTATCTTGTATACATGTATCACGATTTGATTGGTGAATATGAAAATTGTTTAAACGAATTCAAAAAAGGCTCTAACAGTGACAATTTGAGGGAAAAGTACAAGCAGTGCACTAAAACATCAGAGAGAAAGTTCCTTCAAAAATTAAAAATGACAAGTGACATAATAAAACAAACATTCCTAGCTGTTACTGAAAAACTTGTTGTGGATAATGTAGAATCAATTTTAAAAACCAACCAAACTTTAGAAGAACACGATAATGTTTTGCAAATTATTAACGAACTAAATGACGCTTGTGAATATATAAGAAAAAGTAAAAAACGAGAAATGATGTTCGGTGAAGCCCAGACAGAAACTGATTATGACGAAACGATAAGTGATGACATCTCCGATATTAACAAATTGCAACACAGTGAAAATAATAGTATGTTTAACGATAAATACGTTGCAGAGACCAAAAATAAAGTAAAACATGAAGACAAAATAATAAATGCAATATTTGTTGAGGAGTCAGATGTGAGATTAAACATTGACGAAATAACCAAATCAAATCAATTACAAGATAGAAAGGGGGAAGACGAATACTTCAATGTTCACCTAACAAGCAAAGAAGAACTACTGGAGAATATTAAACAAGAAACAGACTTAATGCTACAAAATAAATCCACGTCGAAGGAAAGTATTAATGGAGATTCAACGACAATATTTACAAGTACAGAAAAAAATAATGAAGTAATGGAAGAGACGTCTTATATATCAGCGTTACCTGCAACAGAAGCAGAACTTAGCAGCATAACCAGTGAAGGCGAAAGCCTTAAAAATGCTTTTTCAAATATGACCATAGATAGGCAACCAAAAACACTACAATTGGAAACTTCCAATCAGCAAGATCTTACAAAGTTAAAACCACAACAAGGAAATTTGAACACAGAACACAATTCTCTTAAACCCAACATAGAAAGTACAAATTTAAATGAAAACACCAACAACTTAAAATGTAATCAGGAGGAAACAGAAGAAAATATGAACTGTAAAGTAAAACTTTCTAAAGACGAAATAGTGCAACAGCTAAATTTGATTTACGAAAGCATAAAAACGGATTCCCAATACATTAGAGACCAAGGAAATGAAAGGAGTTTGCAACCAATACCAGTTGAAAGTCAAATTAAATTAGAAAAGTCTAAATTGATCATTTTTGAACAACTAAAATTTTTATACGACAATCTGTGTGTTATCTATCATCCTTTGTATAAGCAAATTACAGATGGCACAGATAAAGAAAACTCGCTAAGAAATCAGTTATTTAATGAAGCAAATAATAGAAAATACGTAATAGAAAGTGAACAATTCCGAAATAAAAATTTAGAGAGCCAAACCAATCAACAAAAAATATATAGGAAAGACGATATGAATATGATAATTATAAACCCAACATACAAAGTTGACAATGTAAATGGCGTAATGAAAGCTCAAGCAGTATACCAAATGTTGCAGCAGGAATACCAAGATTTAAAAACTAAAAATAATACAACAACAAAAACTGTAAATGTAAACAAAGTACCAAAAGACAACGAAAAAAAGTGTCCAGATAAGAATGATTCGGAAATATCTAAAAATGCAACAGTGGAAAAAGACAAAAATACAAATATAAAATACGACGTAAATGCCGTTAAAACTAGTTCCAACTGGAACAACACGAAGAAGCAAATTGAAAATGAACTCAAGTCGAAATTAAATCAGTTAAAATCGAATTACCAAAACCAACTTCACGAAATAAAAATACAATGGGAGAAAAGGGTGAATTATCTTTACAATCACAATTATAAAATTGAACAAGAAATCATTAATATTGATAAGAAAATAGAACAGTTGCCATCTACTGACCGAAATCATTTAGCAGAACTTAAGACTAGTTATCAAGAGATGAAGGAAGAATATAAAGCATATATTTCTAAAAAGCAAATGGAGATCCAACAAGAAAAAACAAATTTTGAAGAAGGTCAAAAACAAATTGAAGAAAAGATAAAACTTTTGGAACACAAAATTGACAAACTTATTCAAGAATTTCAACAAAAACGTGTCCAAAATAATGTTCCAAACGTTCCTCTAGAAGAGAATTATATTAAAGATGAAAAACTACAGGAATTATGCGACCATGACGAAAATAATTCGCAATATATAATGGTAAATGAAGAACATTCAAAAGAAAATGGTAAAAATGTAACAAATGAAGAGCCGCAAAAACAAGTGAATTACAATATGCTTAAAAATAATGTTCCAAACGTCCCTCAAGAAGAAAATAATATTAAAGATGAAAAACTGCCGAAATTAAACAACCATGGCGAAAATAATACGCAACATATAATGGTAAATAAAGAAAATTCAAAAGAAAATAGTAAACATGCAACAAATAGAGAACTACAAAAACAAGTGAATTACAATATGCCTAAATATTTAAAAACCTCAAATAATGTTGAGAATAGAGACTCTAATAAAAGCCGCAATAAACCTTTGATGAAGAGCAATGATACAAAGGTAACAGGGCTAGAAATAAAGTATGACAAAAATAACTTCAACCGCACGTACAAAATTTCTAAAACATTTGATGGGGAAACTAAATTAAAAGAGAATACCAATCAAAACGACAAAAAATATTTAAAAGAAATAACAAAGACTCCAGTTAAAACTCATAAAACTGTAGATAAGCAGTCTAAACCTTCAAGATTACCGGAAATCAAAAAATCAATTAAACCTATTGGTAAAGATGTTGATGATAAAGATCTTGGTACTAAACTCTTATCAGCAAGTAAAACCAAGCGTGCAGTTACACCTTCAATTTTAAAGCAAAGGAAAAACATCAGTGAAACAAAACATGATTTAGACAATAAAGAACTAGAGAAAGGCAAAAAACTAAATAGCTATATAGCAAAAGAAAAATCTCCTATACTGGGAAGCATAAAACAACAAATAATGAAACCAAAAAGTTATGTTCCAACAAAGAAACTTCAAAACAATATTAGAAAAAAAAACTGTCATGAAATAACACAAAATGAAGACAGTGCAATTCTGGAGAAAGGAATTCACATAGAAAATACTCCCGTTGATGATAAAACCACGACAAACGATGAAGACGATACGAAAAAAGATATGCTAATTGAAATGATCAGAAATCAACTACAACATTTACAAGACACTTTACAAATGGTTGAGTCTCAAAATAGTATAAAAATACATATCAATAATACCGAATCTTCTAAATATTTTGAAAATATGGAAAAAGAAATAGCAATCGTAGGAAAAAATTTAGAATTGGAGCAGGCAAAAGTAGACGGAGACAATAAAAACACCAAAAACGGAATTGTAAAAGAATTCTCAATGGTATCAGTAAGTAGCGGTCACGTCGAAGAAATCGATACAACCAAAGCAGGCAGGTATCTTCATCGCAATCTAGATCAACTTTTATTAGAGTTTAGAACTAGAGAAACAGAAAAAAATATTAGAGATAAATCATCAAAGAAACACTATTTGATCGATGATGTATCAGCAAATAATATCAAAAACGAAGATTATTTAAGATACAACGATATACCACCATATATGGAAGACAGTATTGCACCTAGAGATATGATAAAGAAAAGAAATAACTTTAATGATTTAGTATTTGACTTGCAAGAGGACGAATTATTGGAAAAAAATTTTATGACTCCTACTAACAGTTTTAGTTTGAATAGTCCAGAATACCAATTAGGACATAATGTTAATGACATCTTCATAGGTGGCGGTCAATTTATACCAAGGATGCCCAAAATGCGTCAATATGTATTTGGTGTTGATACCATCGATCCTATTGGCTTACAAAAAGATGGAAAAGTAACTAATAAGCATTATCAACTTTTTAGTATGTTTGAAACTGCGCCCCTTGATAAATTGAGCCAATATTATAGTGACCACAGTTTGTATAATAATTTAAAGAAGTCAAACGGGAGCGTTGAATGTGTTGATAAAATAATACAAAATGCAGAACAACAACTTCAAAGGTTGGATGAAAAATATAAAATCGTAATATCAGACAAACATCAGGATAATGTACCAAAAAAAATTGATAGTTCTTCCAAATATTTAAAAATAGAGGACACCAATGACATATTAAAATCAGCAGAAAAACAGTTACAAAGGCTGCAGAAATACCAATCTTTTGATGGAAATATTCCTCACAAAAACAAACTTAACCTCTATATAAGAGATGAAAATATAAACATTTTATCACTTGAAAATTTAACTGACAGACAACATTTAGAAGAAAAAGGATCACTTGAAATAGAGCACATTTTTCATTATGGGGGAAAACCACAAGAAAGTTTAAAAGGAAACGAGAAATCTTATAAAGAAGGAAAATTTGGAAATATTGAAATTGTAAAATCTAAAACTGAAATATTTTCTAGTTGGCCAGAACGACAAACAAAGAGGAACAAAAGTAAAGTTAAAGATTGGGGAGATGTATCGAATTCTAGACAAAGTAACTTGAAGAGAGTTAGTCTCCCAAACCAAAATCTGTGGGAAGGCAAAAACTCATTTGATGCAATACTAAATTTAGGACTAGACAACTATACATTATCGGACAAATTAAATTCTTCTTTAAATTCAGATAATACTAAGAAGAATGATCCTACCAAGCGAAAGCTTTATAACATTAGAAAGTGAAACTTCCATTGAGTTTTAATTTGAAATAAATAAAGTCAATTTTAGTAAGATTATGAGTGTTTTTCTTATTAAAAATTGTTTTAACGACAGACAAAATATTTTCTACTCCTAACATACAGTTATGGTAGCGGGTAGTTACCCCTCTATGATCCTGATAGAGGGTAGACTTACTTCAGGGAGGTAGCGTCCCTGCCCACGCGAGCTCCTGGTTTTCCTCCATTCCCTAATTAGAGGAAACCAGGTCCAAACCCCAATATTATCCTACCCTAACCCCAAATTCCTTCCCTATATCCCCCCCACCTATTTCACCGAAGGATTGCCGGCATAAGCAATCCCCCACTTACTGGCCAACGGCTTCGGACGGTTGATCTGGTAAGTGACAGGGCACTCTTTTATCCGAGGGTTGGGAAACTGGCCCTAAAGGCGAAGGAACCTCAGTAGAGGTCAACTCATACTCAAAGACCACAAAAATTAAATGTATGGTCAGTTATAGTAGGTACTTATTTAATTGGGCCATTTTTTATCGAAAGAAATTTAACGTCAGATAGTTGGTGTAAATGTTCGGAGTTATTTAGATGAGATATTTCCCGGATGATAAATTGGTAGAAAAGGTAGAATTGAATGACCTCCATGTTCACCCGATCTCAATCCTAAAGATTATTTTTATTAGAGATACTTGAAAAATTCAGTTTACAAAACTTAACCAGCAAGTCTTGCATAGCTAAGGCAATGAATTATCGATGAATCTCGAATAATTTCTAGACAATCATGGAGAAATGTGGTAGACGCCTTCTACCATCGATTAGGGTGTTGTCAACTCACAAATGGAGCACATTTTAAACACTTAATAACGTAACTATTATGTTAAAAAATATTCTAAACTATCAATTGTTACGTTTTAATGTATTTGAAAATAGTTAGTATTAAAAAATGTATTGAAACAATTTAGGCGTTGCCAGACTTCTGTTTTATGTATTTAAGACCTTCCAGACTACATAAAATCATAAGTGTTACATATATGTTACATATATATGGTTGAACTTGTATTTAATAGGAGATTCCAATAATGATTGAATATACAGGGTGATGTATTTGAAAAACCAAAGTTACTAGTATAATAAGAAAAACTGAAAATCTGGCAACATTGCAAATACCAAATATGGAATTTCCGTATCCCAAAATTTGGCGTATCTCAAATTTTGTATAATTATGTCTAGTAATTTACGAGATAATTAGCCGTTTCCAGACTTTTAGGTCACTCTGTAAAACAAACGTTAAGGTAATTTTTACCTCGTTTATCGACTAATATTGCTTTACCATTACCATTGTTTAACCATTATCATTCCAATGCTTCTCGTGGTTGACTGTTATTATATTAATTATAAATACTTCTATTTGTACCATTCGCATTTTGTTTTTAACTACTTGAGACTGTGTATCTCACTGTATCAATAATTTGCAGTGATTTCAACATACAATATTTTTATATTGACTCGCTAAGTTGCACTTTACTTTTTATATAAATAGTTGAGTGATAAAACTGACACAGATCCGATTAAAATTATTATAACATTTATTCTAGGATTTGCTACTATTTCTATTGAAGCACTTCTAGATGAACTTTGTTCAATGTCATCGTAGTTGAAGATCAAATCTAGTGAAATTAACTACAAAAATATTGTTTAACATCTGCAAGCGAATGCAAAAATTGTAGTGGCAATAAACAATGGATGTGACAAATTTATTAATATGTTATAGTTTTGTTATTGTGTTTCCGATTGTCGTTATTATAATTGTGCCAAGGACATCCTATATTAACTTCTTTGCTTTAGAAGGTCTGTATTTAACAAGATTATAATGATAATAAATTTCAATAATCAATTTTCAATAATAATAAAATATTTTTTGTTCCTGCACAGATAATAGCTAACGCAAGAAAAAGCTCCTTTGAATATATTTAACTATTACAACGCTATTACTCAATACTTAAAACTATAAAACAGTGTCTTCTGAAAGAAATAACTAAATTTTTAAATCTTTTCTTATTTATATGTTTTATAATAAGTTTTTGTAGGTTTTTGAGGTACTATATTTAGTTTGTATAATATGTGTGTCTTCTTCTTCTTCTTCTTAGGGTGCCTGTCCGTTACGAACGTTGGCGATCATTCTGTCTATGATGATTTTGTTGGTTGCTATACGAAATAGCTGTGTTGAGGTCTTTGTATACCATGCTCTCAGGTTAGCAAGCCAGGATATTCTTCTTCGTTCTGGGGCTCTTTTTCCTTCAATTTTACCCTGCAAAATGCATTGGGGTAGCTCGTATCTGCCTTGATTTCTCATAATATGTCCCAAGTACTCTCTGGATATGGCAGATGGGATCAGGACGACCGAGAAGAAGACGAACCCGTCGAATGAGTTGGCACAGCTATCGAGGATGGACTTGCAGGAGCCGGAGATGCCGTCAGCACCACCGAACTCCCTATTAGTGCTGTGCAGTGAGTTTGCTTAAAGACAATTTTTAATTTTATTTACATTTTCATGTATTTTTATATGTCTCATACTTTCCATACATTTTTATGTATTTTTACTTATTCTTGTGTTACTTCACATGTATTTTATTGTAATTTGATATTTTTGAATTTTCAATAAATTTTTTCCCAGACACAGAGCCTCCAGAGGATGGGGGATGTTCTCGGACGCGACTAGTTCACGTTCGAGACGCATCGCCCCGCCCCTTATTTTTCACGTTGGCCCCTCCCTGACCTGGAAATCCCTAATCGCTACTTCAGAAAGTATAAAAATAGGCGATTTTCAGGTCAATAAGCCAGTCCTTCACGGGCTCTCCGAGAGCATAGTGCTCTCGGGGCTCTGCTTTCTTGTTTTTAGATTTTCCCATACTCTGTGGCTGAGATGTTATTCTACTGCAACCTGGTATTTTTATTTCGGCTTAACCTTTGTCATGTAAGAAATATCTTGCCTTTTTCAAGGCAAGATACCAGAAGAAAACATTTTCGAGTCCATACCTTGAAAATGGACTTAAGTAGAGGAGCTATCGTTGATGTTTTCGAAGCCCTCTACAGAGCACACGGTGGTACAGAAGGTGCTTAGACCCTTATTAATTACCCCGCGGTGACAAGATGTTAATCAATGTCGATTCTCGAAATTTAAAAGATTCTATTCCTCAAGTCGTCAGAGACGAAAATGCCACTGAACCTCTAAAAATCATACGAACAAGCTGAATTTTGTCCAGAATATTAATTTTGCAAAAATTTTCAAAAAAATGCAAAAAAGTTTACCCCGGGCTTTCTTTTAAAACGCCTCGTAGGGGGGTGAAAAAGCAAACAACCGATTTACCAAGATTCTGTACGCTGTAGAAAAAAATGTTTTAAATAAAAACTGTGGCTGAGATAATTTTAAACAAAAATGGTTATTAGCATTTTTTGTGTAGAATGAACACGTTCTCTTATAAACAACGCTTGAAGTGACCGTCGATTTTGAATGTCAGTTAAGCGCGCGAAATCAATGTTCAGTAACATTTGTATCAGCTCGACGGTAAAAAGCAAGTTAAAATCTGGGAAAGAACTATTAAATGCAAGCTCAGAAGTGGTAACCGCTAACCGAAAATGAAAATCCAGATACAGATAAAAGATGACTATGAGACATGTTATGAGACAAAACAAAAGAAACACTGCAGAATTTAAGGAACTTAATGGAGTAATAAGAAAACAGATAAAAGAGGACATTAAAAACATCAAGAAGACCGTATAGAACAAATCATAAAGAAAAACCGAAGTCTCAAATGCACCAAACCGAAACTAGGAAAGAAAAACACTAATAACCATTAAAAATGAACAAGGACAACTAGAAAAAAGTAAATCTGTTATTACAAACTCAATTGAAAGGTTCTACGCCGATCTGTACTGTTCCAGAAACGATACCCCCAACTCCTCAAAGCAGAACTTGAAAAGGCAAATAACAAATGACACCTCAGAAGTGATGCCCGAAATAAGAAAATTAGAAATAGAAAAAGCAGTAAAAGAAATAAAAAGGAATAAAGCTTCTGGAAGCGATGAAATCCTCGCAGAAATGCTGAAGGAAGGCGGAGAAGAAGTTATCACAAAGCTACAAATACTATTTAATAAATGTCGATTCCAATGCAATATATCCGAACAATGGAATACTGCTAAAACAATACTAATACACAAAAAGGGAGACACCACAGACATGAAAAATTATCGACCAATTTCACTTCTTTCACAACTTTACAAAACCTTTACAACGATTATAACAAACAGGTTAACAATTAAATTTGACGGATATCAACCAGTAGAACAAGCCGGATTTAGAACAGGGTACAGCACCTGTGACCATCTATATACTTTGAAAATCCTAATAGAAAAGACTAACGAATACAATCTCCCATTATGTCTGGCTTTTATAGATTATGAAAAAGCTTTTGATAGCGTAGAACTGTGGGCAATAGAAGAAGCATTAATCAACAACAGGATCGACTCCAGGTACAGAATATTAATACATAATATTTACGAACAAGCGGAAATGATAATGACGTTGGGTAATGAAATCAAAATAAGATCAGTAAAAATTAACCGAGGAGTAAGACAAGGAGACATAATATCTCCAAAATTATTTACAGCTGCCCTAGAAGATATATTTAAGTCAATAGACTGGGAAAATAAGGGAATCCCTACTAACGGAAGATACTTGAACCATCTTAGATACGAAGATGATGTAATACTAATAGCCGATACGTGAAATGCACTGGATACGATTATTAAGGAGCTACACACAGAATCCCTAAAAAAGGACTGAAAATGAATTTCAGCAAAACCAATGTCAAACAAAGATGACAAACCTATGATAAACATCGAAGGGACAGAGATAGAACACGTAGATACATATCTGGGTCAAAATGTCAAGGTAAGCAAAGAAAATCAGACAGTTTACTTCCTGTATTCTACCTGTACTTACATATGGAGCTCAAACTTTGACGTTCACTAAAATAAACATGGAGAAGATCAGAAAAAAACAGAGAGCTATGGAATGAAAGATGATGGGTATCTCACACCAAGACCATAAAACTAGGCGACTACGCCTAGTTTAGTGAACTTACGAATGAAGACATTCGTAATAGAACAAAAGAAAAAGATGGGCTGAACATAACGAACGTCTTAAAGATGGCCGATGGAATAAAGAAATCGGGAATTGGCGGTCATATGAAGCCAAAAGACCACGAGGAAGACGGCAAATACGCTGAAGCGACGATATTAAAAGAACTGCAGGGCCAATGTGGAAACGTCTTACCAACAACAGAGATTCTTCTTCTTCTTCTTCTTCGTCTAGCCATTCACGTCCACATCTGAACATAAGCCTCTTCAAGTCTTCCTTTCCATTGTTTTTTATTGTACGCTACTTTTAGCCAATTTTTCCCGGCAGTGCTTTTCAGATCATCTGTCCATCTCATAGGAGACCTGCCTCTGGGTCTTTTGTGTTGGTGTGGTCTCCAGGTTAAAATTGATCTGTGCCATTTGTTTAGATCGCTCCTAGCTACATGTCCAGCGTATTCCCATTTCAACTTTAATGATTTTTGCACCACATCGGTGACTTTGGTTTTCTGTCTTATCCATCTGTTTATTTTCTTGTCCTTAAGTGATATACCTAGCATTGCTCTTTCCATCGCGTGTTGAGTGACTCTAAGTATATTCATATTCTTTTTTGTGATTGTCCATGTTTGTGCCGCATAAGTTAATATCGGAATAATGCATGCATTAAAAACTTTAGATCTAAGATATAATTGAATTTGTTGATTTCTGAGTATATAGTTCAGTTTACCTAATGCTGCCCAAGCTAACTTTCTTCTTCTTTTTATTTCTTCCGTTTGAATTTCCCTATTTAGGATTATTTTTTGTCCTAAGTATATATTATATTCTTCAATTTTTTCTATAACTTTATCGTTTATTATTGTCACGGTGTCTTCGGAGTGCATGACTTTTGTTTTGTTTAAATTCATTTTCAGTCCTATCTTAGAAGATTCGGTATGTAGTTCTAAAAGCATGGTTTGTATTTCTTGTAGGTCAGTAGCTATCAGGATTTTGTCATCTGCAAATCATAGATTACTGAGGTAGCGGCCGTTGATGTTTATTTCCTTATATTGCCAATTTAGGTTTTTAAAAACGTCCTCCAAAACTCAGGTGAACAGTTTGGCTGATAAAGTATCTCCCTGTATGACTCCCCTGTTTAATGGTACAGGGTTCGTGTGTTCATTTTCATTTAGGTAGTATGTAGCTGTAGCTTGGTTCATAGTTTCTTTTATTAAGTTAATATATCTCCTGTCTATTCTACAATTTTGCATTGCGTTTATTACGGCCGTGTGTTCTATGGTATCGAAAGCTTTTTCGTAGTCTACAAATGCTAGGAAAACTGGAAACTTGTATTCGTTACACTTTTCTATTAATATTTTTATGGTTAACAGGTGATCAGAAGTTGAGTAGCCTTTTCTAAAACCTGCCTGTTCATATGGTTGGTATTCGTCTAATTTCCTTGTTAGTCGAGTAGTTATGACTTTGGTGAGTATTTTAAACAGGTGTGACAGTAGGCTGATGGGTCTGTAGTTTTCCAATTTTCGACTATCACCTTTCTTGTGTAATAAGATTACTTTAGAGTTATTCCAGCTCTTAGGGACTTTGCCCTGATGTAAACAACTGTCCACAAGTTTAGTTACAATTGCAATTAGTTCCTTACCTCCTTCTAATATCATATCTGTGGTAATACTATCTTCTCCTGCAGCTTTATTTCTCTTCATGTTTTCCAATGCTGTAGTTACCTCTGAAATTGTTACTTTTGGCATTATTTCTGATCCAACATTTTTTATTAATTTCCGTGCTGGTCTCATCTCATCATCTTGTTGATGTGATCTGTAAAGTTCTGTGTAAAATTCTTCTATTCGTGTCAGTATGTTTTCTCTACTTGTGATTTCATTTTCTTCTTTTCTCATTAATGATATCATCTGACGTCGTCCTAGTGTCGGTCTGAGGCATTTCATACTCTTATTTTTTTAGTAGTTGTTGTTATTAATTTTTCGTTTTCTTTTCTTTTTTGTTGTCTGATTCCTTTTCTAATCTGCCTATTAAGTTCTCTATATTCGACGGTTCCCCTTTTGTTAGATTTATTTAAGATCTTCCTTCTTTTCTATTTGTTGTCATATTTTAGATTACAGCAGATAACAACAAAGATGAATGGCGAGAATTAGGAAAGGCCTATATTCGGCAATTGGAATAGAGAAAAGGGCTTAAAAAATGATTTGTACTATTCATTTACTCTGGCAAAAATATGTGGTACGAGGGTTATACCAGAGATACTTAAAGGGTTAAATCTCTCTGACTTTCCCAGTTCTTGAGCTTGTTGTTTAATCTTGTTGAATAAAATTTCCTAATAAATAAAACTATCATAAAATGTTAAACATTGTTATCAATTTTAACTAGATATTTCTATTTAAGGTTTGTTGTGGAGAATATTCCGCTTCTTAAGTAAAACTGTGAATAAACAGAATAAAGAAAAATATGCTCAGACAACAAGCAGCTTAACAGAAAACGTTGAAAGCGAAATTATCATTTCTACGATAAAAGTGAGTATTTTTATTTAGAGCATTACTTTGGTATTACATCTGATAAAAAATATTTAAACATATAAACATATATAGAAAATCGTACGAATAATGCACATAAATACAATTTTCTTAACACTATTTTCTTAATTGTTCTGCTTTTATTACTGAAATGTGTAAGCTTACCTGATCGCCGTAAGAGTCTTAGAATTGCTGTAGGGACTTGCTTAATGTAGTTAAGTTTGTATGCTGGTATCCCTAGAATAAAAGTAATCTTATTTATTATACGTTTTTAGCATTCTGAAGAACAAAGTTTTTATGGTATAGATCAGGAAGGAAACAGCTTGTTGCTAAGAATTACCCTAACAAAAAACACAATAACTACTGTCTATCTGCATTTAAAAGTTCAAAATAATACCTACACCTTACCAGGTATGTATTAAAAATTAAAAATAGGTTAAATCACTAATTGCATAATTACCTTGCACCTTTATAAGAATGTATCGATAAAAACGTTAACAATAAGATATATTTCTTGGTAAAAGAGCAAACATTTATCTATTTCTACTTACCATGGAAAAAAATGTTCCAGAAGTAGTTGATTTTAAGTGATCATGGAATGAAATGGATGATCTTATGAATAGAAGAAAAATATTAGCTATTGAATAGTTTAGCTACTGAAAAATTTATAATACATATATTATGTGATCTTAAATTGTATTTTTTAAGAAACGTTTCTACTTTATATTCACATAATTTAAAAGAATAATTTCTTTAGTTGTAAATGGGATTTTGGAAACTAATATTCCGAAAAACCGTTGGAAAGTGGATGGTTTAAATATCGAGGTCGTCGAGCCTTTCAAAAGGTTAAGGATCTGCTTTAATGGAATATTGAAAACTGATAGAGATACCACCGATCATATTCAGTTTAATTTTATGTAAGTTATTATGTTCCCTAAATATTTTATATTATACATATATTACTTTAGGTATTTCATCAAAATTTTATCTGCTATATTTGGTAAATTTTCTTTTATAGGCAGCAACTATAAACATATTAAAAAAATTATCTGTAAAAAATTAGTGCTGCTATTAAATTTTAAAGGTCTCTTGGATGACACTGGAAGATATGCTTAGGATGATGAATGCAGGGAAGGAATTAATAAATATTGTTAAAAGAACCAGATTACTTTGGTCATAACAAGAGAATACTCAGACTATTGCCACTAATCATTCAGGAAATAGTCACGAAAAGCGATAGATTCGTCAAAAAAAAAAAACGATAATGGATGAAAAATGTTAAAAGAATAATCTGTTTTCGTGTTTGTTTTAAAAAATAAAATATTTATTGTAAGATATGCCATAAGAAAAAAGTTTCAAAACCATATATGGTTCCAGATCATGTTGGTACAAAACTCTTTCATAATGTTGTTAACGTAATGACCTCTGTAAAAAATAGCCATGGACTTCTAATTTAAAAGTAGAAATTAAAATTTTGACTCTTTTATTATTAGCATTAGCTTAGCATTATTTGCTGACCAGGGTCTGTTTGTCTAACTATACCAGTAATTTTGCCCGCAACGGGAGATCCAATCAATTGCCATTTACAATCACTCCACTTAATTATTTCTGACTTCGTCCTCTTTAGACTAGGAGGTAAACAAAATGATATCTTAGTCTGTTGTACAACTTTCATAACAAATAAGTCACTTTTGAAAAATCGCTGAACAACTGTTGCGTCAAGTCATCTTATGAAATCGATCTTCGTACAAAACCAGTGTAATTCTAGTTTGGCAATTCATATTTTAGGATCACCAAAGTTTGAAAAGAGTTAAAAATAATAAACATCTTGCATGAAAGAGCCGGTCTTTTTACCTCCAGAAAAATATTCTCTAATCTGGCAGATGTTAACTGTAGGATAATCGTCTTTTCCCGTTAAATTATGTTGCGGTTACTTTTTATTGGCTTTGACTTGAAACCTCTAGCCACGCAATTACATATAAATATTAGTATTCATTCATACAGGATTGTACAAAGAGCACATTTTTCACGCTCAGGGATTCATTAGAGCTGCTTTATTGTAACAAACAAGACATAAACCACGCTTAGGTAGGTGGGTAACATATATGGTAAACATACAAAGGAAATGTTCAAGCATAAGATCAATTTGACACTCATACCTTTAATTTAATTTTTAAAAGAAATATCATAATTATTTTAAAGATTTTTATATTGTCTTCACTTAATAGGAGATTTACGTTTAATGGTGTACTTAATCCCTCTTTTATCAATTCTTGTATCAGCCACATTCAAGAATATGTGATTTAAATCAGCTATACTAGTTCCACATTCACATCGGTCTGTTGGGAGAACTCCTATTTTGTGTAGATGTTTCGGAAAACATCCATGATCTACTTTTGATCTTAAGACAGTTGACACTGTGTTTCTGTTTAGTGTCACATGTTTGTAAAATTGTTTTACATCTACTGTGGGTTGTAATTTGTATAAATTAGTGCTCCTGCTTTCACCAAACTGAATCCATTGTCTGTCCCATTTAAATTTAATATGTTGTTGATATACGCAAGTAGGTCACATGTGTTAAATTCTTCTATCACCATATGTGGGTGCTGTAATGGATTTTTAGCTATAGAATCAGCAATAGTATTGCCAACAATATCTGAGTGTCCCTTAATCCATAGAAATTTAGTACCATATGGATCTGATAGTTTTAGTAACTGTTGAAAAATTTCTAATATGAATATATTGCTATTGATTGTGAATTTAAAGTTTTGTAAGGAGTGTAATACTGACAGTGAATCACTGCATATGACAATTTTGTTCCACTGGTTTTCACAGCCCAATCCAAGGGCTTTGTATATAGCACATGCTTTAGCAGAGAAAATGCTGGATTAAGTATTTAAAATAAATGATTTTTTAATCTTCATTTTTGGTACAAAGTAAGCACTGGTTGTACATGTTGATGATTTTGACCCGTTTGTATAGATCACAATATGATCTGAATAGCCACTTAAGATTTCTTAAAGAGTAGTGTAGCAAAATTCGTTTTGGTATTTTAGGATAATAATATTTGTAGCTAGAACACTTGTTAGATGTGGTATATCCAACGATTCCCAAATAAGATTACAAGAGGATTTACAAAGTATGTAGATGTTAAATCAGCTGTATTTAATTCATTAATTATTTTTGCATTATAAGTGCCACGATAATGTTGGTTTAGAAAATATTTGCTTGCCAGATATTCTCTGCGCAATGAGAATGGATTTTCAGAAGCTAGAGCTAGGGTGTCTTCATTTGGAGTGCTTTTCATCAATCCTAACACAATCCTTAGAGCTTTAAATTGAATTCTATCAAGTTTACGTAAATTGGTTATGTTAGCTGACCCATATACCACACAACAGTAATCTATTATAGATCTTATATAGGCTCGATAAAAATTCAATGCAATGTTTTGATCTGCACCCCACGATCTCTTACACACCATTTTAAGAAAATTAATACCTTTTTCGCAGCGACCAATTGTATAATTAATATGTTGAGTCCAAAGCAGTTTTCTGTCAAGTACGACACCAAGATATCTAAATTCCGAAACAATTAGAATATCATTGCCATGTAAGTTACAGCGTGATGTTTAATAGGGTGTTTTCTTGAAAAAAAATACTACGGCACATTTTTGGTACGAAATATTGAATCCGTTTAACCAAGTCCAATTATCCAAGTTGTACATAATATGTTTGAGTTCAGTAGTGCTTTCACTGTACGTTTTCTTATGTGAATAGATGATAATATCATCAGCATATTGTAAGCAAACAATATTAGGAGACCATAAATTGTGCAAATCGTATGTGTACAAATTAAAAAGAAGTGGACTTAAAACAGCTCCCTGTGGAATACCTTTTGATGTGATCTTGGGTCCAATAATATTATGACCTACTCTTATCGATACACTTCTCTCTTTGTATGGTTTGATAGTAAATGTGCTATCGGTTTTGGAATGCCAAGAAACACAAGTTTATCACAGAGTATATTTAAATCAATATTTTCATATGCACTTTTTGTGTCAATAAACAATGCACCTGTTGTCATGGAATTAAAAAAACCAATTTGAACATCTGTAGTCAGACGAACTACTGCATCCGTGGTTCCATAGCCTTGTTTATATCCATATTGTGTTGCTGGTAGAATATTATGCCGCCTTAACCAAATTTCCATTCTCAATTTGAGAATTCTTTCAAATGTTTTAAAAATGCATGAAAATAATGTTATTGATCTATATGATTCCGGATTATCTTTGTCTTTTCCCGGTTTTAGAATTAATATAACAAAGCAATCATTAAATTTGTAAGGAGGTATTCCAGTTTGCAAAATAGAGTTATAAATATGTAGTAGTAGTCTTTTAGCCAATACACCCATTATTTGTAACATAATGTAAGAAATCTGATCTGGACCTGGAGCTGTGTTTTTGGATATCTTGATAGCATATTTCAGTTCAGATGATGTTATTTCTTTTAATAAATAATGTTCTTCAGAATTTAAAGCCATGTAAGGTATATGTTTGTCAACAAATGGTGGACATAACTTCTGAAGAATATCTTCTGCAACTGCGGAAGGAGCATGGTTGATGTTTGCGTTTTTGTTGTTTAATTTGTTAGTCATCTTCCATATTTGAGTTGATGGGCAACTAGAGTTAAGACTGGAGCAAAATTTAATCCATGTTGTTTTGGCTTTGTGTCTAAACATTTTTTAATTGTAGCTTCTATCTTTCTATCTTTTTATATTCAAGAAAATTATTCAGTGTAGATGCGGTTTTGCATTTTTTAAGACCACTCTTCTTAAATGTTACTTGTAAACGCAAAAAAGATGTAAAATTTATTTCGGAATACACCAATATTTGATTAATTGTCAAAAAGATCACACTTATTCGTTGTTCTTCTGTCTTTTTAAATTTCTAGCATTTAGTGTCATACATTACAGTAGGTCTTGCAGATAATTTCAGATTTTTATTAAACTGAGATGCTAGAATGTCAGTAGCTAAACAATTTTTTGAATAAAATTATACAATTATTTTTATAACAAAGGATAAAACGACTGTTTCCATATTACAAATTATTTTAGTCATTGATGTACTTAAAAGAGATTTATTTTAATGTTATATTTTATTATGTTTTAGTTTCAATGCCTCATGTTCACCATTTTATTACCCCAGTGATATTGATGATACAATATTTAGAAAATTTCTTTTAATGGAAAAGGTCAAATGTATCTTCGGCTCTTCCAGTCAACCACTATTGTAAGTGTTAAGTATGTAATATATTTGGGTATCATTTGATGATAAATTTGAGATAAGATTTAATTGATGGATTAAATCAATAAATCAATCAATGAGTTTGTAACGTTCTACGCCATCTTCTGGTTGGCAGATATGATCTTCTCGGTCTGGAATAATAACTATGTCGGATGCAAATTGAATAAAGTCCTCATTTATGTTAACTCCAATATTTTTTCAATTATTGGTTTTCACAACACTCTGTAATCAAGCTGAGAATAGTTAAGTAGAGGTGTCTGCTTGCTTGGTACGGTTCTCCAAGAAAAATTGTATTTGTATCGCCATAGTACATTCTAATTGCAGCCCTTGTGCTACTAACATATTATAATACATATATTATATTCTGAATAAGATTTTGCACTTATGAGCATTACTACACTCTGTAAGGGCTCTTAACATAAAAATATGTTGGACTAAGTCAAATGCTCTCTCAAATTTTAAAAATATGAATTTTAAAGGATTGTTGTATTCTATACCTTTTCCTATCAAAGAATGTATTAATTATAGGAGCTTATTCGTTTCAAAGCCACTCCCAAGTCCGTCGTACTCTGGTGCTGGGTGAAAACCTAGCTTAGGTCTCGGTTTGTCATTATTCTTTATGAAAAATATGCCATCAAATAGATTCAGTTTTACTTTAGAGCCTACAGCTACAGTGAGTGTTACTGACATTGTAGTAATTCTACCCTCGCCAATTAAAGATAATAAAGCAAGATATGAGGAAATGATTTGTTTTAATACAGATTTATCACAATACAATTTACATTAATAATTTGTGTTATATCGATTTTGTAAGCATCTCTGAATATACATATTTTAGTTTTTTTTTTCAAAATAAAGGTTGTATTGGCCAAATGCATTGTCTATTATCTCCTTTATGGTTGGCCATAGTCTCCTGGAGGATAAAGACACTATGGACAGAAGCACCTCTGCGAGTTATACTCTCCCATAAGGACTGTAATCATTTTAACACAATGAAAAACTGCCTAGACGTTAGTTAATATGTATTATATTTGGTAAAATATAGTATGCGCTTAAATTAATTTTCTAATCCTTGTTTTGATAGTATATCTAAAATCTGTCCAAAGTCTACCAGGCCTGCCCTACACATTCATTTGGTTTCATAGTTGTAATTTTTATAAGTCACCATTCCCTTTTTATTAACAAAATATTATTTACAGGGATGACCAAATTGAACTTATTCAATTTGGCGTTTTGAAAGGATTATTAAGAAGAAACTCGTCAGAAGAGATTGAGCTACATTTGCCTACTTGTAGAACGAGGTATAAAGGAATAGAAAGTAAATATGTATACAATAAAGTGCTTTACATAAATGCTATTGACGAATGTGGAAATAGCTTTCATATTGGAATAAAACATTTTAAAAATGGATCTTCCAGGTAAAAAATACTCCTTTATTATTATTTATCGTTACACATTAGTTCGTTCCCGAGGTCAAAGAACCCTTTTAATTGTATACTAGTTCGCCGAAGACCGTATACTAGTTCGCTCCCATGGTTAAGCGTGTTAAGTATTTATTTAGTAAGTTCTAGGAAAATTAATATCGGCAAAATTGGTATAACTCTTGTATTTTATATAGAAACTATTTAAAATACTGATTGTTACATATTTATATACGAGACAGTTATGTGAAGATTATTTAGATTATATTCACTTCATGTTTTTCCCTATTTTGAAAAATGTTAGTGGTTGATTTAGAAAGTTTATTAGAAATTTCGATCTGGTTTAGGAATTTTGTTAGCTATTTTGATATTAGTTCTGTTTTTAAAAATTACTGAAATAATCCGTGCTACTTAATTCGAGAAAATATATGAGACCAAGCAATACAAGTGTAAAAACATCCGGGATATCATCTTCGTTTACAAAATTAAACAAATATAAATATACCCTTTGACGACTGTCGGTATGCTGTGATGACCACCTTTACAAACATTTTTTTAAACTTCCTAGCGGTTTTACAGTCATACCAGTATGTAAAATTGGTTGCCTATATTATATTCTAAGTGTCTAACCAGTTTAGAACCGATTTGATTGAACCACATTAACTACTATAGGAAATCAAATGATGAAATGTGACATATATTCTATATGTCATATTTTAACTAGATTGCATAATTCAGATCTCACACCTAAACCTGTTTATAATAATTAGGGTGTTAGTTTGAGAGCAACTGAAGTGGACGTAGAGTATGAATGCAAGAAATAGACTAAACTATTTTAGTATAGTAGTTTCAGTTGGACCTTTGGTCAATGCTTGGTTACATAGAATTTTGAAATGTGCAGATCACATCTCCATGATTGTGACTGCCCATCCAAGCTGTCATATGTTACATGTCACCTTAACATTTCCGTTAATACCGAAGTTAATTAATTTCTTCATTAAAAAAAGTTTTTTGGCTTATTTCAGATGCTCCTGAAGATGCTCTAGGAAGCGAAAATACTTGGGCAAGATTTAATTAATAAAACTGTGTTCGATATCTGCCTTTCATTTTATAAAAGTTCATTTATTCGAGCATTCAACCTTATATCAATATTAAAGAAAAAATGCGTGTTATAAGAGCATTTGAAAAAGGTCGAAAAATTGCTGGTGTATGTAGGCAAATTTTAAAAGACTTTAATGAGGAGGGAGAAAATATTAAAAAGATTAGGAAGTGCATTCGTAGTGATGTAGATTCAGCTCTACTCAAATAATTCAAGCAGTGTCTCAGTTCTGATATTTCTGTGTCCGGCCCATTTTTAAAGGAGAAAGCTTAAGAGTTCGAAAAACTGTTTTGTGAAGGTTTTACATGCTCTAACGGCTGGCTAGATCGGTTTAAAGTCCGTCACCCAATTCCTTCGCAAAAATTGTTGGAGAGGCAAATTGTGTGAACGAGAACGTGACAGGTGATTGGTTACAAAACATTATGGCCACAACTAAGACAACCATACAAGGATAAAAATATCTTCAATGTCGATAAATCTGTAGTCTTTTACAAATTAACCCCAAACAAAGCTTTAAATTTCAAAAATCAAAAATATGTCGGTGGAGCAAATATGACAGCTACAGAGAAAAAAAAAGCTTTTGGTTATTGGGAAAAGTTTATACCTAGATATTTCTAAAACATTAAAAAAATGCCTGTAAACTACACAGCAAACAAGAAAGTGTTTCTTCTGTCTTCTGCTATTTTTGAAGAAGAATTGAAAAAGTGGCACAAGGAACTCTCTTCAAAAAAAAAGGAAAAATTCTTCTCTTAGTTGACAACTGTGCAGCCCATCCTAAGCTTAACTTGACCAATATAAAGCTAGTTTTCTTACCAGCCAACTGCACTAGTGTCTTGCAGCCTATAGACCAAGGAGTCACAATAAGTTTAAAGTGCCATTATCGATAACAGTTTTTTAAAAAGATGAACATTACCATACTTGATGCAGGCGTGGAGTGCGGTTACGTAAGTGATAATTTGAAAGTGCTTTCGTCAAGCTAAATTGACTGTAGTTTATCCTAATGTTCAGGATGTTAACGAGGATGACAAAATGCCTTTGTCAGAGTGAATACAAAAATTTAATGTAAACCAGAGAGAGTTTGGAACTGATCTTGACTCCTATATTTCAGTAGACGATCGGTAGAAACATTTCAAGTTTTAAGTGATAAAGAAATTGTGGAACAATTGCAAAATGTGGAAATGGACGTTGATGAAGATAATGAAGAAGAAGAAGACGGTTTTGATTGTTCTACAATCCAAGAAGCAATAAGAGCTGCTGAGACCATATCCAGGTTTAACCAGTTCAGGGAGGCATCCACAACTACCAAAGAAGCAGCTTAGATTATTAAGGTCACTACAGAAAAACTTTATTTCGGAAAGGGTTGCGCAGATGAAAAGACCTGACTTTTTAGCATAAAAGAACTTTCCCATAAAAAATATAAGTTTCATATAGATTGTATGTTTTATTTTTTAATTTTCCATCCTAAATGCAGTTGTAATAATAACTAATGCTGTAATAAAATTGTGCCCCGTTAAAATTTAATTTTTTTCTACCTCTTTTATAAAGTCACTCTGATATAGCGTTATTTTTTTTACTGAACTATATATCTTTATATTTTAGTTTGGTTTATGGCTTTTCATACTTGACCGCAAAAGACCAAAGATATCCAATCACCAGCATACATATTGAGGAGTTTTTATCAGGAAAAGGCAACATATTGCCAGAGTATATTATCGCTACAGCTAAAGCAAATAACAAAACTTTTAAAATAAATATATTAATACATAAGACTGAAATTCAAGCAACAAAAACTAGTTATAAAAAAGGATATGCTATATATACTGCAGCTTGTGGTTGCAATATCAACGAGAACGAAGGCAGAGCATGTGTTGAAGCTAGGTATCCCTTCGAAGGTAAGTTCTTAGTAGTTATTCAATATACTAGAGGGCCTTGCGCACATTATGTTGTACGAATAATATAGGTGCATATGAACTTATGCTTTATTGTTCACAAATATGGTAGATATTCCCAGCTTTTGAAGCTGGTATTGCTTCAACTATATATTTCTCAAAAATCTCTTCAAGTCTCTCAAAAAGTAAGTTGCCATATTATGCAGAACGACATTGACCAGACCACCATCGTTAACGAAGTTATACTTTTCGAGTTGTTTTGCATTAGTTTCGAAGGACCACCAAAATCAGATATACTCACTTCCGAAATATCTAGACAGCACAGGATGTGGAAACAATTTGTCAATTAATTTACCGATTTTTCAGGTCCAAATGATTTTGTTCCTGAAAAAAGACTAACGGAAACAATAGTCGATTCGCTACCAAATATACTATTATGTGATATAAAAGATGAAAGGTCTCAAATTGTTGATCTTACTGGAGGAAAAGGTTGTTCGCTAGCATTGCTAGCATCTCTACACTCATCTGAGGTAACATTTTTATAATAATAGAACTGTTCATTTCCAATTAACTTAATCTAGTTAGTTCATACAACGTTTCATTTGTAAATGTTTTAACAGCACAATTAAAATGTCAATTAATGACGATTTGACGTACATCACCTGACTAAATATTCTAGTTTTAACATACAGGGTGTTATATTTAAATAGGTAAAAAGTAAGTTTGATAATTATTTTAATGCCCGTTGACATGTATTCTTGATATTTTCCAGCAAGTTTAAGTATTTAAAACTATAAAATATTAAAAAAAAACTGTCTAGCCATCATCACTAAAGGTTTAAAATGTAAACATGATACGGGTTAATGTTTTCTACAGGCGGGTTAGCTCTATAAATATACTCTATTTATAGAGCTCACCCGCCTATATATATATATATATATATATATATATATATAATATATATATATATATATATATATATATATATATATATATATAATATATATATATATATATATAATATATATATATATATATATATATAATATATATATATAATATATATATATATATATATATATGTATATATATATATAAATACATAAATATATATATAATTTTTTTTTGTTTTTCCTTTTCTTTTTTCTCAGCTTTTCCCTTTTCACAGATCGGTGTTCCTTACTCTTCGTCGCCACTTATTTCTGTTTATTGGGTCTTATTCACGTACACCTTTCTCCCCCAAGTCCTCTGCCACACAGTCCTACCATCTTCTCTTCGGTTTTTTCTCTGTCATACATCAACTGTCTAAAAAAAAACAAGGTATCCGTTGTTTTCTTCCTGGCATAAACACAAACTGTTCTTCTATCGATTTTTCCCTCCTTAACTCTCGCTCTACAGTTCTCTCCTAAATTTTCATTGTGTGCGACATTTATTTTATTCCTCTATAATTTTTACAGTCCTGAATGTCCTTAACACTCTTTCTCTTCCTCCATACATTGGGCATCCTTTCTTTCTCATATCGTTATTATTATTTGCCACAATATTGTGGCGATTGATGTATGTGTAATTTTTTCCAATATCCCTAACAATTTTTCTCCATTGGTCTCTAGCTGCTCTAAGAGCTTTGCAGAATGAGTTTAAAGCTGAATTCTTAATTTGGTAGGACTATCTACTTGGTGATCGTTCTCTTGATCTTCTCCACAAAACGTTTCCAGAAACAATTAATCACTCCAAACTATCGTCACCTCTGCAAACCACGTGACTAAAAATTTTTAGAATACGTTGCAGATATATGGTGGACAGCCTTTTTTTATTCTTGATGTGGTTTAGAATGGAAACATTTCTCCAATGACCATCATCACCATCACCTCTACTAGGCTACTCTCAACATTTATCACTTATTTTATTTAGCTACAGTCAAAATTTATCCAATGTTAAATACGAAATGTCAAATTATCGTTTATTCTTCATATTTATAAAGGTAATATTTATTTGTTGAAATTTACTAAAATAGTTATAGAAAAGTAAAAGGAAGAGGACGATTAGGATCTGTTTGCCTTAGCTCTGACGTCAGAATCGGGGATTTTAAAAACTTTTCCAAACATTTCTAATTTGTGTATATTTGTCCCATAAGAAGTTGGAAATGTTGTTTTTTATTGTTTGAAGAATAAATAAGGACTACGAAGTTAAAAAATATTTAAATTAATGTTTTATTCTTTTTTAAGAGCTAGTGATTTTATCCCCTAAAAGACTAAATATATTCATTTTCCCGTAGTTAATAGTAGTTTTGTTGTCATTACTGAAAAATTCAGTAATACTGGATATCTTCAACATATGTTTACTAGCCAGTATATGTTCAGATAAAAAAAAATAATAAACTTAAAAATTATTACAAGATTCAAAAACCATTTTTTAAAACACAACATTATGGCAATTTAATAAAAAGGTTTCTACAGAATGTTATATTACAATTTAAACTACGAGAAAATGAATATCTTTAGTCTTTTACAGAATAAAATCACTGGCAATAATAATATATTTAAATATTTTTCAACTTCGTAAATGAATTCATTGATTTATTGATTTATTTTGAAATGCTCTGGATTAAAACAGAAACAAAATACCTTAAAATAAAGTAAAAAAATTCAAGTTTTAATCAAAGAGTAACATAATCTTAAAACATGAACTATGAACATTGAGAGTAAATATATTCTTACTATAAATATTCTTACCTCATAAATTTACAAACAGCAAATAATACCAATCGCACAGAATGAATGATCATAATGAAAAGTCCTTATTTGTTCTTCAGATAATTTAAAAAATCGTATTGTTTTAGGTTTTAGACGGGGCTTAGAGAAAAGGTTTTCTAAGCCCCGTCGATTTAGACTTCAGACTTGGGTAGTTCATTATAGTTTTGTTTGAAACATTTAGTTTGAAATTTTTTTATGTTTTAGTTTAAGGTTCCAGATGGTTTTATCATAACAGTAAATGCTTACAATCTTTATATTAAAGGCGAACTAGTGGAAGAAATAAATTTACTCAGTGATGTTTGTTGTGGAAAAACAGAATTAAAGCTTGAAGAAGCATGTAACAGGTACATTAATATATCCTGTATAAGCTTTATGTAATATTATAACTTAGTTACTTATTCATCAACATTCTTTATTTGTATTTATCAGAATTTGACAGAGTTCAACATCAAAAGATGATAAACATTCTAAAAGAGGCAGACCTGGATGACAAAGACCTCAGAATAATTTCAGAAGTCTACTGGAATCAGATCGCATACATGAAAATTAACGGAGAAGAAACAGATCACATAAAAATACTACGTGGAGTTAGACAGGGATGTATCCTATCGCCGTTGATATTTAATATGTACTCAGAGAAAAGTTTTAACGAGGCTCTTTACGGAATAGACGAAGGCATCCTTCTAAATGGTGAAAGAGTAAACAATGTTAGATATGCCGACGACACCATGGTGATAGCAGATAGTTTAGAGGGACTTCAGAGGCTAATGGACAGAATAAACGAGTACAGTCAACAGTACGGACTAAACATTAATACCCATAAAACGAAACAAATGATTATCAGCAAGGAGAATATAAATGGGGCTCATATATACATTAATGGGACGCAGATAGAGCGAGTAAAACAGTATTGTTACCTGGGAACTATTATTAACGAACAGTGGAGCAATTTACAGGAAATAAAGTGCCGCATAGGAAAGGCAAGAACGGTCTTTAACAAAATGAGCGCCATCTTCAAAAGTCACAACATATCCCTTGATACAAAAATGAGACATTTGAGATGCTATGTTTTCTCTGTGTTGTTGTACGGGGCGGAGGCATGGACGCTTACAGACGCCACTATTAAAAAACTTGAAGCATTTGAGATGTGGCTTTATAGAAGAATGCTGAGAATATCATGGACAGCAAGGATCACGAACAAGGAAGTTCTAGGAAAAATGAAGAAGGAACCAGAGATTGTGTTTACGATCAAACGCATAAAATTGCAATATCTGGGACACGTTATGAGAAATGAGCACCGTTACTCCCTGCTACAGTCTATATTGCAAGTTAAAGTTAAAGGTAAGCGAGGACCCGGTAGAAGGAGAATATCATGGCTGCGGATTTTAAGAACATGGTTTAAGAAAACCTCAACGGAGCTGTTTCGAGCCGCAGCGAGCAAGGTTATGATTGCCAATATGATTTCCAACATCCGAAACGGATAGGAACTAGAAGAAGAATTTATCAGAATGAGAAATCGGTTTTATTAAATACATTTCTTTAAATGTTTCTGTCTTGTGTCTTAACAATATTGACCTACATTACAGACGTGTTGTATCTTTTGACAAGTTTTCTTTTATCTACTCCTTACAGTAATTAGATCCTCAGCATTTTTTCTCAACTTGTCTCTTCCCATCCCATTCATCTCATTTTGACATTAACTATAATCTCCCTATTATATAGGCTTTATAATTTATTCTTTTTGGTTACTTACTTTTTTACGAAAATTATTAGTTTCCCTACACATAAATTATAACATTCATTGTTATTCTAACATTAACTTCTTTATTTTTTCTTGCTTACTTCAAAACTATTCAAAATACTATACCTAGAGAAACTAACATTTGCATATAATTTTTTAAGGACGGTCAAATGCTTCAAAAACCAAAAATTTCCAGAGAATCTCAAAGAACAAATTATTTTACAGCTACAAAAGTATCCAAAGGAACACGATCAGGTAAGTTGGGCAGTAAGATCTTCTGCTATTGGTGAAGATTCGGAAGAATTGTCATCAGCTGGACAGAATGAAACTTTCTTAGGTTGCCAGTCGTACGAACAGATTTTAGAAGCTATCCAGGCTTGTTGGGCATCTTTATATACTTATCAGAGTGTGCAGTATAGATGGTAAGTAAATTTTAGATGTCACGTTTTTAATTTATGATCAATTAAGCAAATAATGATATTTGTATTTGCATTTGTTTATTCCTTAACGCAGCTTCAGTAATTGAAATACGGTTTAAGGCAACATGGTATTCCCGTTGTTACAAGAATGGCAGTTGTGGTGCAAAAAATGGTAAAAGCTGACAGTGCAGGAGTACTTTTTACATGCCATCCTTCTACTTGTAATCCATCTCAGATGGTTATTACTTCAAACTTTGGACTAGGAGAGGTAAGATATCTATATTAAATCGTAACTTATCATAATCATCATATTTGGCTCGATAATTATTTATGAATTTTGGCCTGCTTTTCCACTCTCATTGATTCTTGGCAACTTTCCTTCATCTTATGAGAGATAGCCTTATCCTGATCCAGAGCCCCATATAACACGTCTTTTTCATTGTCCTCTTTTGAATTATACTTATACTTGAATACTATAATGCTAACATTAGCAACGCTTCTTATAAGTATTATTCCACATATTCTAACATAATCTTTTTTGTGTGGGGTATCATCCAATTTTGGATTTATTTCACGGTTTCTAATGTGACTTCGCTGTTTCCACTACTTTTCTCCATTCGTTCTTTCTTTGATTATTCGTTCTATATTTTTAATTTCCGTACTCCTTAAGTATTCTTCCACTTGTTGTCTTCATCTCAGTTTAGGTTTGCCTTTGGTTCTTTTACCTGACGGTATTCACTCTGTTGAAACTCTTTACAGATTGCTCTTCTCTCTTCTCATTATGTGTCCATACCATCGTGATTTATCTGTTGTCCTCTTCGTATTCCCTCTTTGGTTTCAGTATTGATCTGATAATTTTCCTGTCAAAAACTTTCAATTGCTCTTTTTCTCTTGCTTTTAATGTAAATGCTTCTGCAGCATATACTACTATTGGTCTTATATTATCTATTATACTGCTACTAAATTAATTACGCTATGTTTAATCCTGTTGCTCACAATAAATCCGGTACCATATTCGTGAAGGGTAGGATGTCAGCTGTAGTAAATATTGTAGTACTATTTTTCCAGGATTCCTAAGGCTGTTTATCTCAGCTCCTGTAAAGCAATGATGTCTACTTTGACTTTATGGTATTTCTTGTATGAGTTGATCTGTAGCTAAAGGTTGATAATGACTTCTTATACTTATCATGCAAATTTTCAAATCAATAACTTTGAAAGTTGCTCTGATGAGTCAGTCCTGCTAGGACTAAATACGTATAAGCGCATTTTAGAGGCACTAAATGTAAAATTAAATCTTTACTGTCTTTTCTATGTCTTTATTTACTCGTATTTTAAGTATAAGAAACCAGTTTATGAACGGTTTATGCCTAGATGAATCGAAATGTCGTGAAATGCAGTTTTAGATTGCCAAGTCGGTCTATTCATCGTCTGTTTTACTTTGAAAATTGTAAAAGTCATATTTAGATAATAATCTAAATTACGGTTTCAAAAATTAAGAAATATTTGGATATTTATGTTTTGTTTTATTCTCAGATGGCGCTCTATGCGTATGTATGAACTTATTTTATTATTACTTTCTTTGACATAGATGATTCACCAAATGAAAATGGTGTCTGGAGAAAACGATACAACTTCGAACTTTTGTAACATCCTCGATATGGATCTTTAGGATGCTGATCCCTGCGAGCGGCTGCAAGGCTACTGGTCCTACTGGTCTGGAATGACTGGCTCGCCTTCGTGGATTTACGAGAAGGTAGAGAAGTTTCGGGGTAGGGATTTAAGGGCTTCTAGGTCTCAGGTCCTGTAAAGAGTTTGAGTCTATGAGCTTACTTTAGAAGCCAGATAAATGTATGAGCAGAAATTTGGTACTCTTCTGGTCTCTGTCTGAATCGGCCGGAAGGAACATAAAAACCAAATTTAGAGTCTACAAATGTATTGAATATACTATGTGTTTTACAATTAAGTTAACAAGCTGTCAGATATAATCAATAATAACTCGTTCGGCGCGAAGGGAGACGAGAAGAGATCTTAGCAAGAAAGTAAAGGGGTGACGATCTGTACTACTATAATTTACTCGGGTTAGTATATAGAATTTGTTACCTTTCGCGTATTTAGGCTCTAGCTAATGATACGCCCGTTCCTCTGGAAATCGGATTTCTTTTTTCGGAGGTACCGCGCTCTGTCAGGAACCTTTCACTCGCCCGGTATCCGACACTTTATACGAACTATCTTAGGCAAAATATAACAATCGCGCGTTCAGCGTATCTGGAGCCGCCTATCGTTGCAACAGCACGGTGCCCAGCTATTACTGATCGCGTACTGGACGCTATCGCGTCCGAGCGCTCACGGAGCTGGCACTTAATGCCTTCAGCGCTCCCTCGATACTACTGATCCCGCTGGTAATTACTGCCTCGGGCAGTCACGGCTGCCTAGCTACCACTGCTGGTGCCTAGCTATTACTGATCCCGCTGTCCAATTTCGTTCGGTTTTTATGAATGCCTATTCTCAAATGCCGGTTGTAGTGCCAAGGTCGCGTTTTTTGCTGAGTCCTCGTGATTTAAACCAGGTCGGCGCTGGTGATATTTTCCAGCGTAGGTCTATGTTTATTAAAACGTGACTATTTTCTTTTTTTGAACAATTGTTGCAACTGATACTGGCTCGTGTCATGCAACTAACTGGGTCAAATTGTTTTTCTTTGTATAGATTAACATGTATACGCTACCGTATCAAATTTATTCTTTATTTAATTTGGAATATATAATAATTATTTTGAATAATTATTATCTTCTCTATGCTACCTAGTCCTTATTTTTTCTATTCTTTATTTTCTTGCTATGTTTACATTACACTCTATAGAATATACCAGGAACCAGATATCGTAAAACAGATTAAGATAGGACGTCTGAGGTGGGTAGGCCATGTAATGCGGATGGAGCAAACCTACCCAGTTAGAAAAACGCTCCTTGATAGACCTATTGGTCAAAGAAGAAGAGGAAGACCCAGTACAAGATTTCTAGATAACATAGACCAAGATATAAGAAATATGGAAATACGTGTTTGGCGGAGGAAGACCATGGATAGGGACGACTGGAGGAGAATTCTTGGGGAGGCTAGGATCCACACAGGGTTGTAAAGCCAAAATGATGATGATGATTGACATAGAAGATTTAATTGTACGTTCAGGGCTTCTACCCAGGCGATCTGATGAGTCCTGTTAGGACGAAATACGTATAAAGGAATTGTAGAGGTACTACAAGTGAAATCAAATCTTAACGGTTTTTTCTATATCCATTGCCCTTTCGTTTGCGAGTTCGTCGTATGAATCAGGCTTCTTTCTTTGTAACTTTCATAACACGAGTTTTTATCGACATCCATAACGTAACTGATACAGAATACAATTTTGTTCGGTCTAAAATTACGTTCTTATTAGAAATTTTGGTTGTCATGTGTTCGTCACGACTTAATCTTATTCCCTGGCTTTGGTCTTCAAGTCAGATCATAAGCCTTTCTGATCTAAAAATATATGAATTAACTGAACATAATCAAATTCATGTAGACAAATTCAGCATGGTTTAATTTTCAGTATTTTCATTTCTTCTTTTTAGACCGTTGTATCTGGTGAATCGGATCCTGACACGTACATTTTAAACAAAAGAAGCAACAGTATTATTGAAGTCGAAAGCAAAGTGTTAGGTACTAAAAATAAAGTACTAACTTTAACTAAAGAAGGATTACAAGAAACAACTACACAGGAAGATATTTTCAGTTTAAGCGATGAACAGGCGATTCAGTTAGGAAAAGTTGGACTGCTTCTAGAAAAAGCGTTTGGAAATCCCAGAGATATTGAATGGGGATTTCATAACGTAAGTATCAAGTTTTTCCTCTAAGTTTCATTTGTATTGATGCATTATACTTATTATTATTTTAAGATATTAGGATAAGATATTAGGTATTATTACAACAAAATAAATTTTACAATTTTAAAAATTACATTAGTCTCTGAACATACCCATACCTCGTCATGTTAATGCTGTCTTCTTGAATTATATTTCCTGTCACCTCAGCCAGTTAGTCTGTGGCGTTTTAACTGACAAGAACCACGTGTTCAAACCGAACAAGAAGACATGTAGCTCTTTGAGTATTAATTTTTATCAAATCTCATTGACCTAGAGTCACAGTATAATTTAAATTTGGAACAATGTAAAATTATGTATGGATGTCACAGCTGCAAATTTAGTGTTAGCTTCAATTACACAAGGAGGCACTGAAGATGATCTAATTAGATCGAAAACGTCACGTTACGCTACTGTATAAATTTTGACGACACTTTTTAAAAGTTTTAATTATATGTACGGAGTTGAGTCTCGCATAGACGCTACCTACAAGAAAATTGAGGCTTTTGAAACATGGCTTTATCGTCGAATTCTGAAGATATCCTATTACGATACTTATCAGGACGTTTTATTAAGAATGCACAAAGGAAAAGAGCTGTTAACTACAATAAAAACAGCCAAAATCGAATACCTCGGTTGCTACAATTAATTCTACAAGGAAGAGTAGAAAGTTAACGACGCAAAGTATTTTCTGGTTGAAAAATCTATGTACGTAGTTGAACACACACTCACAAATCTTTTTAGAGCAGCAGTCTGCAAAATAACGATTGCCATGATGGTCGCTAACATCCGAAACGGATAGGCACTACAAAAAGAAGAAGGCTTGTAATGCTTGTTAGAGCAGCTTTTAGAGTTAGAAGTAAGAGCAGCTTTAAAGGAAATGAAGAAAAATCGATCGCCTGGTGATGATGGACTCGTTATCGAGGCAATAAAAGCAGGTGGAGAAATTTTATTAAAATCAGTAAGCGAACTGTTTACTAAATGTTTACATGCGGGTACGATTTCAAAAGACTGGAACAATGCAGTAATAGTCTTGTTACACAAAAAAGGCGATATTATTAAATTAGAAAATTATAGACCCATCAGCCTCTTGACACATATGTACAAACTCTTTATGAAAATCTTAACAAAGAGGCTAACACCTAAACTTGATTTCTATCAGCCCAAAGAACAGGCAGGCTTCAGGGTAGGATATGGCACAAATGACCATTTTCATACCATAATGATCTTAATAGAAAAGTGCATCGAGTACAACATACCACTGGTTCTTGCATTTGTCGATTACGAGAAGGCTTTTGATTCTGCAGAGTTTGAAACAATACTGGAAGCCCTAAATCAAAGCCGAATAGATTACAGGTACACGACACTAATCAAAAACATCTATCAGAACGCTACATCAAGTATACGACTGCACGAAGACACAGAAAAATTCAGCTTAGGTCGAGGAGTTAGACAAGGAGACAATATTTCACCAAAATTGTTCACGGCAGCTTTAGAGTCAATATTTAAGGGTACTCGATGGCAAGATATGGGCATCAATATAGATGGAGAAAGATTAAATCACCTAAGGTTTGCAGATGATGTTGTATTAATCGCAGATAACTTACAAGATACAGTTTCTATGATGCATTCGCTTAAAAGTCTGTCTGAAAGAGCAGGATTAAAGATAAACTTTGAGAAAACTAAAATTATAACAAATCTCGTAATGAGTGGAAATATAACTATTGACAATAATACCATACAACAAACAGACACTTACAAATATCTGGGACACGAAATCAAAATAAGCAGAGACAATCAAACACATGAAATACAGAGGCGAATAGGTCTAACATGGGCAGCATTTGGCAAATTAAGCCATATTCTAAAAAGTTCAATTCCCATGTGTCTCAAGGGAAAGGTTTATAACCAATGTGTTTTACCTGTACAAACTTATGGAGCAGAGACTTTAACACTCACGCAAAAATCTGCGAATAAACTTAGAGTTACACAACGAGCCATGGAACGTGCAATGCTGAACGTGAGCCTTCGAGACCACATAACAAACCAACAAATCAGGCGAAGATCAGGAGTTCAAGACGTCATCGAAAGAACCACGACGCTTAAGTGGAACTGAGCAGGGCACTTAGCCAGAACACAAGATGGACGGTGGACAAGACGTATTATGGAATGGAGGCCCAGAAATTATAAAAGAAGCCGAGGACGACCACCGACTAGATGGACCGATGACAATAAACGTGTAGCGGGAAACTGGCTACAAGCGGCCCAGTGTAGAGAACACTGGAAAGAACTGAGGGAGGCCTATGTCCAGCAGTGGACGCGATTGGCTGATTGATGATATGAAACCTACACCAACAATTTTTTTAAATAACAAAGAGGACCACGTAACATAAATAAGCAAAAATTAATAGTTTAATTAATTATTTCTTAAATCAAATTATGATAGCCTTTCAAATAAGGTATCACATTACATCACCCTCTTTGCTACTTAACAAATTCAGACTGTAGCTGTCATTTGAAGAGGGTTCATTAAAGTAACCTCTTACTGATTATCTTCTTACTGTGTGATGTATTTTAAATTTTAGGGACAGCTATTTCTATTCCAATCTCGTCCCATTACAACTCTAACAACGTGGACAGACTACGAGCTCAGCCACGAACTAGACTTTCCACAACTGACCAAATTGAGCGCTTGTACGACGGCAAATATCAGAGAAGTTGTTCCGAAAGCTAGTACAGTGTTGTCACGAACTAGCTCGTTGCGATGTTTGGATTGGGGTATACAAAAACTGGTAACTTGTAATTTTGATCCAGCCAGTATGAAAGCTTTGATTACGTATCAACATAATGTATTCTTGGATGTTATAAAAGTAAGTTCTGTCTTATAATTTGCTGGGTAATGATTCAAATGCGATCTGTACTGTGCGATATAGAATAACTAGAAAGTTGAACCAAATAAATAGATAATTTTGTGAATGATAAAATTGATATTAATATTTTCACTTTGCAGGGTATACATATAAACACCAAACAAGAAATAGAAGCATCTTCTATAACCGTAGATTTAGCTATATTCGGTCATCGAGTGATAGATAAGAATTTAAATGATATATGTAACAAAATTAGAGAACCCTCAACGGGTTATGATACCCTCAATACCCTGCTTTGGTCTATAAAATGCGCTTGGCAAAATCATGGCGTTAATAAAAAAGCCCAAAAACTGGTGAGGACGTTGGACTTAAAAGGATCATCACTACAGGAGTTATATGACAAAATTGATACAGCTTTAGCAACTAACGTAGAAGAAATTGCTATTTGCCATTCACATACAACCGGAACATCTGTTTTTTATCAAATGCTTACAATGAATATTCTTCTCGAGGGAAAACAAGGTAATTTAAAGCTTTGGTAAACAAAAATTGTATATTTTGTTAAAGTTCCATTTTTTATCAAACTTTTTTATCAAACTTTTGTCAATCAATAGACCTTAATATAAAACTACCGTTTTATATCAAAATCTAATGATTGGAAGCTGCTTTTCTGAAAAAAAAAATTTGTGCGGAATAATCGAAATCAATACATTTTTTTGAGCCTGGGTTCTAGGTACTTTCACTTGAATGTTCACTTGAGATTATGAGGTGATATACATTTTTCTAAATCAGGGCTGAATTAGAATGAAAGACAAGTTTTTTATGATTAATTAGTAGACATGCTGAGTGATATTCCCTAAGAGAAGAAAGTTATAATGGGAGGGGATTTTATTGCACATTGTATTAAATTAAATTGATCTTCGTAGTTATTAATTACTTGGACTAATTACATTTTAAAACTGTATTTAGTTTAGTATATCAGTTCTGTGACTTCCTCATCTTCTCTGGCCAACGGGTCTATCAAAGAGCGCATTTCTAGCTAGGTCATTTTGTTTCATCCGCATTACTTGCCCTATCCACCTCAGACGTCCTATCTTCTTATTATGTTTAACAATATCTGGTTCCTGGTATATTATATAAAGTTCGAAATTGTATCGTCTTCTCCAAACTCCATTGCTCCATAGATTTTCCTTAGTACTTTTCTTTGGAAACATCCTAACATGTTTTCATTACTTTTTGTTAAAATTCAGGTCTCTGAACCATATGTTACGACTGGGAGTATTATTGTTTTCTTCTTCTTCTTCGCGTGACATATCAGAACTCTCCGACGTTGGCGATCACCATTGCGAAGGCTTCTCGATCTTCTGCAATATGGAATAATTGTCCTGCATTTGGTATCTGAGTCCATTCACGAATGATTTTTAACCAAGAAACTTGTTTTCTTACTACACCTCTACGGCCCTCTATTTTGCCTTTAAGGATCAGTTGTACAATTCTATATCGACTTCCCCTTACTATATGTCCCAGATAAGACATTTTTCGATGTTTAACAGTCTTTAGCAGTTCTCTGTCTTTGTTGACGGTCCTTAGTACGGTCATTAGTTTTTCTTGCTGTCCAAGGTATCTTCAGCATTCGTCTATGAACCCACATTTCCAATGCTTCAATTTTGTTCATAATCGATACTTTTAGCGTCCACACTTCTGCACTATACAAAAGTACAGACCGAACATAGCACTTAACCGTTCTTTGCCTTAGTTCTAAACTGAGATGGTTATTGCAAAGAAATGACTTCATTTTCATAAAAGTAGTTTTAGTCATTGCTATTCTACGTTTTATTTCTATGTCTGGATCTAGTTAGTCCGTTATCACAGTTCCCAAATATGTCATTTTGTGAACTTTTTCAACTTGGACTCCGTTCAATTGAAGCTTTGCATCGGGATATGGGTCACGACTTAACACTAAAAATTTGGTTTTGTTTGAGTTTATTTTAATGCCCATTTCCTCTCCTACCTTGTGAATACGATCAAGCAGAATTTGAAGACCTTTAACATTATCTGATAGAATTACTGTATCGTCTGTATATCTAATCACATTAAGTAGTTCCCCGTTGATTTTTATTTCATATGGTTGTCTTATTATTGTTTTATAGAGTTTTATTTTAGTATTTCTAAATATAATTGTGGATATAAAGGGCTCCCAGGTAACAAATTGGTCAACTGCTTCGATGACATCGTGGTTGTGTGCTTATTTTCATATAGTTCGTTTTGTTGGTGTTTATTAACAAATCCACTTTTGTAGCTAATTCTTTTAATGCTACATATGCCTCTCGTACATCTTTTTCCATTTTCTCAACAATATTGATATTATCAGCATACGCAAGAATTTGCACTAAGTTATTATATATTGAACCAATGGTTGTGATTCGTGACATACGTATTACCTTTTCCAGAGCCAGATTGAGCAGTATACAAGAGAGAGGGTCTCCCTGACACAGCCCGTTATTTGTTTTGAAAGGTTCACACAGTTTCCCCTGAATTTGTACTCTACATTCAACTTTTTCGAAAGTTAGTTTTGTTAAATTTACCAACTGATTTGGTATTCCTAGCTCTTGCCCATTGCTTTGAACGTTTTATTTCTAATCACAGAGTCGTAGGCTGTTTGTAGTCTATAATGTGATGTCATGTGATGTGATCAGTATCAATGTCGTACTCCAGCGTTATTTCTAAAATTTGTTTCAGGATTGCAAATTAATAAATTGTCGATTTATCACCTCTGAGACCAACCTGGTATTTTCTTACTATCCCTTTTGGATATGGTGCCGTACGGTGACATAGTACTGTGGAAAATACTTTATACGCTGCATTTAGAAGAGTAATTCCTCTGTAGTTGGAGCTTTTAAAGATATCTCCTTGTTTGTGTGCGAAGTATTCCTATATTCCAATCATTAAGGAGGGATTTCTGTATCCATATTTCTGTTATTTTATAAGCTGCTGTAATGCCATTATGGTATAGTGGCTACCTTCTTTATATAGTTCAGCTAGGAGATTATCTATTCCGGGTGATTTGTTTCTAGCTTGTTTTTTAACTGCATCTGTAACTTCAAGAATCGTTGGTGATTCCTCTTCCATATTGTCTATCCCCTAACTTCATCTCTTTTGTCTTTAAAGGTTTCTTCTTCTTTCTCTATATTAAGTTCTTAATTACAATATTCTACCCACCTATTACAATACACCTTCCATATATCTCAAATTTTATTGCCCATTTAAGTTTATCTCTTTTAGAGACTTTATACTACTACAAGACAAGTCTTCTGCTATGCTAAGTAACAAATACTTCCTCGATATTATCTTTCTGTATTTTTGTATTGTTTCTGATGATGTAGCTATATTTACATATACGCACACATAAATGTAATGAAATCAATAGTTTCATTACATTTATTACAAAATTTGTTTTAGATATCACCGATGACCACATTTCTGATTTTGCTTTAATCCTTTCGTCTTGCGAGGACGTAATTTCTGCGGAAGTTCCAAAATATCTGGAACAAATAGCTTCTACCATAAAAGATGCAGAAGGTGAAAAAACATTTAAAAATATCGATGCTGCAGAAGGTGTAAAGTGGTTAAAGGATAACTGTCCTGCAACTTATGAATTGTATACGGAATTCATGGAAAAACATGGACATCGTAGTAGAGGAGAGGTAATAGTAAAAAAATATCACTCATATCTAGTTTATTATTCAAAATAAGTGATTACAAATTTTTAAATTTATTTCTAATAGATTTCATAAATTATTATTACGATCTAGGTAGATTTAGTAAAGTACATACATCTGTGAGGCCGAATGGTTTAGATTCGCTTCTATAAAAAAAAACAAAAATAATTAATTAATAATAATTTGGCGTGGATTGGTAACCGTTGATGAAACTTGGATCCAGTACTACTCACCAGAGAACAAAATGAACGCACGGTAGTGGACTGAAGGCGGAAAAATGCTCTTGCAAAGCACCAAGAGTGGCTTAATGGATGGAAAAGGTTATGACCACTGTATTTTGGAATCGCAATAGCATAATTTAATGAAAACTTATTTTGAAGCATTTAAAACTATGGCAAAAATACACAGTTGGGCTTTGAATTGCATTTTCATCTGACATATTCTCCTGGTTTGGCCCCTCCGATTATTTTGTTTCCTTAAACCTAAAGAAATGGCTCGTAGATAAAAAATTTTACTTGAACGGAGAGATAAAAGTTGTAAAATCGCTGAAATATTTGTATTGCGCTATGGAACAAAAAATAAAATATAAAAGAATTTGATCAAAAAACATGTTTCTCATTTCAAAGAAGGTTACATATCAAACCCTCTAGTAGCTTATAGAATACTGATATCTAGGTATACAGGTGAAAGTTGCGCCTAACAAACATATATTTTTTTGAAAAGTCTAGATATATTGCTTGCTCGTTATAATAAATTAATAAGAAAGAATGTTAAATAATAAAATACCATGATTATCAAATTATGTATGTTTCTATATTTATATCTATATCTTTATCTATAGTTATATCATTCAAATGCTTTCTATTTCGGACGGTACAACAGGTCAAACACATTGAAAAAAGCCACAACATAAATTGACCAGTTTAATTTTAAAATCACTCAACTAACATATTTTTATTTTATTTGCGTTTACTTATACAGTTTGAAATAATGGAAGAAACATGGAACGACAATCCCTCCCAAGTAATCGCAATGATTCAAGCAAATTTAGGAGTGGAGAGAAAAGAAAAGGATAGAATGGACATTGATAAAATTATTAAGAATTTGAAATCTCCAAAAAGTTCTATAACAAGGTAAATCTGTTTAATTGTATTTATTTTATAAGCATATATGATATGATTTTCTTGCTTATAATCGAATTTTCAGCTCCGTATGTCATAATACTTCGCATTAATGTTTTATAAATCTGTGTTTTTGTCTTCATATTTAGGTTTCTATCCCACCATACTGTGTTAACTTGCCAAATTGCTGTTTTTGTTTGTCCCAATTTTTGTTTAATTTCTTCCTCTGTTGTACATTGCCTCCCATAGTTCTCACCTTAGCACAGAGTCATACGCGTCTCTCATTTCCACAAATGCTAAATGTATATCTCTATTTTTTGTTTTTTCATTTTCCAACAGTTGTTTCAATGCGAATATGTGGTTTATGCATGATCTTCCTGCCGTAGAGCCTGCCTGATCCTCCCCGATTTTGCCTTTTATCGCTTGTTCTATCTTTTCTCATAGTATCTTCCCATATAATCTTCCTATTGGTGATATTACGTTTATTCCTTTGTAGTTTACGCATAATTTTCTATCTCCTTTCTTAAATATAGATGTCATATGTGCCTCCGTCCATTCCTTTGGGAGCTGTTCTTCATTTATGGCTTTCTGAAATATCCATTTTATCATACGGTGTAATTTTTTTGAGTCGTACTTTATAAGCTCAGGTGAGAGGCCTCCAGGTTCCGGTGCTTTCTTATTTTTGATTGCTTTTATGGCCTTTCTCATTTCCCTATCTGATATTTTTATTTCTTGTGTTGTGGGGATCTGCTTCATCTTTCTTTTCTTCATGTACCATGTCCTTTCATAACGTTCGTTACCATCATAGCTATTTTAATTTTATTCACTGCCACCCTAAATAGCATGCTTGTATCTACACCATACCAATCTCGCAAGTTCTTCAACCATGAGGTTCTTCTTCGTCCTGGACTGCGTTTGCCTGCTATTTTTCCTTGCATGATATTCTGTAGCAATCTATATTTGGGACCTCTCATTACATGTCCGAAATATTCCAGCTTTCACTGCTTGATGCTTCATCTTTGCCTGTTTTTATTTTCCAATGAATTGTGATCTTTGTTCTGTTAACAGTCCTTCCATTCTTTGTCCTATATATTTTCCAATGTTATTTTTTCTTTTGAGTTTTGTTTTAATCCTCTTAGTACTTTCCATGACTTCGAAGTTCTTGTACCTTATATGTATGTTTAAATATTGTGTTATTTGTTTTTTCACTTCTCTATCTTTTCAACTACATTCTTTATAATTCATCGTTGTTTGTAGTTAGCCCTTTTCTGTATAGTTGCTTTTTTCCTTCAATTATTCTTTTTGTTGATTAATTTATTTCAGTATATTGCTGTTTATTTGTTATATGTTCTTTTTTGGGCTTCAAATGCTGCCTATAAGGGCTTCGACTGCTGCTTGTTTTATACTCGACTTTATATGCTAGTATATTTCTTCGATGTTGTCGTATCTGAATTCTATTAATTTTTGGACTAGATGTTGTTGGTATAGTACTCTTATTGATTGTTCTTGGAGTAGTTTCATATTGTTTTGTTTTTCACTTATAGTGTTCAATGATTCTTCTGTAGAGGGGTCTTGTTATGTTTCCAATGAATGCCCATTTTTGCTATCAGTATATGCCCATCTAAAATATCGAAATATTTGAAAAAAAAGCGTAAACTATTTTAAATTATAACTTTTTAACTACTTAATTACTTTAACTAATCGGCATGCCAAGCCCGCCTTCCCCAAGCTTGCATATTAGCTTGTCGATCACCATTTTGTTAAGGTAAGAGGACAGGAGATCTCCCTGTTTGACGCCTTTGCCAATTTCAATTTTCTTAGTCGATCTACTGTCGACGGTAGCGTTCATAAATCAGTTCATATGCGAGTCTATCACGTACGGCTTAAATGTTGCATCCATCTGAAGCTATTCCTTGATCTTTTAATTGATGGCTGGGAGACCATATCGAAAGTTTTTCGAAGATCTATCGATACGATGTTGTACGCTTCCTTCTTTCTTTGATCACCCCTGTTTTCATTATTTATTAAATTAAACATAAAATAGATTGCTTGATCTATACTGAGAGAACATGTCTCATCCCTTTGTCCTTCCAAAATCTAGTTACCTATTTCCTATCCCTCCCTGGTGAAGGGCAGCAGCGATCATCAGAATCAGCCCAAGGCGCAGAGGAAATGATCCTGGACCGACTTAAAACTGGAATACTACAAGCATGACTGGAGCAGTTTGAGTGGTTGGGGTACTGCGATGGGAAAGGCAAGGAAAAAACCACCCAACTATATTTACCACAAATCTAAATGGCAGACTGAAATAAGAAATTTGCCCTTAGTCCGGAGCACCTCTTAAATGAGGAGAGGGTTCGAAAAATCTCCTCGTCAACTACTATTGAGATCCAAAAAGTGAACAGAGAATCCAAATATATGACAGAATAGTACGAATTGTCACCTGAAACGTACGCAGCTTATTCATGTCTGTGAAACTTGCAAACACTAAAACCAAGATAAAAAGAATAAAAATAGACATCTTGGGAACGAGTGAAGTAAGATAGCGTGGTTCAGGAAAACAAAAAACAAAAGATGGATATATCTATTGGTCAAGAGGAACTGATCTAGAACATCAATATGGAACGACTATATTAGTATTGAACAAAATTGCGCAGTCAGTCATAGATTTCATCCTTCTGAATGATATAGTAGCAATGTTGAAATTAAGAACAACCCATAGAAACCTAAAGGTTATTCAGGTCTATGCTTCAACAAATCAGAGAAAGAAATTAAAAACTTTTATAACAATAAAGACGAAATAATGTGACTGGCCAAAAAAGACAAGATAACGATTATTATGGGTGACTTTAACGCCCAAATTGGTCATGATGCCGAAGGAGACACCATAGGAGCATATGGTGTCGGTACCAGGAACAATAGGGGATATAGACTGGTACAATTCTGCGTAGATAACAACCTGTTAGTAGCCAACACCTTCTTCAAACAACATTCTAGAAGGCTATACACTTGAAAATCACCAGCAGACAGAAAAGATAAAATTGTTAGAAACTTAATTGAATCATCCTGGAGCAGACATTTATGGCGATCACAATACAGTTTTAATGAATTTTAGACTAAAAAGGTTTGTTAAAGTTTAAAGGGAAAAAATGTCAAAAAAAATAGACATCTTACAACTGAAGAACCCTGAAAAGAAAAATGAAATAGGAAATATAGGTTCCTTTTTTTTATCAACCAGCAAGGTTGAGAAAAAAATAGGAAAGCTAGAGAACTTGGTACAGACAGACGTTGAAGTAACACAGACTGTTCTAAAAACGAAAATAACAAAGATACAAGAAGACGACATGGACAAAGCAAGAGATCATGGACCTCATAGATGAAAGACGAAAACAGAAAACAAACCCAATATGATACAGACGAGTCAATAAAAATCATTAGAAAAAAATGCAGAGAAGCTAAAGAAAACTGAATGTCAACCACATGCCAAGAAATTGAACTTCAGGAAAGATACGACACGTTTAATGTCCATAAGAAAGTAAAAAAAATGACAGGTAGACACAGAAAGAGACAAGAAACAATATTAAGAAATAGTAACAACGAGATAATTACAGGTATAGAAGATAAACTGGAGAGATGGAAAGAATACATTCAGATACTTTTGACGATGATAGACCTTGTTCTCCACCATCCGCGGATGATCTAATAAATGAAAAAGGTCCAAAAATAACAAAAGAATGACACAGGTAAAATACCATCAGAGTAGCTAAAATCAGCATTCGTATCATTACCAAAAAATCCAATGCCGCACACTGCGATGACTATCGAATATTAAGCATGATGTCTCATGTCCTTAAAACTTTTCTCAGCATCATTCATACACGAATTTACAAGAAGTGTGAGTTTCAGATTAGTAACACTCAATTCGGATTTCGAAATAAATTTAGAACACATTAAATATTACCATCCTGATCATATAGCCTGTAGCATCCACTAGTGGACATAGGTCTGCGTCAGTGGTATTTGTTGTTATTGATTCTGTGCTGTGTAAACTTAGTTTATTGTAATGTATTGTATTTATATCATCTATACACCATTTCACAGGCCTTTCTCTATCTCTATAAGAATGAAATTGACGATGCCACTTTTTTACGCACTTAGTCCATTTAGAGTCATTCATTCTCGCCACGTGCCTCAGTTCCAAATGCAATTTTTTTCACAGCATCTACAATTCCTGTTCTGGTTGGTGTAATGGTTTCACTCTAATTGTTTCCAGTATCTTAAATAATTAATTTTTCCCCAAAATAAGTTTTTTTTATATGTACTTGATACACTAATACATTTTGTCTTTTCTTTCAGATTGATTGTTAAGTTTCTCCTGAAAAAAATTCGCGTTGCAGTGGGGATCAGGGAACAAACCAAATCAGTACTGGTGCTAGCTGTAGATAAATTAAGAAGAGCTTATAGAAACTTAAGCGATCAGATGGTTCTGAATGGCATATTACCGCATAAGGACCTGATTTATCATCTAACTCACGAAGAGGTTAAATTGCTGATTAAAAGCAGAAATCCTCTTCTTATTTCAAAGTAAGTTCTTCAAGAATATATATTGTAGACTATAGATTGTTTGTTCTGAAACAACTTTCCACACTGTGATACGAAATATCTTTTATCTTTTGATCAGAATAACTCTGCAATCTGATATAGGTTTATTACCTGGCAGGTCAGATTCTAAAAGAGTTGGTCCAAGTATTTATGCGTTGGTGAACAATTGGCCTGCGGCTGCAAAAAATATATGTGACCGTTTCTTCTGGCTCTTTGCTCATTTTACAGTGATAATGTCTAAGTGAGCTGTGGCCTATGAAATCACCTGTGATTCAGTTTTCTTAACGTGAATCTAAGTTTTTTGCTAAACCTCAAGCGTGATTTTGAAAGCCAAGTAGAAGATTGTATTAACATTTTGCCTGCCTTTGGCCTAGAATATTTTCTAGCACACTGCACTAAGTTCGTTTTTTATTTTTGGACATACAGTCCAGTCATCAGAAATTTAATCTTTAAAAAGAGGACAAACTAGCTGAAAATGTCAATTTTAGACCCCAAAAACATGCAAAAAAGTCATATCTTTAAATAAAATAAATTGATGTTTTTCATCCCCCCTATGAGGAGGCCTGAAAAATGGCCTACTGTAAGAATCGATGTTGGGTCTCCTGCTCTTCACTCTCTACATAGCAGATCGTCTTTATTAGGGCAAAATAATAAAATTTTAATGGCTAACTTTAAACCATAATCTCCGTTTTCAGGGCAATGATGCGCCAGAAACTATACAGTAAATGGAAGGCTATGAGATTCGCTGAAGTAATGTTTGGTCTTCCAGAGCCAGAAAAAGATGAAGAGGATACTGAGATATCAGATTTAAAGGATATGTGTAAGGGAACTGCAGTCTGTCGAGGAATTGTCCAAGCACGAGCTTGCGTTATTAGAAATTTGGATGAGATTTCTCAGTTACAAAAAGGTGAGTTATATAAATCATTATATTGATCGTAATGTTTTTCATTGCTACAGATAAAGTCCTGCGTGACTTAAAATTAACATAATAACACTATACGATAAAGCTGTATGTCACCAAAAAGCATTAGTCATTATTAAAGTTCCACTCTTTCCAAGCTACATGTTTTTTCGCTAACGAGTATAAGATTTATTGACAGAGTGAACATTTCCTTCTTGCTAATGACCTCGCGACTTATCTTAGGTTTGTTATATAGTAGTTTAGATTTAATAAAATATATTAATTGTTCCTTTTATATATTCACTAATTTTTATTCTGTTTCAATTTTAGGTGACGTTCTTATCACCTATAGTACTGATATCGGTTGGTCCCCATACTTTCCAATGCTATCTGGAGTGGTGACCGAACTTGGTGGACTTGTTTCACATGGTAACTATTTATTTAACTAAGTTATTGATGTTTAAATAAAAAACACTACATTGAAATTAGTTAATAGTCAGAAAAGTCGTTTTCGTAAAGAAAATAACAGTAATCTAAAAAGGAACTAGCAGGGTGACCCAATTAAAAAAAGAATAAGTTTAAATGATTTATTTTTATCTTATTCTGATTGCAATGCTTGTTACATTGGTAAAACTGCTCGATTCCTTAAAATGTTGTCGATCATACAATTGAGATTTAACACATCTAAGTACTTTGATGCCTAGACCCAAAATGTTGTTATTAAAAACTCCAAAGTTTATTCTCTGGTGTTAAAATCCCATGTAGGGAAAAATTCATCTAAGAAACTTTTTCAAGAAATATGTTAAAACCTTAAACATCTCGCTGTCCTTACTAAAGAAAATTAAATTACCAATTTTCTTGATAGATGCCCAAACCACTTTAACACCTTAAACGCCCACAATGCATATTAAAAAAAAGTTATGTGGGTCAAAATATTAAACACATTTAAAGTATTAGTCTATGCATTTTTAATAGTTATGCTTTATTTTGAGTACAAAATCTTACATTTTTATTGCTTTTTAGAATTATTTTAAGTGAGAAGCACGTGTTCATCTTGTGGCCTCAAATACCTTTTGGATTCCTGGAGCGTTATGATACACACTTGCTTCTCGTATAAGACAAGAATAAACCTGTCGTAGCTTGTTTATTTTATACGTTTAAGTGTTATTTATTAGTTAATTGTCGGTGGGTGAGGTTGAAGTGTGTCTTATCAGTTCCCAATATGTCGTGTGAAAATGAGAAGAAGCATTTGCAAAAGCTGGTGGAAGAGATTATTTCAGACGAAGACAGTGATGCCAGTGTTTGTGATAAAAAATTTGAATTAGATATTGATGACGAAATAAGTAATTGTTTTTGGCCATTCTTGTCTGGATTCTTGTCGCAATTCGGCATCAAGTCGATCCAATAATGCTGCGTAGTACTCACCATTGATTGTTTTTCCTTTTTCCAAGTAGTCGATGTAGATGATGCCCTTCGCATCCCAGAAAACAGTAGCCATCATTGTGCCGGCCGAATGTGCATTCTTTGCCTTCTTCGGTGGCCCTTAGCTGCGTTTGTGCCACTGTTTTGACTGTTCTTTGGTTTTCGGTGTGTAATAATGCACCCAGGTTTCATCAACGGTGATAAATCAGCAAAAAAAATCCTTCGGATTGCGCCGTATTATCGCCAAAATCGTCTCCGAAGTGGTCACACGTTTTTACATTTGTTCGATTGTTAGCAAACGCGGCGCCCATCGCGCGGACATCCTCGCTAATGGGTCCGCCATTAGCGCGGTTGTTCAAATGATGGTGAATGATATTGTGTACAAGTTTGTAGGAAATGTTTAGGACCTTTATTAACTCGTGGAGCTTAATTCGACGATCTGCCATAATCATGTCATCGACTTGTTGATCATTTCCGGCGTAGTGACTTCATTTGGCCTCCCGGGACGCTCTTCATCAAAAACACTCGTACGACCACGAACAAATTCAACTTTTCAAAATCTTACTCTTGTTAACGAAGGTGCAACTTCACCATAAACATAAACCACAAAATTCCAGGTCGGCTATAATTTGCACATTCGTTTTACCCTTTTTGTGGATGAACTTACTTATGTGGATTACCGAACGATACTCGACTTTTTCCATTTCTCCGAAAACACAAAATTTCCTTGTTTTTGACGGCTGTAAAAACCAAACTCATCATCATCAATGGTGCTACAGCCCTATGAAAGAGCCTCGACCTTCCCAAGTCTATTACGCCAGGCAGTCCTATCCATTGCCAACCGTTGCCAGTTTGCTGCGCCTATCTTTCTACCATCCTCATCTACATCATCCTTCCATCTGAGTTTTGGCCTACCCCTTTTTCTACTTCCCACGGGTTGTGACATAAGGATTCTTCTAAGAGGGTTGTTCTGCTGTGATCTTGCTTTTACCAAACCAAACTAATTGTTTTTAAAACTTAAAATTTTGACAGACATCATGTCATAAATGGCAAGTAGCGCCGTCTATCAAAGGCTAGTTTAATATCAATATATCCTCGTATATATATATATATATATATATATATATATATATATATATATATATATATATATATATATATATATATTGTTATGGATCAGTTTATCGATCAGAAATAGAATAAAGAGTTTTTTATTATTTTAATATACCGCGGGCATATAAGTTAAAATACAACCCTGTACTTATTTGTAATAGTTAGAATAAGAGAAAACATTGTTCCGTGACGGGACCCTAACGAGTTTTTCCGTGAAAGACTGAGTGAACAGTGAAAGGATAATGGAACCCGTATAATTATAGATTTAGGAATAAACTTGTAATTGTATTTTGCGGTGGGCATTTTTCTAAAGTAAATAAGAATTAGATTTAGATAAGAGATAACAAGAATTTGGAAACTTATTTCTGTTGAAAAAAGCAAAATTGTTAATGGTTTCTGAAAAGTAATTTGAGTGAAAGTAGTTTATTTGTTTTAAATATTGTGTTGGAAATTTTCTAAATCGAAAATAAGTGAGAAAGATGAATGCTTATGATAGGTTAAAAAAGAATGGTGGGAATAAGAGAGTTGAGAAGGTTGTCTGGGAGAGATTAAAAGATTATTATGTTACCGGCAGACCAGAAGAGAAGACGTGTTTTCGTGTAGTCAATCTGAGTACCAGTGTTTTGGTTTGTTAGTGAAAAAGGTGGAAGCTGAGAGCAGATCAAAATCAAGAAGATTAATACCTCTTTAGGGTCTGCATAGTAAACGAGATATAATTGAGAAAGAAAGGAGAATATGTGAATAAAGAGTACCGGTCAAAAGAGGCTTGGGCTTGTGTTTTCGGATGAGTAGTTTGCTGGTATGCGGTTTGGATCGATGCTGAGAACGGGAAAGATTTGATGGTAGCCGGACATAATCAATCAAGGAAGGAACTGTGGTTTGATCGAGAGGAGACATCATTGGTGTAAAAATAAAGGTCAGTCAAATAATTTGAATGAAAGAAAATTTTAAGATATTCTAAAGATAAAATTAAATATAAGCATACGAACTAAGATTCCAAGATTCAAAGAGTTTTTTTTTGTGAATAAATTATATTTTTATATGGTCATTTTTTTTAGTAGATATTATTATAAATCAATAGATAGTTTGTAATTAAAATTAAATTTAGAGTATAGGAGTTTGTTGGGAAAGATAATTGCCCACAAAAGTTATTTATTAATATTCATCGTATTGGTTATTGAAAATAAATAATAATTTGTGTGCATATTTATGTTGTTTTAATGTTAGTTCCGTTTCCTGTTCTATTCCGATTATGCGCAACTAGGAGATACTGAACCGACTAGAAGAGATATATAAAGTAAACTGATTAAAGTAATAATTAACAAAAAAAAGGGCACCCTGAGAATTTTTAATAGTAATTGAATTGTATGACTCTGCATTAATTAGTGAATTAATTAATTAAATGATTGGATTAATTAAATTAGTGTTAATTAATAATAAAACATCATAAAGCGGATCACAAATATATATATATATATATATATATATATACATATATATATATATACATATATATATATATTTATATATACCTATAATTTGTATATTTCCAGGCGCTGTTGTAGCAAGAGAGTATGGTTTGCCCTGCGTAGTTGGCGTCAAGAATGTGCTAAAATACTTTAAAACTGGCGACAAAATCTATTTGAACGGCAACACTGGTGAACTAGGAAAACTTTGATTAATGCTAAGATATTTATTATACCTACTGTAATATTAAAAACTATTTTTTTTTGTTTAAAGAAATTTCATTGTAAATAATACAGAAGTAGAATTACTTTAGTTTTTGTTTAAAAATTTAATTTAAATAAAATTTAAAAAAAGCACAATTTATTGACATATAAAAAACAGAAATATGGAATACACCGAAGCAAAAATTACACAAATTATAGTAATTCTCTATAAAATTTAAAGTAAACAATACTTTATACGAATAGTTCTTTTGTACTCGTATATAAAATCAAAACCAACTTCCCGATGAAAACAGTCAATTTCTGGCAATTAATAATAGTATATTACTTTATGAGGCGGAGAAGCATGACTTTTCCTGTCATGTCTGTTTCATGGCAAGTCAAGAAAAGTCGCTTCCTTGGCGAATAAAGTATACTATTTTTTCTTCAAACGTAGCAATTTTCAACCATAAATAGTACAATCCATACGCTATTTTTACTCGAAATTAACTGTGACAACTATCAAAGTCGTCTAGATGTTAGAAATTAAAATAATTAAGTCGTCGGTGGGATTTGCGTCTCCCTACTTACAGTTGTTTGACAGTTGTTTTGCAATTATTAAAGACAGCTTATTGTTGTTGCAACCGCAAGCGCAAATTTAGTGCGAAAATGGAAAACCTAAACGAAATTGAGTCCGCGGCTAATGATGCAGTAGCACGTTTGGGGCCCTCCAAGTCCGGAATAAAGTATCGGCTAGCGTACAAGCACTTCCAAGAGTGGTACGATACAAGAGGAGTACGGCAAGTTACCGAAGACGTTTTTACTGGCATATTTTAATATAATGAAAAATGAAAATAAATGGAAATCTTCTACAATGTGGTCACCATACTCTATGATAAAATCCGAGTTAGTTATTAGAAAAAATGTGGATATTAGCAAATTTTTAAAGTTACGTGCCTTTCTGAAAAAAAAAAAAACAAGCGAAGGATATACTGCAAAGAAGTCTAAAGTTTTCACTAAAGACGAGTTTGATAAATTTTTGTTTGAAGCGCCAGATAAGTTGTATTCAGGATTAAAGGTAAAAAAAATTATATTGCAAAGCATGTAGTATACTCTACTAAATTATAAAAATATTTCAGATTGTTTTGTTAATTGGGGTTACCGGCCCTGTCGATGCGACGAAATGGTATAAATGAAGACTGTGGACATTGAGGATAAAGAAAATGT